CACAATATTAATATCAACTTTGTTTTTCACTATATTGTCAGTTTTCAAATTTATTTGTCTGTCGTCTGTATCAACGTTCACCGCTATACATGGCTCACTCAAAAACAACAGCAATTAGTAGCATAGGTATAAAATTGACAACTAAAATATTGAACGATTATTAATCTCCATACATCCTGATGAATTGATGGTGACGAGACCAAATAAAGTATTGTTTAGCGACATAACAGATCGGGGGAAAGGCGTCCAACTTATGTCTTTGTATTTTTTGATGTAATTTCTCTCTCTTGTAATCAATGTAATTTATAATATTGAATGTATGGATGATGTATTTGGGCAGAGAATGCCCGGTGGTACATTAATAAACACAATTTGTAACTATAAGTTTAAGTATCAGTCACACATACATACACATAATTAGTATATCTGCGAAGCAATAATTTTCTTCCTCTAGGTTATAAGGTTAGTTTTACTATTTAGTCGCAAAAGTACTAAAAAATACAAACAACATTTTAAACTATTTCATGAAGTTTTTACATTTAATAATATATTTTTAATAATTGTGATTTTTTAAAGGATTTTAAATGATCCTCATGGTTTCATAATTTTGAGTGGAGAAATTATTTTGCGAGGTCTTTTGACCAAAGAGCGCTGGGACAGGAGGCTTCTTGTCCACTTAAGGTTTTTTCAACATCATTTACATTGATTTATATAATTGCTTGCTTTTGGCCGGCCTGCCTTCTCTCCCTTCCCGTGTTTAACAGATCGGACGGTAGGTATTTTCTTATAGGGCCTTGAAAAGTCTCGATTCGTATAAATGTTGGTACAGATAGATTAGATTTGGCGTGCCCTTCAAAATGATGCCCTATAGTTATCATCTAGACTAAATTATCTATGCTCTACGTCATGCCGACTGCAAAGCAAATGCCAGGGGTTCGAGTCGAGAACATCTTACAATTAGACTTTGGATTTTCAAGGCAATTGTTTTATCACCATGAAAAATTAAAAAGGACCAGGATTTTGAAGGTCGCTTGAATAGCAACATATGAATCATTCCTTGATCAGCAATTATTTCGCAAGATGCTATACTCATTTAGAAATAAAACCTCCAACGGCTCCAACCCTCACTGATCGAGCTTTTTCAGTACTCACTTATTACCCCCCCCCCCCCCTCTGACACTAACGTTAGGTTTTTATCTTATTTTTTGATGCCACGCCACTAATATTTGTATTTCTTTTAAATTCTAAGGGAATGCATGAGATGATCGAGTGATGTAAACGAGAATGTGCAGTTGTTGACCAAAAATGGCAGAAGCAGGACAGCAGGGAAAATCAATCGAAGGTGATGAATATGTGTTTACGGAGCGAGGGAATTTTGATAAATTTGGTGTCAGAAAAAAATTATTATAGAGCAATTTCTACTTATACAAAAATAACCTTCATAATCGACGTCTCAAAGTTGATGGTCAAACCTTTAAGGGCATACTATTTGACATACATAATGTCCATAGCTACATACTCCTAATTGGGAGGGTGGAAACTGTCTAAGTGGAAACTGTCCAAAAGTGAAACTGTCCAACAGCATGGCGGCAAAAGGTGGGGCCAGGGCGTAAAGGGCAGGTCCGAGGGATAAAAGTGCCATGATTTGATAGTTTCGATGGCCATTGACTGAACGGAATTATTGCAAATAATTGTGTCCTTTGTCTAAGAAATTGCAAAACTTTATTTAAAAAAATCGACTGAAAATATTAATATTTCAAGTGGAAACTCTCCAGAGGTGAAACTGTCTAACGGCAAACACATGGCATCTATGTAATTTGGACAATTTCACCTTTGGAGAGTTTCCAATTTAAAGAATTTAAATTATATAATAGATATATATAACTAATATTCAAAGTTGAAACTCTCCAGAGTGGAAACTGTCCAGCGGTGAAACTGTCCAGCGAGCGAGCGGCGAGGGGAGTCGTATTTTACTGAGCGCGCGCAGTCGGAGGGGGACTTTGCGCGCGGTTAAAGCAACCGCGCGTGTTAACTATTTATCCTATGCCCAAACGAGGAGGAAAATATTTTTTTATTGTAAAATTTAATATTAATAAACCTAAATTGTTTGAAATAACACAGCAATATTTACATTCAATAGAAAAGAACAAAATAAAATTAAATGAAAAAAAGGGAACTTTAAAATTATTAAAAAATACAATGATAAATATCAGACAACTGCAAATTTAAATTAGGGGCAAATTGAATTACCCCTATTTTTCCTCACCGTTTCACTGAATAAATTCTAGAAATTAAAATAATAATTTTTTTATTGGATACAATAAATTTTTTGTCGTTTGCAACCTAAATATAATACAATTTAATATATTAAATTTTATTTTAGTTTTACTCGTTTTTTACTGATAAACTTAGTTTTTTGGCAATCCTATCTTAATCCACACTTTTTACATTCACTGTCATTATTTACAGCTGTATGATAGTTTTAATTTGTATAGACAATAAAATGGAATCCGTTGCATGTCTTGTTTCAAAATGCGCTTCTTTCCAGTTTGGGTTTGTCTTTGCGGGAGCATTATTGATTTGTGGGTCAATTTTAACATTTTTATGATATCGTTTTTCCATTAATTTTGAGCATTTGTAACGTCTAGGGGCCGGAGATCTAATTTATTTTTTAGATCACTAACTCACAATCAGTAGTTTGTACCAGACCAGCCAACTTGTACAGTCATGAAGTCTTGAAAATGTATACTTGGAGAGTTGCAAAGCTTTTATCAGAAATCAGGATTTTGGCATTTTGAGATTATTCAAATCATTAAAAGTAAGGTGATTTAAAAAAAGTATTTTTCAAAATAATAAAAAATTCATAAAAAAATTATATTAATAAAATTTATTAATAACCAGATTTTGAATGCAGAAATTAAACTAATTTTGTAACAGTTTTTTTTTCAATTCGATTGACAACGAATGAACTGTAAAAACTGAAACCTTCGGTGCCATGAAATATTTAATTAAAATTACCATGTTAAAATAAATACATACAGAGTTATGCTGGTTTCTTTGAATGTGCGATATACATCCAATATTTTTCAAATAATTAATTTAAATTAATTTCTTTTAAAAGTGAATGCATTTCTTTTGGCAGCTCCTTTGAAATTAAAGTATTTATGATATATTTCTACATTTTAAAATTTGCATAAAATATCAAAATTTAATTATCTGTCCTTCAGTTACAGATACGGTAGAAATTCATGATTGAAAATTTGATGCTGTCAAGAAATTTTAATCGCCTTTTCAAAACAGAAGCGTTTATTTTATTCAGGAGAAAAGTTATCAAAAAATTAAATTCTGTACAATCTCTACTTCTCACTCCCATATGCGAACAGTTAGATTTTCGCGCCGCTTGAATGGAAGATGCCATAAATGTTTGAACTATTTATGTTCCTTGAATTGTATCGACTGAGAAGAATAAATAATACGAATTCTGTTACGAGGGTAAACCCGCTCTTATAATAAGTCGGTTAAACAAAATATACCTGAGCAATGATTTCTTAGTACAATTTTGTAGCATTGCCGGCGTCAGGAAATACTTTAAAATAAATATTTTAAAATATGTTATTTACCTTTATTTTCCATCTTTGTCGTTGGAGGTATAATTTTCAAACCTATATTTAAAAAGAAAATTAAAAATATAATGGTTTCAATGATATAATTTAATCGCAGAGTGTCAAATAATTTTGTATTTTATTTTATATATATGTGTTTTTTTTTTTTACGTATTTTTAGTGTTTTATTACTTTTTAATTAATGTAAATATTGCTGTGTTATTTCAAACAATTTTGGATCAATAATAACAATACAAAATAATAATAATAACAATACAAATTTTTTTCCTCCTCGTTTGGGCATAGGATAAATAGTTAACACGCGCGGTTGCTTTAACCGCGCGCAAAGTCCCCCTCCGACTGCGCGCGCTCAGTAAAATACGACTCCCCTCGCCGCTCGCTCGCTGGACAGTTTCACCGCTGGACAGTTTCCACTCTGGAGAGTTTCAACTTTGAATATTAGTTATAGATAGAGTATTTATTGAACACAACTAGGTGTACAACGGGTGTCTAAAGCTAATTTGTCTTCCTAAAATTAGTTTTACAATTAAGTTTGTTTCTATAATTATTACAAAGTACAAAATTAGTTAATTCTGATTTTTGCAGCCTCTCTTAGGCTTAGTTTTCGTTCATTACATTGAAGAATATGATATTGTGAACATTTCTTACCGCAGTGTTTGCATTCACAATCTATTGTCGCTTGAGAATGAAAATTTTTTATTCTTACAAAATAAATAGTGGTACCCGTGACAGGCAAATCTCGTAAACACTTGGCGATCACTGAACATTGCACATTGCCAATTTTTATTCTTCAAAGTTTCTGTCTCGTAGAACTCATCACATATCTCAAGAATGTTTAAATATTTAGACACACAAAATTTATGGAATGCTTCAGTTTCAGTTAGAGAATATTTTACCTGTAAGTCCGATACAAAGAGATCAGTGTCAACTAATTCATACACAAATCTAGATCTAATATTAGTTATATATATCTATTACATAATTTAAATTCTTTAAATCGGAAACTCTCCAAAGGTGAAATTGTCCAAATTACATAGATGCCATGTGTTTGCCGTTAGACAGTTTCACCTCTGGAGAGTTTCCACTTGAAATATTAATATTTTCAGTCGATTTTTTTAAATAAAGTTTTGCAATTTCTTAGACAAAGGACACAATTATTTGCAATAATTCCGTTCAGTCAATGGCCATCGAAACTATCAAATCATGGCACTTTTATCCCTCGGACCTGCCCTTTACGCCCTGGCCCCACCTTTTGCCGCCATGCTGTTGGACAGTTTCACCTTTGGACAGTTTCCACTTAGACAGTTTCCTACCACTCCTTATAATTATGGGGGAAATTATAAAAATAATTTTTTGCCCATATCTCTCCTTTAACAGCTGAATCATAAAATGTTAAGCTCTTATTTCAAAGCAGATGTTAACCCAAAAGACAACACATTAAAACAATTATTTCACAGGTGCCGAAAAGGAAGTTCTGAAAGAAATTGCTTGCCTAGGGCGTTTTGAAAACTATGAGAATGCGGATGTGTAATTTACAAGCTCCAGACTTTAATACATTAAATAATAACATTCGAATTTCCAGTGCTTGCGTCCTAGTTATAAGTTACGAATTTAAAAATAAAGAAAATTGGCGTGAGGGAAATGAAGAAGACCGAAGAATATTGAAAGAAGCCTTCGCTGACAAAAGAAAGTGTAAATTTCAGGATCTGCAATCGCCAACAAATTCTAGAATACTTGAAATTCTATCAAATGAGGTGGAATTTAAAAAAATGTTCGAAATACCAGGCAAGATATGAATTTAAATTTTGGCATATTTTGTGTGTGTCTGTTTTGCTGACTAGATAAGCAAACCTCTTGAAACTTTTTAAAAATACATTCATTTTTATCATTTTATTTATAGAATAATTTTTTGACAATTACATTGAAGTTAAAATTTAAATTCTTGTATAACATGCGTCTTATCCACAATTTGCTTCTTGTTGAAAGCACATTAGTAAACTAAAACGTTTTTTCACAAAAAAAAAGGTGAAAATAAAATTCAAATTCATGCTTAAGCAGTGTGGGTGGTGAATTTTTAACCGCATCGTATTTATTAACTTTTCCTGCTTGCAATTTCGATTATTGAATATTTCTAATAACAATTACTTATTCTCTCTGACCATGTTTAGCTACTTATACATACAAATGTAAAAAATTTATCTTTTAAATCTGGCAAAATCGCGATCAAGTCAACACAGTTAGTTTCTATGCAGCCTAAAATGTTTAAAACTGACAAAACTACAAAGTCTTACTGTGTTTTATCGTGTTCCAGAAATCCCATCAGTATTTTTCCTCTTCATCTTTTCTCACGGAACTGCAAACAACATAATTGAAACAGACCTCGAGGATAATGAACTGATGAGCACGACGTATATAATAGAAGCGATAAAGAAGACGCCCAATTTAAAGAATGCACTCAATGTCATTTTCTTTGGCGTAATAAACACATTAGATTTTCAATGGATTTGTAGTTGTAAAAATATTGTAGCCTTGCCGGGGAGATCTCAACGATGATGCGTACAATAAGAAGAAGAAGTATGAGAATTTTAAGAACGAAACTGCAAGTAAAGTTACCAACATGCCCGATGCTGAGAATTTTGTGCTTGTTTATGCTGCAGTCGAATGTATGACCATTTAAAATATTTTAAATCACTTGAATTTTTTAAAACACAAATAATATTTTAGCAATGAAGTGCATTAGGGATTTACAAGCCGGTACAAGGTTGGCTCAAGAAATTTGCAAGATATTAAATTCTCTTGAGGAAGATGTTCCGTTAGAGACGTTTCTGAGCAAATTCAACCAGGCAATTCACAACCTGCGAGATAAAACGAGCCAGACACCGGAGGTCAAATACACTCCGCACAGGAAATTCGTGATTAGCAAGTACATATAAAGCCCTTATTTTTTCATTCTTTATATATATATATATATATATATATATATATATATATATATATATATATATATATATATATATATATATATATATATATATATATATATATATATTACGTGGAGTTTAAATGGCAAAAATTAATGACCGCGTTCTTGGATACTAGTGGGTAGAAGAAGTTGTGCACTAATTTTCATTGAAATCATGGTGTGCCATCTCTATAGCACACCCACACCCGGTATATGCGCACAATTTGAACTTGTCTGAATAAGTCTGAATAAAGAATTTGCAGAATATTGTAGCACTGAAAAAATGAGCGTTAGTGTTAGTCGAAGCTTGAACCAAAGCGCAGTAAAAAAGTCAAATTCAATTTAAATCGCTTCTGGTCCAGACTGAATGCATTCGGATGATAGTTTGGACTTTCGGAGCTTTTTGAACAAAAAATGCATTCTGAGCAAAGACCGCTTAGACCAAAACCATTCAGTCAACTCTGCGCGTTTGATAATCAAAATAGTTTAGTTATTTCATCTTACAAATTTTTATAATTTTAATTAGTTAAAACGTCAATAATTCGAGTTTTGTTGGAGCTACAGCAAAATTCCGGGTACGAAAATGACCGCCTCAATGTCTTCTTTCGAGCCATGTGTCACACAAGATGGAAAATAAATGAAAAGGTCAAAGGTCACCGGGATCAATGACCTTTTGTGACCTGGTCACAATGTGTAATACATTTCTGGATAGACCGTGTCAAGACAATTACTTTTTGTCATTAGGTATTTTGGGCCATCTTGCTCAGGGGCAAAGTTACAGAGGCTCAAAGACATTTTACCAGAAAATTTGATCGGAAAACCACGTTTTTTAATCTTTTTATTTTTCTATTTATTTAACATCAAAAAATGCCATCTGGTTTATTTTCTTATATAACGTAAAATTTTACGCTCTACAAAATGGCTATTTCAGAATAAAAATAAAATTGGGGGATAAAAACTTCATTTTTGAGGTCAAAGGTCATGAGGTCACCGGAAGTGACCTTGAACTTTGACCCAGCTGTGTACCAACATAATTTTGGGATGCGCAGCCTTTGCTTTGACCTACGATTTTGCAATCAACAGCAAAGTTGAAGAGGGCAACAAGACAAATACAACCATATCAGAATTTTGTTCTACAACCACGGGAAGCCAAGATACAGTTGATTGAAAAATTTCCAAAATCCGAATTTGAATGTCCCGTAAAACCCATAAATTTCGAGATAACGGGGTAAAACTATATATTTTTGAAAACCTCCTGGCATGGTCTTTAAGATCCTATAATATGGTTGAGATCGGTTGACCCTGCCAAAAGTATACACCTTTCAAATATTTTCGCTGTATTATAAATTACTTTAATTTTTTTTTGCACATTTTATTATTAAAATATTTGTCAAACTTTCTTCAAAAAGTAGCTTAAAAGGTTAATTTTTTTCTATTTTTTTTCTTCCTTTTTGTGAACATTGAAACTTTACATAAAAAAATCTTTCAAATGCGTGTTCTTTTTTTCAGAATGCACATGGCTGAAAAACACAAGTTTTCTGGAAAATTTATCTCAAAGCATTGTTTTTTTTTATTTTTATTTTTTTTTGCTAAATATTTATATGGTAGTAAAAATAAACTTGTGACTACTTCGTTGGTAGTGAATTGTAAACTTTGTCTGGCATTCGTGTTTACATAAAGATCAATAATAGCCGGTTATTGGATGAATCTATAAATTTTAAATTTTCGCAAAAACCTGTGCTCTTTTTTAGGGCCGCTTCTCCATGCAAGGAGGGCGCACAAGCGGATGCAGTTGGAGGTAGCTTAGCGGATATAATTCCTGCTGGACGAACTGGATTCTTTAATTGGAAATGTGATCATAGCTCAACAGCTGTTCGAAGAAAATGGGCTGTGATATTCTGTTGCACTGAGAAATCCAACCAACTTGTTTTGCGCGCAGAAAAAGCACTTCGTGAAAATTTGGACTTTGAGACCAAAATACTAGACAATACCTTTGAGAATCTTCAGGCTGTTTTAAAAAAAAGTAGATATAAATTGCACGGGAAACGCAAACATATTAATTATGTTGAATATTATTGCTTTTTCGCAGTCAAAGGAGAACCAAGTGATGTCGGTTGCTTTTTGATGCTTTGTCTTGCTCCACTGTCTTTGGATGCAGGAAAAGAGGTCTGCGTCAGTTTTAAAAGTGTGTGGGTTAAAGTTGGTGACATTGTCTACAAATTCTATGGACCTAGAAATCCGAGGTGGATTGCAAGACCAAAAATTTTCTTTTTTGTGAACCACGTAATGCCCCTAAATGTGTAGCAACTGACAATTAGTAAATCACTGCAAATAGGTTGGAGAACTTCCCACTAATTCAGAAGTAACACAAATTCCGAGCAACGACCAGGATATTCCAAATCCACACAATGTAAGTATATGTTCTTGAGAAAACTGCAAATTATCTTTTTGCTGGAAATTTTGAACTAATTACTAAAAAATTGAGCTCTCCAGAATCGTTGTAGTTTCAGCAACAAATTTCAATTTTCAACACGAGAGAACCAATTTCTTGAATATTGTGCAGAAAATTTTATAGGAACTTTTAGAAACTAAAAAAGAAGTAATAAGTTGTATAGGTTGACTTAATAGTCATGCTTGGATAAGGTAAGGACCAGTCTTTTTGACAAGGAGAAACAACTTGGGACAAGAACGTAATGTCATTAAATTTTTTAATAAAATTGTTCAAGAAATTAGTAATTGCGATGGGGGTCATGTATCGCGCGAACTTTTCTTGGCGCTCCTTCGGAGAGAAAATAAGTGCGCCGCCACCTCCCTCTGAAAAATGGTTTGACAGTTTCCGACATCACAAGCGTGCACAAGCAGCCTCCCCGCCGGCCAGCAACGAGACGGACGAGAGGGGCAAGGCGAGCAGCGCGGAGATCAAAACGAACCGCGTTTAGTTGGAAAAAAAGTGTGTGAAAAGAAAGGTACAGTTTTAATTTTTTACCAGAATTAATATTTTGAAAAATGAAAGTAGAAGAACGGACAAGAATTTTGGTATTTTAAAAAAATGAAAAAAATCTTTACGGAACTCAGCGTAATAAAAGGGTCCGCTAAAATTAGTGCCATTTATTATTATTATAATTATTATTATTGTTTATTCTTCACAAATCAAGTCAAGTGGGAAAAAATTTCCAAAATAAATTTATAAGAGAAAATAGCAATCGCAAAGTTGTAGCCAAAGAGCTGTTATTTCATTTCGTCTTTAATAACTTTTACGTCCGAATTTTTTAATTTTATCTCCCAAGGCCTCAAACTCAAAATAACAAATTTTCGCCAGAAGAAATAATTTTTTTTAGATTTCTTCTGAGATAGTCTATCGTGGTCTATCGATTCCTTGGTTAATTGTTGTCCTGATCCTAAATTTGCACAAGAAAATATTCAGCCGTTTTAATTTCAGAAAAAAAAGTTTCTTGTCAAGTCGCACGACCTTCCTGACCGACTTGCGCTACCACCAGGTTGAGCGACCATTAATTTTCTGAAATTAAAACGGCTAAATATTTTCTTGTGCAAATTTAGGATCAGGACAACAATTAACCAAGGAATCGATTGGCTATCTCAGAAGAAATCTAAAAAATTTATTTCTTGGCGAAAATTTATTATTTTGAGTTACTTCGGAGTTACTTCGGAGATAAAATTGAAAAATTCGGACGTAAAAGTTATTAAAGACGAAATTAAATAACAGCTCTTTGCTACAACCTTGCAATTAAGTTATTTCCTCTTAAATAAAAATGTAATTTGGAAATGGCATTACTTTTAGCAGACCCTTATCCTCATATTACTCAGCGTTCTGTAGATTTTTTCATTTTTTTTTAAATACCAAAATTCTTGTCCCTTTTTCTACTTTCATTTTAGGATATATTTGTTAAAAAATTAAAACTGTACCTTTCTTTTCACACACTTTTTTCCAACTAAACGCGGTTCGTTTTGATCTCCGCGCTGCTCGCCTTGCCCCTCTCGTCCGTCTCAATTGCTGGCCGGCGGGGAGGCTGCTTGTGCACGCTTGTGATGTCGGAAACTGTCAAAACATTTTTCAGAGGGAGGTGGTGGCGCACTTATTTTCCCTTCGAAGGAGCGCCAAGAAAAATTCGCGCGACAGTTTGTCCATCAGACCTTTCAACCTTTACTCCGCAACAAGCCCCCACCGCACGAAGACCCTGATTTTCATTATCAATCAATTTTTTACCTTGATAGACTTAATTAATATAGTTATAGTGACAAGTGACAAGAAGCGGTGTGGACACTATTTTGCCATTTAATTTTCCAAAGCTGTAATATTTTGGGATTTTCTTTAAAAAAAATTTAATTCAGTTCCATAGTATGCTTGTGCTGCCTCTAAGCGGTGTATGGAATTGAATGTTCTTTTATTAAAAAATTAAATGACATTGCGCGTTCTTGTCCTTTAATGGTTAATATTTGATATGTTTCTAAAAATTTTATAAAAAATTTAAAAAACCAACCTTTTTGGCAGGGAATCGTGGAATCATCAGATTTTGAGCTGCAAGGAACCAACCATTCAGGATCGTGTGTGTGTATCCTCAACGCTCCTGGTAAATAAAAACAAAAGATTTTAACCAAATTAAATAAGCAAGGTTAGTTGGAGGATTTGGTGTCTTTACCAAATTGTTTAATTTAAGGGATTCATATTTTTGATGAAATTATTCTCTTGAGAAATTAAATTTAATTAACATGTTTTTTCTTAGCTTTCAAAAATATTTGTTTATAAATTTTTAAAATTCATCAATAGACACTAATATATTATCATTATTGTGATTTACCTCTTAATTGGTAAAGGCCCCAGTGGTTTAGTAGTCCTGCCTGATAAATCTGATGGGTTAACAACATAATGAGGAATTCCCGTTCTTTCCCTTAAACGGGCTGGGCCAATGGTCAATGCAAATGGAGTATAGTGTAGGTTGGATTATTGATGAAAGAATATACGGAGAGCCCCGGAATGGAAATGACACTTATTTTTTAACAGCGTAAATAGTAATGAGTTCCATGAGATGGACTAAAAAGAAAAAAGAAACGGGTGCAATGTCTAATAAATTAATGTTCTGATTAAAGGGTTCTAATGGAACTAAAGGATTATGAATATGTTCAACCGAAGCCATTTTTTTGAGCTTTTAAAAATCTTTGATCGCCTGACTGCAGCCCCCCGCTGAACCAATTTTGATTTTTCCAACGTCAATATTTTTTTTATTTTGCATCTAGTACAACATGTCTTAGCTTAGGATTGAAAAGATTCAATCATTCTAACAAGGTATGCTAGCGAGATGACACACCCCGATTACCATAAAAATTGGTGTACAACTTGTACTACCCATTGAATTTTTGCCCAATTTTCGTTGATTAATTTTTGCCATTTAAACTCCATGTAATTACATTGGAGTAATTGGAAGTAGGCAACATTATACACAGCGGACGCTTTTGTTGCCTACATTTGATCGTTTTTAACATGCGTTTCAATGAAACCCACCCTCCCTTGTGAAATTGGGCAGCTTTTGATAGCCATTCCAGAACACCCAAGAGTAGTGCAAGTTGCATATACCAACTTTCAACAAAATCGGGGTGTGTCATCTTAGCCTACCTTGTAAGATAAGGCTGCTATAAGAACCAATGTTATTTGATTTCGCAAATGGTGAATTCTCACAGCAAAATTAAAATTAAAAGTTATTTATATTACAATAGACAATAGTCACAGAGCAGGGTTTGCCGCGGCGGCTTAGTCTCTTTTCTTGTGTAGCATTGTAAAAAAGCGGTCAAATATTTGTTTGTACTAAAGTAGATTTGATGATTATTGTGAAGGATTTCCCAATCTCTCGTTTAATAAGAATATGGGCCTAAAATTATTATAAAAATTATTTCAATTATTTGTAAAATCCATTAAATGGGATATCAAGTAATAATATTTTGTTTCAGGGTCCGATGTCCTTGAAGATCTCATCAAGGTTTTTGAAAACTCTGCTCTTTCGAGTAACGATCAGAATGACCAGGCACACATTCTTGAAAAAGCCTTGGATCTTGTTCGGCGCAAAAGCGTTGGCAATGAGAATTGCCCAATCAATGAGAATTGCCCAATCAATGAGAATTGCCCAATCAATGAGAATTGCCCAATCAATGAAAATTGCCCAATCAATGAGAATTGCCCAATCAATGAGAATTGCCCAATCAATGAAAATTGCCCAATCAATGAGAATTGCCCAATCAATGAGAATTGCCCAAACAAAGAGAATCGCCCAATAATTTCACAAATTTCAACCACTCTTCACTGTTTGGTTGACTTTCAACGGGGGCATTCATACTTTGTTGAGCCTAATTTCAAAATTACAAGTAAAGTCTGTGGAAAGTTCGAAATCTTTTCCAATGAAATGAGATGGTCATTTGATCATCTTAAAAAAGAAATGAAACGGAATCTGCTCGACAACGATAATGACTACGCTGTATGGATAATTTCCTCTATCTCTGGTTCAGGAAAAACCTCGGTTATCAAAGAGCTTACACGCTTCTTCACCAAATGTCAGAGGGGGAAAAATATTGTCCCTTTTCTGCTTCAGGAAAAATATTTTGAGAGTGCTAGTGATAGTGATCTTTCAGTAGAAGAGCTTTTGAAAAATTCAAGTGGATTCATTCTAAACGAGGACGAACTGCTAAAAAATAAGGAACTAGTGTTACTTCTTGACGGTTTTGACGACATTTGTCTCAAATTCCGCAGCAAGGCGCTAAAACTGATTTGGAAAATGATAGAGCGTCAAATACCTCTAGTTATTGCAACTCAACCTCACGAGGAAGAGATGATAATGCACAATCTGAAAAACGTATCAACTTTTAAGGTTGAAATTGAACCGTTAACTAGCGAAGACCAAGATAACCTAATTAGAAAATTGAGTTTGTTTAATGAAAAAGAAGAGGAAAACAAGTTCATAAAAAAGATCAATGATTTACGACCCTTAAAAATTTTTGATAACCCTTCCCAATTAAAGCTCATTGCTGAAATGCGGCCGGATCTCTCGAAATTATATTACCTACACAAAGAAGTTAACAGGAAGAAGATTGAGAGTGCCGTGGCTCGACAAGAGCAAAATTCGACCAGCGTAGAGAATTACAAAATGAAAAATTTAATGCTTTTTCAAGCAGAATGCAATAAAATGGAAACATTTCAAGAAAACTTGGCCATTCAAGCGTTAATTTGTGACAGAAGTCGTCAATGCAATGCCAATGACGCGAGAATCGTAAAAAGTGAGCGTGAAAATGACTCAAGATATCTTCATCCATCGATAGCTTCGTTCCTTGTGACCAATAGGTTTCTGAAAGAGCTGGCGGGTAATCAATCGGATTCAAATATACCGATTTTTACCGGCAAAAATTTGAGTCAATGCCGGAAGTTATACAATAGTTTGTTATATTCAGATCACGAACAAGGCGAGAAATTTAAAATATATTTAAAAAAACTACCAATAATTCGTGTGCTCCATGTGGTGGTTAAAGAAGGGCTATGGTATATTTTCCAATATATTGTGCCGCATTTGGTTTTTCAGAAATTGAAATTATCGGCAGTCTCAGGAGATCAATATTATGTAAGCGACGGCTTCAAGCTGCTCGAAATTGCTTGTGGAACTTGCGAGGAAATGGCAATTAAATTGCTGGAAATGGGAGCCCATGAAGAATGCATCGATAATGAAAAAGAAGAAAAACTATGCAAATTGGTTGGAAAAATGGCATCAAAAAATTACTTAGAGCTTTTTGAAAAACTTAAAAAACTCTTCCCAGATCTGAAAGAATTATTGAATTCCAGCGACACTTTAGCTCTGTTGATTTCTGCTGAACACGGTAAGGTTGATATTTTAAAAAATCTAATTGAGCTAGGCATTAAAATCAATATCAAAGATAGAAATGGTAACACTGCACTTCACCATGCCAGTAGAAAAGGACACTTGAATTGTGTTAGGGAAATTCTCAACAGCGCAACCTCCACAAAAACAATAAGCGTATGTAATTATCCAGAGGGCAACGCTTCCTCTGAAACGATCTATATGCCATGCCCCAGTTCCGGGGTGGTCAACGCCCAAAACAAATTTGGTGATACTCCTCTCCACCTAGCTGCTGTAAATGGACATAGTGCGGTCGTCAGTTGTCTCTTGGAAAGTAGGGCAGACCCCAAAATAAAAAATGAAAAAACATGGATGCCGTTGCACGAAGCAGCTTACCATGCAAATCTCGAAATTGTTACTGCTTTGGTCCATCATAACGAATCGTTAGTGGAAGAAGTTACAATTGACGGAATTAATATATTTCACTTGTCTGCTCGCAATCCCGATATTCGCGTGCTAGAATATTTTCTTCGCTGTAAGAAAGGGTTGCTGTCGTCATTAGACAAAAATGGTCGGACTGCACTGCATTATTCGTGCTCCTATGGACATTACGACAACATGAAATTGGATAATAGTTTTAATTGCCTTCAAATTAATTCCAGGACGATTGATGAATTAACTCCACTCCACGTTGCATCAGGAAAGAAGAGCCTCAAAGTAATAGAATTACTCGAAAATAATGAAGCCGATCTGAAGGCAAAAGATAAAAACGAATGGAATTGTTTACATTTTGCTGCTCGCTATGGAAATTTAGAAATGGTTAAATATTTGCTAGAAAAAGCTCCAAACTTATACAATTCAAAGACAAAAGTTGGTGCCACGCCATTTTTATTGGCAGCAGGCAATGGTGACATAGAAATCTTCAAACTCTTATTGTTAGTGGAACAAGATAAAGCGAAGGAACGCGAAGATTGGAAAAATAATAAAGATGACCATGGTTTTAATGTATTGCATTACGCATGCAAATTTGGTAATTTGAAAATCGTCAAATACGTTTTGTTCCATGATTACTTCACACTGAATGATACCACTTATGACAATCGTAAAGCCCTGCACATTGCAGCTATGACTGAGCAAACGTCCCTTGTTGAGTGGATTGTCAGTAAAGGTGCCGAGATTCGATCAAAAGACAAAAAGGGATGGACTCCACTTCACTATGCTGCCAGATTCGGAAACATTCAAACGTTGAAGTTTTTGACCAACTGGGATCCTGATGTATTGAAAGACGTGACAAATCGCAAGAGCACTGCTCTTCACTTGGCAGCGAGGAACAAAGATGTGCGACTGTGCAGATATCTCGTTGGTAAAGGTTTACAACCTTCTGCATTAGATGACTATGAACGTGACGCACTTTACTATGCAGTGCAATCTAGATTTTACAAAAGCATTTCGTATCTGAAAAGCTTAACTGCACTTCATAGCGGTACCTTTTTGGAAAACAATGAAGGACAATCTGATGATGACGATACCCACTTAATTTAGCTGAAATTTCTATGGGAAATGAGTTAAAGCTTATTGTTGAATTAATTGATTTCAAATAATGATTCTGCCTGTGTCATAACGCATGAGTCGAAGAATGAAAGTTTGATTACAAAAGATATTGTATTATACTTGGCATAATTGAATGTTTATAAATAAAATAAAAACAAGTGCAGAGTCACCAGATGAAAATAGGGATGTTCAATATAATATTTTGATTTAAATAAATAATCATAAAAATAAATATATTTCCCCCAAAACTGATGCCTTTTTGAATTCATATTACCTTTTGTATTTAAAATGAAAATTCTAAGTTGCTTGCATATCTATTAGAAAACGGTGCAGTAAAATGTCATTATATTATTATTATTATTGTTGTTTTTCCAAATTCATAATATTGAATAATAATAATTATAACATTTATTTTTTTGGAAAAGCATGAAAAGAAATTAAAAGTAAATTTAAACAAAATATTTTTTAAATTTGAGTTTGAATATTGGCGCTGATAATTGTTATAATAAAAAAATTATTTCAGTATTTTACTTCTCTTAAAGTTACAGAAAATTTTAAAAATAGGTAGAAAAGTCATAAATTTTTCTCCATTTATTTAATCAAATTACATAAAAAATCTCTAAATTTCTGTATGCTTATTTTAAATATAACTAAGTTTACTTGATATGAAGGATCATTTTGCGTTACTTATGTGTCCATCAGACGCATTTTTTATTTCCTTCATCTACAATGAGTTTTTATTGCATACTTTTCCACACGTGCCACCATCCTCATATATTTAGCTCGTAATTCACGGCTCCCTTTAGCCCCCGTTTTGCCGCCACGACGTGTTGCCGCGCTTTTTGAAACGACCGACGCGCCATCTGACGGGCGCTACAAGCACTCGCCCCTCCCATTTGCTTTGCTATTTTTGCTTTGTTTTCCGCGTTTTCCGTCGAGGTTGAAAGGCAAAAGCGTGAGTCATCCTAAGTCTTCGGCGTTTCGTCATTATTTGTCCGAATCTGATCGGCCGACGTGGTCTGAATCAGTCGTCCGAGCGACCAACCACCGGTCACGCCGTGTCCTGATCAAAAAGCCGACTCGAAAAGTCGCCGAATCTTCCACTTGAGTCCTTCTCAATTCCTAGAAATCAGAACGTTATTTTTTTTCTCTGGAAAGAGTTCGACCTCTTTCAAAATCATCTCCAGACTTGAATCAACTTTAATTCGAGTCGGACGATAATTAATAATTAACTCCACGAGCAGGTCTGTCATTTTCATTTTTCTGTTCGCAAAAGCGGAATTGAGTGAAAAAAGGGGGCGTGGCCGCTCGTAAAAATAGCCGGCTTTGCTCGTTTTCTATTTTAATAACATTTGGAATTGCGCAGGTTTCGATCAGAATGAGTCTCCAGTGGGCTTTGATCGCCGGATTCCTCTACGTTGAGATCGCCGTCGTCCTGCTGCTCGTCCTGCCCTTGATTTCCGCCCGAAGGTTTTTTTACCGTTCAATCAAATCTTTGTTCGGATTCATAAATTTTCAATTGCAGATGGCAATCCTTCTTCAAGTCGAGGTTTCTGCAAAGCCTCAGCAACCAGGCGCACTTGTACTTCCTCATCCTGCTGGCCATCCTGGTCTTGTTCTTCCTCGGTAAGAATTCTTAAAGAAAATTTCACTTCGGGACTTAAAACAAAAGTTTTTAAAACATAAAAGGAATATTTATGCAATAAAAGATAAATACTTTCCGAGTTGGTACAAAATATAATCAATTTTGATGTTGATCAGTTCAATATACTGTTGGTTAGCCTGCTAAAATTAAATAAATCAATAATTCTTAAGGGACGGTTGTACATATTTGCGTTGACCTTGACATTTTGGTCACCAATTGATTCCTCGTAACCTGACCTTTCCAATGATGTGTCACACTTCATGTTTAAAATCCGATGTAAATTTAGTGGTGGGGGAACCGTTCGGACCAATCAGATTGCTTGATTCCTAAAATCGTCGTTTTCTTTTCAAATTTATGGATGACATTAACCTATTAGGTCATGAATCGTTTATACTTGACTCTGGCTTTGTCATAACACCTATTTTTACCAGGTTCACCAAGCGCATTTTGATTTCAACTCCCAATTTAAGAAGGAAAAGTTGATTTTCTAAATTTCTATGAAATTTTGATCAAATTTTATCTTTTCCAAAAAATCTAGTGTAAATTTGGATGGGGTTTTTCAAAACCAATCAGATTACTTTAAATTAAATAAATTACATATCCATATTTTCATTGAAAGCCCAAATTTTTAACAAAATAATATTAAATTTTGCAAATTTTGAACTATTTTTTTGCAGATGCTATTCGTGAGATGCGCAAGTACTCAGACAAGGAGCACATGGCCGACCACCAGCACCTGGACGCAGAGATGCAGTCGACGATGCGCCTCTTCAGGGCCCAACGCAACTTCTACATCTCGGGCTTTGCCCTCTTCCTCAGCCTGTCAGTTTCGCTTCTTTTTTTTTCATTTAAATTAAAATGATTCGCTCTTCAGGGTGATCCGCCGTCTGGTGACCTTGATCTCGACCCAGGCCATGCTGGAAGCCAACTCTGAGGCGTCGATGAAGCAGGCCCAGTCGGCCACCCAGGCGGCCAAGCAGATGATGACCTTGCCCAAGGAGGAGGTCCAGGAACTCAACAACCAGATCAACGAGCTCAGGAAAAGTTAGAATGAAATTTAAAGTTTAATTAATGATGGGATCCGGATAGTTCGAGAGGTCGAATTCTTTAAAATTGTCACTTTGACTTTAAAATTTGTGGTCACCAGTAGGTTTTGACCTTCCTTGAAATTTATTTACTCTAAAGAATTATGAAGTTTGTAAAACTTTGAGGAAAATTTGGGAATTTCTTTATTCATATAAACTAAATTATCATTCTCAAATGAATATCTTTTGGTTTAAAAATTTATTTGATTTTGATCTCTAATTTTTTATTTTGAATTTGAATTCAGCTCTAGAAAAGGAGAAGAAGGACAAGGAGGCGGTTCTGAGGCAGAGCGAAAACCTGTCCGAGGAGTATGACCGTGTCTGCAAGTTGAACACTAGTTTGGAGAAGAAACTGGCCGCCGAGGCCCCCTCCAAGAAGGACGACTGAAATTCTAATAATATTAGCTCCTGGCGGATCCAAATGATTTCGCTGGAGATTTTTTTCTTCGTGTTTATTCGAACCTGGGTTAAATTATGCTTTCTATGGTAATGTTTAAGGATTTCAAATTCCTGCCATAATATTTCTTTGCACTGTTGAATAATGTGACTTGCTTTTTATTAAAAAAAAATTCATAAATTATTGAATTTAACTCTTGATATTTCTTTGAAATTGTTGCCATGGCAACGCCAATCAAAGTGTTTGGACGCTTCGGTAGTTTGTACACGAAAATATGTCTCATCAGTAAGTAGATCACCTTAAATTATTGGTAAATTAAACCTGATTTAATTATTTTTTAAAGGTATTATCAGAAGGTTTGGGCAGAGGCGGTCAATGTGCTCAACACAGCCTCAAGTCTCGATGCCATTTTGCAGTCTGCGAAACCGGAGAGGGTAATTCTTTTATAAACGATTTGTCTGAATTAAAATTATGACAAATAAAAGTTTTTGTCCCAAATAATCATTATTTCAGCTAATATTATTAAAGAAATTAACCCTACGTTGAATTTTTTTTTTAAATCACGTTTATTGTAATAAAAAAAACTCAATTTTTGATAATATCTTTTTAAATAGGATAAGAAGCTGAGCCACACCATCGTGTCCGGTTTGTACGCCAAGTATGCGTTGGTGTTGAAGAAACTGGACGCTTGTTTCGACCAGACTGTGCAGCCGCAGAAACGCATCATGATCAGGAAACTGCTCGACGCCACCATCGGCCGCCTCATCGAAGTCAAAGTACCAAATTTTCAGTTTTAAATCACCAGAAAATTAAAATTTTAGATGAATTTAGCATGAAATGGTGAATCTGGACCTGTCCGAGTTCAGCAACATGGGCGGCGCTATTGCCGAGCTGCAGGTGCTGCCGTCGGACGTTGAAGAAGTGGTCCCGAAATATTACAAGGCGCAGCGAATGCGCGAAATCACAGAGAGAAAGGCTCATCTCAACTCCATTCTTAAAAAACTGGGCATTTTTGACGAGGTAAAGACTTAAAATAAATTTATGTCTTGTAAAGCCAAATATTTGCTTTTTTGCAGAAGCACAAGGCGTTGGTTTTAACTGAGGACGAGGCGATTCGGCTGATCCAGACCCACGAAAGGGCCAGACAGGGTCGCCTGCGCGCCAAACTGATGCGCGAACTCACCCTTATCAAGAACAAAATGCGTCCAGCGGCGGCGACGAATGAAAAGATCAAAACCGCGGAAGAGGCGGCCCTCGTCCTGCAGAAAACCTGGCGAGGCCTCCAGTCACGCCGAGCCACCAAAAGCAAGAAAATCGCCGAAATGATCCTCATCGGAATGGTAAAAAAAAAACTATAATTTTTGTGCTACAGACGATAGGTTTAAAAAGTTAGCAACCAAACCTCTCATTTTGAAAAAAAAATTGAATACAAAATAAATAAATAAAAACTTTGGCTAATTTTGTATTAAATTTTATTACTAAATTTAAGTTTTTTTTTTTAATTTTCAGATTCCAATATATAATAGAAAAATAGTAAATAGTTCTTTTAAAGGCAATTCCAACGATATCCTGGAAAGGCACTTTGTTTAAAACAGTATTTGATATAAAAACGCATTTGAAATTAAGCCTGACCGCCATTTTGAAAAAATGGCCGCCTTGTCGGAACAAAATTGTTGCATATTTTGGCCAATTTTGCAGCAAAATTGCTGTTCCAGCATATCATTGGAATCGTCTCAGCGTGGCCAATCAGAATATGACATTGCATTTCTTGTTTTCAGCAACAGCCGGTTGTGGTTGAGGAGAGGCAGCGGAGGCGGGCTTTGGAGGTGGAGGAAATGAGGCGGCAAATGCAGGTCGTGTACAGGGAGCGTTTCCAGAAGGCCATGGTAGAGGAGCGGCTGCGCGTCGAGCAGTTGCAGACCCTCAAGTTGACCAGGCAGATTGCCAGCGAGGTGCGAAACTGGTTCATGGACTACAAGTAAAGTGCCCCTGTCTGCCGAGACACAAAAGGTTGTCTAAGTTCTAAGTTTTCATTTTTTTTTTTCAATCAGGAACGGAACGGGCAAGTTCCCCGAGCTGCCCACTGAGGAGATGGGTGGGTCGGCCATATTGTTTGGAGGGGGTGGCGACCTCGAGCAGGGGGTGGCCGAGAGTGAGGCGAGCAAGTCGACGGTGGCCTCGACCAAGGAGGGGAAGTCGAAAAAGGACAAGGGGAAGAAGGCCAAGGAGAAGGAAAGCAAAAAGGCAAAGGACGCAATGGACGACGACCCTGGCTTCAAAATGCAACCCTCAAACTTCCTCCCCTCCATCCTCTCCGGCAACACCGAGTTTGATGGTCTTTATTAATTTATATTAAGTTTTTGAGCAAAAAAAATGTTTAAATTTTATATAGAAATTTGGAGAGGGAAAAACGAGGTGGACAACCCTTTGCAGCACCACTACATGGACATGATCGAGAACGAAAAGCAGCAGGAGGTGGAGCGGGAGGTGCGCAGGGTGGTCGACGAGGCCCTCAGGGTCGAATTGGAACTCTTGAAAGCGGTCAGTTGAAGAAATATTGAATTTTTTAAATTTTAACTGAAAAAATCAGGCTCTAGATCGTGACAGGGCAAATCGGGGGAAGAAGGTGAAAAAGGGTGGCAAGAAAAAAGGGCGCAAGGGTGGAAAGAAGGGCAAGAAGAAGCGCGAGAAGGACCTGACGCCCGATAGGACGACGGACTCGCTGTTCGAGGAGTTGGTCACTCAGGGCATCATCAGGTACTACCCTGACACGCCCCTGTCCAACTTTTTCGGCGACTGCGCCCTGGCAATGCACGAGCAGAAGAAACAGGGCAAGGAACCTTCGCCAGGGTTGGGCGACGTCCGCAGACTCATCAACGAGTACTGCATCCTGCCCCTTGGTATTTCAAAACCTGATTTCAAAATATTTGGAGATAATTTAAGTAATTTTTGAAGGTTCAAAGGAAATTCATCAGGCATCGCCTCTAGTCCGCTCCGTGCTTCTCACGGGCCCCACCGGAAGCGGAAAAGACCTGATTGTCCAAACGGTTTGCTCCGAGTTGGGTGCCGTTCTTTTCGACCTGACGCCCACCAACCTTGCTGGCAATTACCCTGGCAAGGCTGGACTGACCATGCTCGTCCACCTCATCAACAAAGTTGGTTTCAAAATTTATGAAAAAGAAACTTAAATTGTAAAAATTTGTTCAGGTTTCTCGATTGGTGCAGCCGTCAGTGCTGTACATGGACATGGCCGAGAAGCCGTTCATGAAAAAGGTGCCCAAGCAGGACAAATCTGACCCGAAACGGTTGAAGAAGGACCTTCCGAAGATCGTCAAGGGCATCGGCCCGGACGACCAGATCATTCTGATCGGCTGCTCAAACAACCCCTGGGAGTGCGACCAAAAAGTACAAAATTGACAAATCAAATTTTTTTTAAAGACCAATTGATAAAAACTACAATCTAGGCCCTGACGCAGACCTTCAACAAGATCATCGTGTTGCCCAAGCCAGACTACGGGTCTCTGTCGGCAATGTGGCGCCACCGGTTGATGCAGTTCCCAGCCGTCAGCCGCCAGTTCAACACTGGCGTCATGGCCAAGCTGTGTGACGGATACGCCATGGGCACCGTCGTCAAGGTCATCAATGAGGTGATCAAAGTCATTGAAGTTAAGAGCAAAAACTTGAAAGAATTTCAGGTGATGACCTGCAAAAGAGTGCTTCAGCTGAAGACGCAGCCCCTGACGCACGCCGAGTTCATCAACTGCCTGGCCAAATACGATCCAATTTTCAGGTTTTGAATTCCTCAAAATCATATTTTAATTGAATTTATTATTTAAATTTTGTTCAGGGAGGAGGAGGAATGCTACTCTCAGTGGTACGCGAAAACTCCGCTGGGCAAGAAAAAGATTCGAGCTCTGGAACTGGAGGAGGAGATGAAGGCCGAGAAGGAAAAGCGGAAGAAGAAAAAGTAGAAAAATGTAATTTTTATAAGGTTTATAAATCAAATCAAGACTTTAATTTAAAAAAATAAGCTCCGCTTTTATTTCGACTCTTGTTTATTTCTAGATCTAAATTAATGAGGTTTTAGTTTATTTGGTATAGGATTTATTTTCAGCCTGCCCGGACGGCGCGGTCGAACTCGGCCTCGAAGTCTGACCGTTCCAGCATGTAATCTGGAAGGGACATTCCGAGCCGCTTGTCGTACCTCACACGCGTCTCGGCGCTGAACTGTCCCTCTTCATCTGCAATCTGACCAAAATCAATACTCAAATAATCTATTTTTTCAAATACAAGACACGGGAAAATTGAAAAGGCTTTCTTGATTTAATTTTGATTAACAAATCAAGTGAAGTTTTTAAGCTTTTGAATGCAGAGCTTTTTATTTTTTACATATGAAGTTGATGAAACTTAAATTTGGCTAAAAAATAAAAGGATTTTAACGAAATAAGATCAATTTTATCGAACCTTCGACTCCTCAGGTGCAGGTGTGGTCTCCTTCTTGTCCTGCTTCTTCTCCTCCGCAGGTTTTCTGACGCGTCGCTCCTTCAGCTCGGCAGCCTCTGCCTTTGTCGGCTCCTCCTTTTTGGGCCTCCTCCTGCGTCCCTCCTGATTTGCCTTTTTCCCTTCCCCCTGCTCAGGTTTCCTCTGCCTCGGCCTGCGCTCGGTCGTGGGCGGTCCCTCGGCCTGCACGGTCACGACCTCAGTGGTGCTGCTGGTCACCGCGTCCGGTCTGCGGCGCCTCACTCGCGTCTCCTTCAACGAAGTGCCCGAAACCCTCTGTCCTGACGAGGGACGCCGGCGCCGCCGCTGCTCAGCACCAGAACTACGAACCTGCGTTTTGGGTACAGTGTCAGCTACGCGCCCAGTCTACCGTTTGTGCAAAATTAATCTTAAATAAATACCTAAAATTTAAAATGTATTTACAAAATTAACGCAGAGGATCAGAAACTAAAATTTACAAACTACGAAAATTAACTTTTTCGGTGGAGAGTTTATTTCTACATCAGTGAAAATACACCAGTGCGATAATGTAATAATTGCTTAATTTAACATAAAATCATATTCACATCAACACACACTATTAACATAAAATTTTACAAGTTATTTAATCGGTTAGTAACAAAACAGAGAGATCATGCATCAATATAATTACTTAATTTAATTCGGCATGTAAATCTCAACTAAGGGAGGAGCCAGTCGGCCCCAGGGGGATGAAGGGTGGTGCCGAGGAACTGACCAGGAATCGAACCGAGCTCCTCTGCTTCAAAAGTGGTTGAAATTGGACTGGAAGGGAACTAAAAAAAGTTTACAGAAAAGCAAACACCAAAGATAAAAAAAAGGTTTTTTAGATTTGGATAGGTTTTGGAGGCCCTTAAAAATCTTGACTCATGCACACCGCCGCCACCTGGAGGTTAATTGTCTCTCTTTCTCGCACTACTACTGTACCTGCTTCTGGTCGACCGACTGCTCTTGCTTTTTGGGTTCGGCGGCGGCTTGTTTTGGCTGAAGTTTGTTCTCCTTGCGGTCCGAGTAGGCCGTCTGGTGGGCGGCGGGCTGGCTGCTCGCCACGTACATGCACTCCTCCTGCTTGGTGCCCGAGTCGTCGATGCACTGCCAGCAGGTCATCTGCTTGCGCTGCACCTGCGTGCAGTTGGTGCGGTCCTTGCCCAGGAAGTCGCCCATCGCCTTCTTCAACTCCTCGCTCGGCTGCGCGACGAACGTGTCCGGCAACTCTTCTTCCGTCGTCGAGTACTCGCGCACCTGAAAACATTCAAAAGCATTTGTTCAGATTGGCTGTGAGGAGAGGATTCCAACGATAGGTCACAAGGCCAGCTTCGGTTCAAAATTATGTAAAATGGACAGCCGCCATTTTTTCAAAATGTCCGCCGGTAAATCATTTTACCTGCGGAGCGTTGTTTTTCCTCCTCTGCTGCTCCTTCTGGTTCTTGGGCGCCTCGACGGCCTGAGGCTTGGGGGCGTTGCCCTCGGCCGGCTTGTCGTCCTCGCCGCCGTAGCTGGAGGACTCGTAGTAGGTCTTGAGCGGGTCGTCCACCGTCTTGGAGAAGGAGAACTCGGTGGGCGAGTAGAACTCGTAGGCAGGCTTGTGCACGCTCTTGGGCTCAGTCTTGGTCTCCTTCTTGTACGCGAACACCACCGGCTTGTCCGTGCTCTCGTACGAGTACAGCTTGGTCGGCTGCTTCTTCTTTGATGAATAGACGTAGTCGTTCGGGCTGGACGCGTAGTCCTTCTTCTGCTGGCTCGGAGATGCTTCCTGAAACACAAATTAGATCAACAATTGAATAATATGCTTAATTTGCTTAATGTGACACAGCTAACAATAAGTTAGCTTTGTAGGATTTACTGGTGCTAACTTATTGTTAGCCCAATTGATTATACTTTAGATTTCCCTGTCAATTTTTATCAACAATCATTTAATTTTTAAATCTTTCAAAAGATTCGGATCAAAAGAACTTGGTTAAGAAATAAATTAGAGGCTATAATCATTATCTCATTACCTTGGTTTCGTAGTAAAGGTCGACTGGAGGGTCAGTGGTGTGGTAGGAGTGGCTCTTGGAAGGTTGTTTCTTGAAGCTCTTGAAGTGGTACTCGGTGGGTTTTCCCGCGTACTCGTCTGACCCTTCGGCCTCCTCCTCCTCGTCATCATCCCCTTCCTCCGAAGCCACCTCCTTCTTTGAGTTGTGCTGCTCCGAAGGGTGACCTGAGTAGCCGTCCTCGTCCGACCCTTCCTCCTCAGAGGAGGCCTTCTTGCCCTTGGACGACTCCTTCTCGCCGTAGCTTGAGTAGCGGTGCTCCGACGGCTGCTTTTCCTCTCCCTCTTCCTTCTTCGCCTTCTTGTCTCCGTCGGGCACCTGACGCAGGGCCTTCAGGTACGAAGGGGAGGGTTGGTAATAGTCGCTCTTGGGGTGGTTCACCGGAATTCGCGCCTTTTCGTAGCTGGACTCGGGAACCTCATATCTGAAAGATATAAAAATTTGGAGAAATGGCCGCTACCTCCTGGCCGCTATACCCTGAATTTTCAATCAGGTTTAAGGTACCCTTCCAACATATCTATGAACTCGTCTCAACGATTCCTATAAAAATCTATATGTATCTAAACTGTTATAGACACCATCTTGGAAAAATGGCCGCCACCCTGTTTCTTATCACGTTTAAAAGTACCCTTCCAGCATATCCTTGAACTCGTCTCGACAAATCCTATCAAAATTTGTGTTCTTTTCAGACTTACCGGTAGTTGGTGTTGGAACTGGAGAAGTCGGGGCCGTCGTAAGCGAACTTTCCGACGGAGGAGGAGGCGGCGAGGTACTCGCTGCTCGGCTCAAAGAAGCTGTCCCTGATCTCCTTTTCGATCTTGGACTCTTCGCGGTCGCCGTCCTGGGCCACGTCGTCCCAGTCGAATTTGAAGTGCTTGGGTTTCTCGTTGCTGCTCGAGGTCTTTTCGTGCGACACGAAGAAGGCCTTGTTGCCGGGGTCGGTGCCGTACGAGCACTTCTGGTAGAAGCCGCCCTTCTGCAGGTCCTCGCACTTGTAGCAAGTCATCGTTTTGTCGACCGCCGCGCGCCGGAACCGACCTCGGTACACGTCGTCGGCGCTCACCGGCTTCGTGTCAACTTTTACGCATCTGAATTAAGAACCACACAAAAGGAAATAATAATTAGACAAAATTAGATGGATATTTTTACAAAGTTTCTAATTTCTTAGCTAATTTTCCGTCTAATTAAAATTTAAAATCGTTGAAAATTCATGGTTTAGACAATTTTAAACAAAACTTCAATGAAAATTTTTTTTACTTTTCTTTTTGTTAAATCGACATTAAAAAAAACTTTTTTTTTCTTTTAATTTATATTTAAAGAGCCAATTTGGGGGATTTTAAACAAAGAAATATTCTATTTAGATGCTAAAATGGTGGAATTTCCTACCATATTTATAATTATTAAAAATATTGTGAAAATATTGACCTGATTTTTTCCTCAGGGTCGGTGTTTTTTTCCTCCTTGTGCTCGACCTGTTCGGTGGCGTCAAAGATCGGTTTTGGCGCCGGAATGCTCTTGGCCTCCGAGTGGTACTGCGACTTTCCGCTCGGTCTTTTGGACTCCGAAGGTCGCTTGAAGAACGACCCGAATTCGTCCTCCGAGTCAAAAGATTCTTTTTTCTCGTCCCTGGAACTAATTTTTGAACAAAAATAATTTAAACAATTAAATTAATGAAAAAAAATTCTACCTTTTTGGTTCGCTGGCCGATTTGTAGAATTCGAACTCCTCGGGACGGGGCGGCTCAAGGACGGCGTCAGAGTTTTTGTAGCGTTCGTAGTTGTCGGCGTAGCGTCGCGGGTACTGCCGCAGCGAACTGACCGAAACGGCCAGCAGGACCACCAACGTGGCCGCTAAAATCTAGGACAAAAAAAAAATGCAATTTTGAAATATAAATTAAATTTTAATAAAAAATACAAGAAAATCAGTTAAATAAATTGATTTCCTAGTTGAAAAATTATTTTCAGAGGTAAGAAGATTGGAAAAAAATAATATATGCTTCATTTTTAAAATTTGATAAACAATAATTTTAAGTAATCGTGTTTTTTTTGTAATTGAATAATCAGGCTAGATTTTCATTTTGAATTAAACATTGCTTTCCAAGTAATTATATAAAATTGAAAGTATTTTCTTTTAATACATACATTAAACTGTAGATTTAAAAGTTAAAATAGCTAATTTTGGAAATTTTTATAATAATTCATCGATTTAATGATTAAAACATTTAAAACTATAAATTTAAAATAGGAAATTGTTAAAATAGTTGACATTAATTGTTACACAATAAATTCTTTCAAATTATTTCCCCAAAGCAAGATTTCATTGTGTGAATTATATAAAAGAAGTTGCAGCGCCGAATTGTGTGTTTCTTTTGACAGAGCTTTGGAGCGGCGGAAAATCGAGTGCGTGTGAATCAGAATAAGACAATCGATTGTTTTTTGCCGTTTCGCTTTCGTTAATCAGCCAGCGTGGCTTATCAGGTCGGTCGCGCCTTTTGTGCCGCTTCAAGCTCCATCGGCCCTTGATCGGCCCCGCGCCAACACTTTCACTATATCCGACAACACTAAATTATTTTGCTGAATACTTGCAAAACTTTAATTAAATTTAATAAAAAATTAAAAATAATGCAATTAAAAAAACTTAGTAAATTTTAATTTAAAAGTTTAAATAAATAATTAAAAAAATTATCATTGGAATAAGAAAATACTTTAGACTTACGTTCATGTTGCCAAATTTGGAGCCTCTCCGCCTTTTGAGATCAATTGTGTGGTTTTCGAGATGAGGCTGGCGCCAAAATGAAGCTCTCGCCCCGCCAACCTGCTTTATAACCCGAGCGCCCCGCCAGGTTCGATCGAACGCGAAAAACAAACGCTCGGACGCTTCCAGCTTTCAGGTTGTGTCACTCGGCGACGAGGACCATTCAAAATAAATCTTCATTCAAATCGGGAAGCAATAAATTTTATTAATTTATTCCAAATCAAAATATTTGATTGAATAAATCGGAGTTTCTCAGGGTCAAAAAGGGTCTTTTTCGTAACAAATTCAATTTTTATAGAAAGAAATTTTGTCTAAAATGGATTAAATCACGTATTCAACTCTTCAGGGTGAGTTCAGGGTCGTTCTCTGGGTATTGATATACATTTTCATGGGTGTCAAAATATAGGTTTTTGAGTGTGCCGATCTCAAATTTGAAATCATTTATACCTTAGGAAGATAACAAGTCAACAATTGATAATTACAAATAATTTAATATTTAGAGAAATAGAAAAGTAACAAAATTTTGCTCAATTTTACAAATTATCATGAAAAATGAATAAATTTTCTCGAATAAATTTTCATAATTTATGTTTTTATCGCAGAAATAATTCTCTCCTGATTGATGAAGTGCGCATTTGTTATTATTTTTTTGCGGATTTGGTGGCAGTGCCGATCGATTCAAGAAACGCTTTCTCGCGATTACTCGTCTCGTTTGCACAAAGGCGCACCTTCCGCACCAGGCAGGCGACTCGACCCGCTGAGACAAAAACGCCATCGAGGAAGTCGCGACTAATTGATTGCCGAGGCACATCAGCTTTCTTACGCAACACTTTCCAAGACAAAAAAGTAATAAAAATAATCGATTTTATTTCCGGAAATAAATCTTTTTCCATTAATTAATGGATGATCTTTTTAAATTGATCTATTTTTAATTAAATTCTGTTGATATGTTGGAGTTCATTCAACTTCAACAGGAACAAAAAGCGCGACTTCCAAAGGATCTCTCTGTCGCTTTTTTCGTTGGCTAAAGTTGCGTCACTTCCAATAAAAAATTTATTTGTCAACAAACCCGCCATTAATATAAGATCTATAAATTTCTTATAAAAGGGATTTTTTTCGTGTAAATATATGGAAATTTTTTCTCCGTTCAATTCATTAAAAAATTTGAATCAAAAAATTTACTGGCCACAACGTGGTAAACAAATCTAATGTATTAACTTGATCACGAATTTAGAGTTTTTATAAAAAAAAAACCATTTTAGAAGTTGGTTGGCGGAGCTTGGACGATTCCGTAGCAGCCTGCGAGGAGGCGGCCGAAATTCAGCGGAACTGGCTCCTTTGGGGCCCTATACAAATTCTGCTCAGCCATGTATACAAATCTGAATCAACAACAGTCAAGGAAAATAATAATTCAAGTGAAAAATAAATACATAATTTTACTCAATTCTAAAACCAATCTTTTAACAAATAATGAAGAAAATTCTCAAAATGGGATGAAATAATCACTTTGATAATTGCTTGACTTATTTTTTTTTCTCATGAGACAAAAATTAAATTGAATTTTAGTAAAGAAATTTGAAAAAAATTATTGGTCTTGAAAATCGCCGCACCACTTTTTGCTTATGATTGTATGAAAGGATACGGGAGTCTGAGAATCCAGTAGGCGCTCTGCGAGAGTTTGAGGGGTTCGTTGAGTCCAACGACGAAAAGGGGGCAAGGGTCGGGCGCTGGTTGCACCTTCGGGTTCAGGGTAATGTGCACCGGCGCCTTCGGGGTCACCACGTGGATCCGCATCAGCTGCGCCAGCAAAGGTTTCGAGTTCCTGCAAAACAAATCTCAAATTTAAAGCTTTTATAAAAAAAATTTAGAAAAATTTCTAAAAAATTTGTTTCCCAGGGTTAACAATGTCAAATTCAATTAGTCCTTGCTGAGAGCTTTGCAAAGATATGCTGGAAGGCTACTTTCACATCAAGACCTGCTAATTAAGACAGCCGCCATTTTGAACAAAGATGGCGGCCGTTCCGAAAACTGCATTTATCTCCTTATCTTTGAGCGAATTCATCAAACCTGCACATAATTGAGATCGTCTCGTTCAGGGCTATCAGAATTTTTAAGAAACAAATTTGAACCCGACCACCTTTAACAACTCACATTTTGCAGGGACAGAGGCAGTAGAGGGGCATGTCACTCGAAGCGACCTTGGCTCCGGTTTCCTTGACTATTCCGGATCCTGAGGCCTTGAGCATTTTGTCCGGGCTGGACAGCATGAATCTGTGACCCCTGGGACATTCGTACTCGATGCCCAGGAAAATCTTCACCGAAAATTCAATGTGGTCTGAAACAAAAGCCAACATTTTTAATGACAACAATATATATGTTGTTGACCGAACGCCATGAGTGGTCTGAATGCATTCAGACCAAGCGCTTTTAGACCGAATGCATTCGGACCAAGACTCTTTGGTCCGAATGCATTCGGACAACTCATGGCGTTAGGTCAACAACATATATATTAATTTGGTATGAAAAAAATTAACGTTGGTTTCAATTTTCCCAACAATATTTAAATTGCCCTAATTTTGCTGGAAAAAGTTTGAAAAACTATTTTGAAGTTCCCCCTCTCAACTCTGAGATTAAAATTTAATGCTCCATCGAGTTCTACAATAAAATTTTGACCCTTTGAAGCACCTTTTCCGACTTTGGTCTTGCGGTTCTTGACGTTTCCACCGAACTTGCGCTGCTGGTTGGGCGAGACGGGGATGTTGACCCCGGCGGTGCCCACGGAGGTCCACTTGGCCTCGGCCTTGCCCATTTCGGAGGGTTCGAAGCGGACTGAGACGTCCCAGGGCAGCAGGTAGGCCGAGCCGGGCAGGAAGCCGGGCTGGTCGGTGAGGCCGTGGTTGTGCGAGTAAACGGACGACGGCCCCAGACACACCAGCGACCACGACGGGAACTGCGGCAGCAACCCCACCGGCGACCCTGAGTGCAGCATCCCTGGCAGGTACTCGGTCGTCGACGCCTGACGCACCAGACCCTTTTCTGCAAAAAATGCAATCAAACAAAAGTTAATATTTGAGATTTAAAATGTAAAATAACACAGATTTCAATTTTTATTAACCTATATTGCCAAATTCGGTTGGTAAACCTGTTAAAAGAAGTACCTTTTTGATGTGTGAGACAAATAGGCACCCATTGGTGACCAAAAAGGTCAAGGTCACCGTGAGATTTGTGTCGAAATAAAGAGTTATGCAAACTCATTGGTCGACATGTTTCCCCCACCACTAAATTTAAAGTGGCCTCAACACACCAAGTGTGACACATCGACGGTAAGAGCAGGTCACGAGGAACCGGTTGGTGACCAAAAAGGTCAAGATCACCGTAAAATTTGTAGCGAAATGAACGATTAAAGCGATCTGATTGGTTTTAAAACTTTCCCCACCACTAAATTTACATTGGCTTTAAAACATCAAGTGTGACATATCATTGGAAAGAGCAGGTCACGAGAAACCAATTGGTGACTAAAAACTTGCCAAATGTAAAGAAATTCAGATTTTAATGTTTTTTTTCTTTGAATAAATCTCAAAATAGTTTGGATCTTATGTAATTAATGTACCACTGGCAAGATGAACCTATTGGATGATCAAAAAGTTAAGCAATAGATCTGTTCAGGGTTCAGGACGATCAAGCGATCTTATTGGTCCGCATAGTTCCCCCACCACTAAATATAATTCAACTTTTGCATACCAAGTGTGACACATAATTAGAAAGGTCAGGTCACAAGGAATCGATATGCGCCATCAAGGGTGAAGTTGACCTTGCAGGCTTCGATAAAAGCTTGATTTAATTATTTTAAACCACTGATTCACACCTTTTTAGAGTATATAAATTTTTTGCCTTGAATTTCCAGTTTGAAATTGTTAGGAAATCAGTTTCTCACCTTTTGCCGAGTCCAAGCACATCTCCTCCATCCTGAGAAACAATTGTTGGTCCACGAACTCGTCGCCGTCCTTCATTTGCGCCGCCTCGTCCATCCCCGACAAAAGTCCTTTGGCATGTAAAAAAAAATGAAACTTTTGCAAATTTCGGATAAATTTTGGCGCACCTCCGAAGCTGAACTTCTCCTGCTTGCCGGTGTCCTCGTCGACGGCCACCCTGGCCGCCTTGAAGTCCTTGATGCTGGGCTGGAAGACGGGGAACGCCCACTTTTCGTGTCTGTCGCAGCAGTCGGCGGCCAGCGCCGCGTAGAAGTCGCAGTTGGCCGTCCTGAGCACGAAAGGGTCCTCCCTGGGACCCTGTTTGCGGCCGCAGTTGCACGTCGACACGTACCTGACGCCGCTCAGGTGCGGAATCGTCGACAGCGGCTCCTTTCTGAAACAAACAAATCAAATTTGAATTTTTCGGTTCAAATTTTCACGGATTTTGCTGTCGGAATGAAAAAGGGCCAAAATGTTCAACTGACAACTTCAAAGATGGCCACCAGGATTAAATTTTATGTTTACAGAGTCAATTATAGTCCGAAATCAAAATTTGTTAAAAAAAAAATCAACTCGCTGAATCGATTGAGAATTATAACACATAAAAAAATGAAAAGACCTTTAGAACTTTAAAATATTAAGAAAAATGAGTAGAAATCTAGTATCTGCCATTTTTAATTTTTCATACTTCAATTTCTATCCATTAAATCCTTGGTAAATAACGTCACTATGTTTGCAATCTGCGAAATCAATTTTGAGGGTTAAAAATGTATAACTTTCATGTGACGTTAATTTGAATTGAAACTTCAACTGCGAATTACGAGGAGGAAAAAGAAACGCGATGAACTGCGATTGCCCTTTGATTTTAGACCAAAGACGTCACTACGAGGAAAACTAATTCAGACACGCGCGAGATTATTAAAAAAACGAGGAAAATGGCGTCAGATTTTTCAAATTTTCTTATTTAGCATTTTTCAACATTTTCTATGTTTGCTCAAATTACCTCGCAATTCAATTTACAATAAATACTAAAGCTAAAAATTTAAAATAATTGTGTAAGTAAAATGTCATGTAGAATGACTTAAGGAAAATCATTGCATTTTGCTTCGTTAAGCATTGGAGAAATTTGATGATAAATGTTGTTATTTTTCCTGCTCGTTAGATTGACGAGAAGATTGACGAAGGCATGAGAGGGCAGTGATAAAAGCCGGGGATAAAAGGCATTGGCGAATTCGGCGATCGACACTCAAGTGGAAGGACCGAGCATGGCTCGTTTTATTTTAATGATCGTTTCGCTCGTCGCCGCCGCCCTGGCCAACGATTCTTCAAAAAAGGTGCAACTTTTATTTGAAGATTTTTTAAAATCGAAAGTTAGATTTCTTCAAATTTAAGTAAAATGGAAATTTTGGGAACAAAACCATTTATCTGTTAATTTCTTAATTATATCGAAAAACCCTGTTAAGGCAAAAATTTCGACAGAATTGAATTGTAAATTGAAGAAAATAATTTCATTTCAGCCAGCAGAATCCGAGTTTCGGCAGGAATTGTTGAAGAATTTGAACAAGACAAATGAAATGCTGTACCGATTGATGAGAATCGTCAACCAGCAGGTAGAAATTTAAATGCATATTAAATTTTGTAACTTAAAAATAATAATAATTCGAGTCTGAACTTTTTAATTTTGTGACTTTTGAAGCCTGCAGAGATGCGGAGACTGGTGGAGGAGCAAAAGGAGGAGGTAAAGCAGGAGTTGATCAAACTGTCCAACACGACCAACGAACGATTCCACCGACTCGCTAATACTGCTGACCAGCGCCACAATCAGGTAAACAAATTTGAAATCGTTGTTGGTTGCAATTTTCTGCTCCACAACGAAAATTTGATAATTAAAAAGATTCTAACGTTTGAAACCAGACGATGGAAAGAGTTGAAGAGGTGGAGAAAAATTTGAACAAAACAACTTTCGAGAGGTTCAATCGGATGGATTACATTTCATAATTTGCAATAAATTAAATTTGTAAAAAATATTTGAAATTTTACTTTTTTGATGCAATTTGTCATAAAAGAATTAAAATATCTGAACCAAATAGTGATAAGAAGATAAAATTACTTTGACAAAAGAATCAAAATTTATTCATTAAAAAAAAAATGTGATTTTTACTTCAGACTTTACATTTTGCTTACTTTTGAAACGCTCCAATTTTGTGTGAAAGTCTCCAACGTAAAGAGAGGTTAAAAATATTTCTAAAATAATTCTGTTTGATTTCTGAAATTCATTCTTTTGTTTTCCAGGTTCTGGAAAAAGACAAGGAAATGGAAGAGAAGAGGAAGAATGACAGAGAAAAGTTGGACGCTTTGGCAAATTTTACTGAACGTCACATCCAGGTTTGAATCAAATTATTTTCACAAGACTTTTTTTTATGTTGCAAATGGGGCGCGTCGCAGTGAGTAATTACATCGTGGCGACGTCTCATAAGTCAATAAAGAATAATAATAATAATATTGAGGGCGATCCAAAAGGCTAACTTGGCCCAGGCTAATTTGACCTGGCCTGGGCTAATTTAATCCGCCATTCAATTTTGCTGGTGGGCAAAGTTAGCCCGGAGCTAACTCAAGTAAGCCTGGGCCAGGTTAGGCTTTTGGATCGCCATCAATATGGCAGGTAAGCACGTTTTAAGCTGCAGCATGCAGAAGTGCGGCAGATAGGCTCGCTTCTCGCTGCTGCCGCTTGCGCGCAGAAGTGCGGCAGATAAGCCCACATCTGTTGAGCCTGTTAGGCACTGAGTTTTTTGTGTGTATATCGAATAAAAATACTTCTTCTTTCAGTTCTTTCAAATCAGATTCTCACCGCACTGCAACCTCGCTCGTAAGTTTTTTGAATTAAATTTTTAAAATGAATTGATTAAAAATTGTTATGGACTGAACAAAAAGTGACTGGAAAAATATTTAATTGGATAAATTCGCAGGTTTTTCAAACCTGACGGTGCTGTCTAATGGCAAGGTTTACTCCTTCCATCAAACTTCCGTAATTCTCAACTCGCAGCGTCTTTGAAATTTTCTAATTTCTCTCTGACAGGCAAACTGGACTTCTGCAAATGAGACTTGCAGTAAAAAAGGCCTCCATTTGGCCACCATCACAGATCTTAATGACGCACAGCTGGTCGCGGAAAAAGGACGAAAAATTTTTACTAGTGAGAGATGCAAAAAATATTAAAAATAACTGCGAATTTTCCATGCAACTTAATTACTTTCGTTTTCAGATAGTGTTTTGTGGGTTTCGGCGAAAAACCAAGCAAGAGGAAGTGAAAAGGACTTCCGTTGGCGCGACGGGACGAAATTGGAATTGGACAGTCCGTTGTGGTCGGGAAGTGCGACCAAGATGCACGACTGCGTTAGATTTTATAATTATGATAACGGAAAATTGCAGAGCGATGCATGCAGCACTAATCGGTCTTTCGTTTGCGAGCTTCCCAGCGAATGTTACTAAAAACTAATTTGAACGGTTTCATGGTTGCAATCCGAGGTTTTTATGTTTCAACGACGGATTTATTTAAAAAAATTCAAATAGTTCTTTGACTCTTCATATTGTTGTCAATTATGTGTTTGCAGATTATATTTTGAAATAAAATTGGTTAGCAGATTAAATGCAGGTATTGCAGGTATATTATTTAATATATTCAGCCCCCTTGAAAACTGCAAAAAGTTTGCAAGAATTCCTTAAAACACAAGAAAAAGTAGAACTGAAGTTTTTAGGCTTGGTTTTGACAAGCAAAGTTGTTTTTGCCAGAACAAAAGAATTTTTTTATTAAAATGCGATGGTAAAATTTTTTTATCACTCTGGAGTGTTAATTTTGTTCACTGCGTTTAAATACAACATAAAAATTTAAAAGTGGAAAATCGAGTTTTGAAAAGTAACTGAAATTTTTAATTTCCTTGAATTTACAAATTGCAGAATCTTTTTGTTATTAAACATCAGGAGAGGAAATCCACCATGAATGATGGTAGCGGAAATGAAGTGGAGAATTAAAAGAAGAAAAACAAAAAAACCTAGGGTCAATTTTTATAAAAAGAAAATGGGGCATTGATAGGAATATCCACCCTTAAAATTGGAATCTGAAATTTTTACATTAATTGGACTTTTTAATCCAGAATTGAATTTTAAATTCTTCCTAATGTTTTTACTTGCTAAATTTATTCGATAATTTTCTCCTTAATTAATACATTTCAAGGAGCCAAAATGGCCCAAATTAAACGCATTTTAGAGAGCTAAAAAATTACCATTTGCCGATCAATGTTTGGAAACAAAAATGCAACCCGCCCGCCACAAATGTCGTCAGTGTTGCATAAATATTTCACAACAACTTTGCAGCTTTCAAGAAATTTAAAGGAAACGAGTGCAAAAATTAATAACGAGTCTTAATTTTAAAATTATCTCAAATTTTTTCCATGGAAAGGGCTATCAAATTTTACTGGCGTTTTGAAAAAAAAATTCTTATTTATGCTTCAAAATTCTGCCCTTAATAAAGGTTAAAATTTCCTTTAAAAAAGAGCAGAATAATTTAATTCCGCTTGGGACATTTCTTGCACTTTTAACTTGCATCAATTTTTCCAGATGGCCCGAAAAGATAAAATTATCTAAAAAAAAATCATATTGCAGAATGGAGATCAGCCGCTTGAGGAAAAATTGGATGGTTATTTGTTTTCCAGCTCGTCAGATTGACGAGGGCAGAGGGCAGTGATAAAAGCCGGGATAAAAGGCGATGGCCAATTGAGAGAGGGACACACAAGATCAACCATGGGTCGTCTCGTTTGGCTCATTGTTTTGGTCGTCGCCGCCGCCCTGGCCAACGATTCTTCAAACAACAACAACTTTAATTTGAAGGTTTTTTTTTAAATCAAAAGTCAGATTTCTTCGAATCTAACTTCAATGGAAATTTCGTGAACAAAAACATATATCTTAATTTAATTTCTTAATTGTCTCGAAAAACTTTGTGAAGGCAAACATGTTGACTGAATTATACAGTCAATTCATAATTTCAGCCCGAAGAATCCGAGTTTCGGCAGGAAATGTTGAAGAATTTGAACAAAACGAATGAAATGTTGAACCGACTCATGAGAATCGTCTACGAGCAGGTTCTGTTTACACAAATGACATTCATCCTAATTGAATTTGTTGCTGTGCGTTTTGCAGGTTGTGGAGACGCGGAAAGTGGCCGAGGAGCAAAACCAATTGGCCGACGCAACCCAAAACAAATTGGACCAACTGGCCACAAATGTCGACCAGCGCCTCAATCAGGTAAAACAAATTTATAAAACTATAAATAATTGTTAGGGAGATCGATTTTGGTTTTAAATTAAAATTTTTTCTGCTTCATAATGAATATTTGATTATTAAAAAGATTTTAACGTTTGAAACCAGACGTTGGAAAGAGTTGAGGAGGCGGAGAAAGGAAATGAGGAGCTTCTCAAATATTTGAACAAAGCAACTTCCGAGAGGTTCAATCGGATGGAAAAACAAATCTATCAGGTGAGCATGAAAAACACTTCCATTTGATCACAATCTGAGCTGAGAATAAAACTTTTAATAAGAAGAAGATTTGCACATTTCATAATTTGCAGTAAATTTATAAATTTTTGAATTTTGAAGGGATAAACAATTAAAAAAAAAATTTAACCTTTCTGTTGACATTTCTCATAAAAGATTTAAAATATCTGAACCAAATAGTGATAAGTAGTCAAAATTAATTTTGCAAATGGAAGAATAAAAATTCATTCATTAAAAAAATTTGTAATTTTTAGTTCAGACTTGAGATTTTGCTTAATTTTATATGATTTTATAAATCTCCATTTTTGTGTGTGTGAAAGTCTCCAACGTAAAGAGAGGTTAAAAATATTTCTGAATTATTCTGTTTAATTATACTGGAATTCATTCTTTTGTTTGCCAGGTCTTGGAAAAAGATAAGGAAATGGAAGAGAAGAGGCAAAACGACAGAGAAAAGTTGGACGCTTTGGCAAATTTTACTGAACGTCACATTCAGGTTCGAATCAAATTTCTTTCACGAGACTTTCATCAAAGAATAATTTTACTTTTTTCAGTTCTTTCAAATCAGATTCCCAACGCACTGCAATCTCGCTCGTAAGTTTTTTAAGTAAAAGATATAAAATTGATATTGATTCAACAAAAAAGTGACTGGAAAACTATTTAATTGGATAAATTCGCAGGTTTGTCAAACCTGACGGTGCTTTCTAATGGCAAGATTTATTCTTTCCATCAAACTCTGGTAAGTCTCAAACTCGCAGCTTCGTTGAATTTTTCTCATTTTCTTTCAACAGGAAAACTGGACTTCAGCAAATGAAACTTGCAGCAAAAATGGCCTGCACTTGGCCACGATCAGAGATCAAAATGAGGCACAGCTGGTCGCGGCTGAAGCGCAAAGAATTATAAAGGGTGATTTCAAAATGAGAATAAATCTGCGAATTTTCAATAATCGAAATAATTTTGCTTTCAGGTTATGCTTGGTGGGTTTCGGCGAAAAACCTAGGAAGGGGAAGTGAAAAGGACTTCAGATGGCGTGACGGGACCAAGTTGGAGTTGGACAGTCCCTTGTGGTGGGAAAAAGCGGACAAGACGGAGGATTGCGTTCGCACCTATAATTGGACCAATAGAAAATTGTACAGCTATCCATGCAACAGTGATCTGCCGTTCATTTGCGAATTGCCCAGCGAATGTTACTGAGAACAAATTTGAATTAATTAATCTGAGGTTTTATGTTTCAACAACGGATTTAATAAAAAAAAAATTAAAAAAGTTTTGCAACGGTATCTTCTAATTTTTGTGAATTACGTTTTTAGATTAGATTTTGGAATAAAATTGTTAAGCAGGTGAAAAGCAGGTGTTTTTAATTAATCAGCTCCCCTTGCAAAAGAAAATTCTTTAAACACAGGATTAAATTAAATCAAAATTGCTCGGTTTTGAAAAGTGAAGAACATTATTGTTATGAGAAACAGATTAAAATTTTTTAAATGTTATTAACTTCAATTTCTCCAGTCAAAACTGCAACTCAATGATTGCATTTCTGGCCTTGAAATCTTTCAAAATGTTCAGACAACTCCAAAAGATGAATGATTTTTTCATCCTTTAAATTGAAAAATTTATTTTGTAAGGAGGACAAAGAATCTCGATGAACCACGATTGCCATTTAAGTTTTGACAAAGACTTCACTAAGAGGGAAACAAGTCAGACAAAATGTGAAAAAGCGGAGACAAAAGTTAAATAAATATATTTTTTTTTCGATAGTAAAATTAATTTTTAATTAATTTTGAAGTTTCCATTAATCATTGAGATGTTTCCTCAAAACATTTAGATAAATTGTAACGCAATGATTCAATTTTATTTTAATGGTAAAAAAAAATCATGGCATTTTGCATGTTGTTTTCTTGCTGCTCGCCAGTTTGGCGGGGGCAAAGGGCAGTGGATAAAAAGCGTTGGCGAATCAAGGGCGACGCACAAGTGAGAAGAGACCGACCATGGCTCGTTTGATTTTAATGATCGTTTTGCTTGTCGCCGCCGCCCTGGCCAACGAATCTTCCAACAAGGTTAGAAAATTGATTTTTTTTCATTAATGTGTAGGGAATTGCATCTCAATATTTTATTCAAAACGTTTAGAGATTTTGTTTATAATAAAAGTTTAAAAACGACAAGAATTTAAAATAATACAGAAATTACTAATTTAAGGGCGAAAAATTCTGGTAATAAAAAAAAATTAAGGCTGATTTAAATTATAGAAAATGGTGAAAAGAAAATAATTTCAGCCAGAAGAATCCGAGTTTCGACAGGAAATTTTGAAGAATTTTAACAAAACAAACGAAAAGTTGGACCGACTGATGAGAATCGTCTTCAATCAGGTGCAAATTTAAATTCATATTTTTTCTTTTTAACTCAAAATTAATAATAATAATTCGATACTGAGCTTTATAATTCTGTGACTTTTGAAGCCTGTGGAGATGCGCAGATTTGTTGAGGAGCAAAAGGCGGAGGTAAAGCTGGAGCTGATGAAATTTGCCAACGCGACCAACGACAAACTGGACCAACTGGCCAAAACCGTCGACCAGCGCTTCGATCAGGTACACAAATTGAATTGATTAATTGATTCTATAATTTTATTGTACGCCACAATACATAAATAAACCGATAGTGAAACATATAATTTAAAAAATAAAGTGCGATACTAGAGACAATTCGTGCCATTTGTCTGACGAATGGTAAAGAAGACCAATTATTTCTTCGCACTTTCACTTTCAGACAAGATTATCCTTATTTTCAAAAGTAACTATAGCCGTGAGTGGCATTTATCACAATTACTAGACAAAAATAGCATGTGAATTGTCGTTCAGTCTCAATATTCAACTGTTAATTTAGAAATGCTGCAAGATTGAATGAACTTGCCTATGAAACCATCAATGTTTAGAAGTTTATGTTTCTTGCAAGGCTTTAGAAAAGGACAGACAAATTGAGGAACAGACGAAGAACAACAGAGAAAAATTGGACGCTTTGGCAAATATTACAGAGCATCATATTCAGGTTCGAAGCCATTTATTTCCTCAAGAATTTCATTGAAGCCAAATTTTCCGCATTTCAGCATTTTCAAATCAGATTTCTATCACACTGCAGCCTCGCTCGTACGTTTTTCAAATAAAAATTGACAATTTAAAGCGAAAAATCTGAATTTCAGGTTCGTCAAACCTGACGTTGCTGTCCAACGGCAAGAAGTACTCCTTCCATCAAACCAAAGTAAGTCTCAACTTGCAGCTTCTTGAGATTTCTTCAATTTGTTCCTCTGACAGAAAAACTGGACTTCTGCAAACGAGTTTTGCAGCAAAAATGGCCTCAACTTGGCCACAATCACAGATCTAAATGACGCTCACGTGGTCGCGGCACAAGGACGAAGAATTATTTCTGGTGAGGAAAAAAATGACCAGGACTTTACACTAATTAAAATCATTCGCTTTCAGGTCAAGCTTGGTGGGTTTCGGCAAAAAACGAAGGAAGGGGAAGTGAAATGGACTTCCGGTGGCTCGACGGGACCAGGTTGGAGTTGGACAGTCTGTTGTGGTGGGACGGTGCAAACAAGACCAACGACTGCGTTATCATTAATAATTGGACCGGGGGAAAATTGTGGAGCGACCCATGCATCAACCCTCGGTTTTTCATTTGCAAACTGCCCAGCGAATGTTAATGAGAGCAAATTTCAGTTAGCGTTTTGCCCCCAAAACAATTATATTATTTTTCAATACTTCAACGACACGGGAATTTCAAAAAATATAAAATAGTTGTGCGACTTTTCTGATTATTTTTGAATTTTGGAATAAAATCGGTAAACAGATTTTACATGCCTTCGTTATTAATTTATTCCACACCCCTTGCCAATTACAATTGAATTTCTAAACAAGGTAAAACGAATAAAATTAGAAATTTTTACATAAAAAGCCAAACTAGAAACTACCGGGGTTTTATTAATTTCACCCTTAATCACCTCAAGACTTCAGATTTCGCTAATTTATTGCATTTTGTACCATAGAATTGAGTAGTCCATAAATATTTTAATACTTTAGCCCCGTAAAAGTAAAATTAGTTTTTTTTTAACTGAATTAAAAATGCAGAAAAATTACTTATGCGCATTTTAGGAGGGTGATCTGAAAATTTAAAATAGCGAGATTTATTGACGACCTAATATTCTCTCTATATATTCGATTTGACCGTTAACCCTTTCTTCTCTTTTTTCTCTAATTTAAAAATTTTTGTACAGACCGAGAAGAATAAATAATAATAATAATAATAATAATGTTTGGAAAAAAGACGCAACCCGCCAGACACAAATGTCGTCAGTGAAGCAAAACTCACTCTCAACGTTACCAACAAGAAATCAGTAAAAAAATGTTATTAAAAAATTTTTTATTATAAAATAATTTAAAATTGAGCTGAAAAGTCAACTTCTGTCTAAATTTTACTGGTGAATTGAAAAAAATTCCTAAAGACCTGAAATTTTGGCCAACACAAACCGCCGTTAATTAATTAATCTGCATTAATCCATAATTAGTTTTAAAAGTCACGAGTGGGATTCAATTGTTATGCTTTTTTTGAAAGACCATTTTAAAAACAAAAAAAAAAAAAACGCACTGAAAAAGGCCTCCACTTGACCACAATCACAGCTCTAAAGGAGGCAAAAGTGGTCGCGGAAGAAGCAAAAACAATATATTTTGGTGAGATGCATAAGTTTGACAAATTTACAAAGACTTTTCACTATAATTAAAATCGCTTTGCTTGCTGGTGTTGGTTGGTGGGTTTCGGCGAGAAACCACGGAAGTGAAAAGGATTTCCGTTGGAATGACGCGACGAAATTGGAGTTGAACATGTGGGCGGAAAGTGCGGACAAGACATACGAATGTCGTTCATTTGTGAACTGCCAAGCCAATGCTACTGAGAGAAAATTTCAATCAGATCCAATAATTACTGAAAGACGCACTCAATCAAAAAATCTCAAATTGTTTTTCACCTTGATGTGAATTCGGTTTTTACATTGTAAGATTGTGGAATGAATTTTTCAAACAGATTTAATTTGGGATTTTCTAATCGCACCTTTTCTAATTAGTTAGCAAAAATTGTTTTCGTAAATTGAATGAGAATTGCTTTGGTGTTTAAAAAGCGAAGATATAAAAATCAAATATTTTTTTCTCCATCATCGACTTGATTCAAGATTGATTTGATGAATGGTCTTATTTGCGGCGTGTCTGATGAAAACCAAAGACTTCAAAATAAGACACAAACCAAAAGTTTTCGTTCTCCAGTCACACATCCAGAGTTACTTTTAAGGAAAATGCAGAATTCTTCAAAAAAAGGAAAGGATTTAAATAAATATCACCCCAATCTGTTATTCTTGATTTCCCCCCAAATTATTTCTGAAATTTTCTTACAATAAAAATAACATTTGTTGTGAATTGAATTGTCAGACAAAAAGATTTCGCCAAAACTTGCGAGATCAAAAAGATCCCAACTTCAAGAGTGAAAAATATTGTGCAATATTCATGTAACATAAAAATTGCCGAGTGGAACAATTTTAAACGTTTTGTACTTTCCTCTTTCGCGTAAAAATTGCAGTTGAATTCAAAGCAAATTTTGAATAAACACATTTTTAAAAAAATTGCAATTTATGTTGTGCAGACATGAGGAAAAATTGTAGAATGTTGTTTGTCCTTCTGCTCATCAGTTTATTGATCGGTGGGGTCGGAGGGCAGTAATAAAAGCGAGGATAAAAGGCGTTGGTGAATTCTGAGAGGAACACACAAGGACCGATCATGGCTCGTCTGGTTTGGCTCGTCGTTATGCTCGTCGCCGCCGCCGCCCTGGCCAACGATTCTTCAAACAAGGTACTACATTAAATGGAAATTTTGGGAACAAAAACATTATCTTTAAAGTCTCAATTGAATGGAATACCCTGTGAAGGCAAACATGTTGACTGAATTATATAATTGTAAATTGAAGAAAATAATTTCATTTCAGCCAGAAGAATCCGAGTTTCGGCAGGAATTGTTGAAGAATTTGAACAAGACAAATGAAATGCTGAACCGATTGATGAGAATCGTCAACCAGCAGGTAGAAATTTAAATGCATATTAAATTTTGTAACTTAAAAATAATAATAATTCGAGTCTGAACTTTTTAATTTTGTGACTTTTGAAGCCTGCAGAGATGCGGAGACTGGTGGAGGAGCAAAAGGAGGAGGTAAAGCAGGAGTTGATCAAACTGTCCAAAACGACCAACGAACGATTCGACCGACTCGCTAATACTGCTGACCAGCGCCACAATCAGGTATACAAATTTGAAATCGGTGTTGGTTGCAATTTTCTGCTCCACAACGAAAATTTGATAATTAAAAAGATTCTAACGTTTGCATCCAGACGATGGAAAGAGTTGAAGAGGTGGAGAAAAATTTGAACAAAACAACTTTCGAGAGGTTCAATCGGATGGAAAAACAAATCTATCAGGTGAGCATGAAAAACAGTTCCATTTGATCACAATCTGAGCTGAGAATAAAACTTTCAAAACAAGAATAATAATTGCACATTTTCATAATTTTCAATAAATTAAATTTGTAAAAATACATGGAAATTTTACTTTTTTGATGCAATTTCTCATAAAAGAATTAAAATATCTAAACCAAATAGTGATAAGAAGATAAAATTAATTTCGCAAATGGAAGAATAAAAATTCATCCATTAAAAAAAATTTGTAATTTTTAGTTCAGACCAGGTTCAGACTTGAGATTTTGCTAAATTTTATAACGATCCAATTTTGTGTGTGTGAAAGTCTCCAATGTAAAGAGAGGTTAAAAATATTTCTGGATAATTCTGCTTAATTACTGGAATTCATTCTTTTGTTTGCCAGGTTTTGGAAAAAGATAAGGAAATGGAAGTGAAGAGGAAAAATGACAGAGAAAAGTTGGACGCTTTGGCAAATTTTACCGAACGTCACATCCAGGTTCGAATCAAAATATTTTTTAAGACTTTTATCGAATAATAATTTAACTTTTTTCAGCAACTTAAAATCCGATTTCTACCACACTGCAACCTCGCTCGTCAGTTTTAAAAATTAAATATTTAAAATGAATTGATTAAAAATTGATATCGATTGAACAAAAAAGTGACTGGAAAATATTTAATTGGATAAATTTGCAGGTTTGTCAAACCTGACGGTGCTTTCTAATGGCAAGATTTATTCTTTCCATCAAACTCTGGTAAGTCTCAAACTTGCAGCTTGTCTGAATTGTTCTTATTTTTTACTTTTACAGGCAAACTGGAGTTCTGCAAATGAAACTTGCAATAAAAAAGGCCTCCATTTCGCCACGATCACAGATCTTAATGAGGCAACGCTGGTCGCGGCTGAAGCGCAAAGAATTAATGGTGAGGGGTAAAAAATTTTGAGTAAATCTGTGACTTTTCACTAATCAAAATAATTTTGCTTTCAGTTTATTATTGGTTGGTTTCGGCGAAAAACCAAGCAAGTGGAAGTGCAAAGGACTTCCGTTGGCGCGACGGGAGCAAGTTGGAGTTGGACAGTCCCTTGTGGAAGGAGGACGCGGACAAGACGGAGGATTGCGTTCGCACCTATAATTGGACCAATAGAAAATTGTACAGCTATCCATGCAACAGTGATCTGCCGTTCATTTGCGAATTGCCCAGCGAATGTTACTGAGAACCCATCTGATTGGTTTCGTCGTTGCAATTCAAGGTTTCATGTTTCTACGACGGATTTAATAAAAAATTTCAAATAGTTATTTTGCAACTCTTCTGATTTTTGTGAATTCGCTTTTAGATTAGATTGTGGAATAAAATTGGTAAGCAGATGAAAAGCAGGTGTCATTAATTATTCTGCTCCCTTTCAGCTCCCTTTCATAGCACACATTAATAATTGTAATTCAGTTCTTGTATTTTGAATAAAAATTAAAATTTTCAAAGGAAATTCAACAATTGAAAAAAATTTATCGTGGATAATGAAAATTTTTATTTTATTTTTATTTTCATAATTAAAATACAAATTTTGATCGTTTTGATTTTTGTTGTATTTTTGCGCGTTAAAATCAAATTATTTTCAAAAAGATAATTAATTTAACACTTTTAAAATATAAAATTTAAATCTATTATCTCCCGCTTGGTTTTTTTTAAATTAGATGAATTTTAATGTTTGAAAATGATTTTATAGCAAATACATTAATTCCGTTATTATAGATACAGCGCGCTTTTCGCGCGCACAATTTAAATCAAGCGATTTCATTGGTCAAACGTCTACGATTGCCCCGATCGGATCGAAAAAGATCAGAAAATTTGATCTCTCACGATTGCATCAGCCCTCCGCCAGCGGTCGGTACGATTGGGAGCGCCAGCCAATCAGCGCGCGATCGTAGAGCAGCAATCGAATCGCGCAGCCCTTGCGCGCAGCGCTGTACGATACCCGCTGAATCCCACTTTACTTGGCGGGGGCAGAGGGTAGTGATAAAAGCTAAGATAAAAGGCGTCGGTGAATCAAAAGCGACACACAAGTGCAAAGAGACTGACCATGGCTCGTTTAATTTGGCTCATCCTTTTGCTCATCACTGCCGTTCTGGCTGCAAACGAGTGTTCAACAAAGGTAATCAACAATTCAATATCATATTTTCATTCTTGAAATTCATCATGGTAATTGTTGACTACTTTAAAATTGAAAAGATTCATATTTTGGTGAAAGTGAAGAAAGCCTTTTCATAATTTCAGCTGGAAGAATCCGAGTTTCAGCTGGAAATGTTGCATAATTTTAACAAAACAAACGAAAAGCTGGACAGATTGATGAGAATCGTCTTTGATCAGGTTCAAATGAAATTAAACGTGATTGAACTTTTCCAATTTTGTGGCTTTCCCAGGTTGTGGAGACGCGGAAGGTGGCCGAGGTGCAAAAAGAAGAGTTAAATAAATTTTCCAATGAGACCAAAGAGCGATTCGACCAACTGGCCGAAATCGTGGACCAGCGCCTCAATCAGGTACAAAAGGCAATTTCAAAATCCCAATCAATTAAATTTTTAAATACATATGAACTGAATGATTGTTATGCTAAGAATGAAACAAATTTTGGTATTGAAATATTGTCAAAATAAACAATTTTTTGAAACTATAGACGATGGAGAGAGTTGAAGAGGTGGCCAATGAAAATGAGCAGCTCGTGAAAAATGTCAACAGAAGGTTGGATAACTTGGAAAATCAAATTGACCAGGCATGAAATAAAAATTATTTCTATTTTTACAAACTATTGTGGCTACTTTTTAATCAAAACAATTATTGGAAATTCTGCTCCGGAAACGTTGGAACAATTTATTGTTGAATGAAGTTTGATAAATTGAATGAGGGCGATCCAAAAGCCTAACTTGGCCCAGTCTAACTTGACTTAGCCCCGGGCTAACTTAGCCCCCCAGCAAAATTAAATGGCGGGTTAAATAAGTCCGGGCCAGGTTAATTTAGACCGGGCCAAGTTAGCCTTTTGGATCGCCCTCAATAAGATTAAGCAGAAAGTTTTTGCATCGAATTTAATGAAATGCGTGCAAAATTATCAAGAGAAAATAATAAGGTATACTATTTTATTTTTAGACTTTGGAATATTTGAAGCCACAGAATCAACAGCTGAACGAAGCATTCAATGTCAAGGTTCAGTTCACATTGTTTACAGGAGATTTAATTAAACAATAAATGTTGCTGTTTCAGTCTGTTGAAATCGAATCCTCGTCTGTCCCAGCCAAATGCAGTCAGGCTCGTAAGTTTTCCACAACAATTTCTCACTAACTTTTTTTAATAATTACAAATTTCCAGTTTCATTAAAGACGCTGTCCAACGGCAAGAGGTACCACTTCAATAAAACTTCTGTAAGCCTCAATTGATTGTTTGCATTTTGAATGTGGACTTTTTTTTAAATGCAGGTAACTTGGGCTGGAGCAAACGAATTTTGCACCAAAATGGGCCTCCACATGGCCACGTACACGGATATGACGGACGTCGACGCCGTGTTGGAAGAAGACAAGAAAACCTACGGCGGTGTGACAATGACTGATTTCCTCAGCAAAGACCAATTTATCAAAATTATATTCTTTTTTCAGGAAAGGCTTGGTGGGTTTCGGTGAAAAATCAGGGCATTGGAAGCGAAAAGGACTTCCGTTGGCGCGACGGGACAAAATTGGAGTTGGACAGTCCGTTGTGGGAGGAAAATATGGACAAGAAAGAGGATTGCGCCTACACCAACAATTACGCGGAAGGAAAATTAATATCTTTCCAATGCTCAGGCTTCAGTTACGCACTTTGCGAACTCCCAAAGGAATGCTACTGATTAGTAGCCCATAGGAAGATTGGAATAAAAAGTTTCCCAATTTTGATGGAAATAAATCCCAAAAGAAATACTGCTTTCAATGATCAAACTATTTTAATTAATCTTTCAGTCAAAATAATTAGGTAATGTTATTATTTCAATTGATTTGTCTAAATTTTTAGATTGAAATAAAAATTTAAAAATTGCAATAAAATCTTGTCATTACAATCGAACTAGTGTTTTTTTAATTGCAAATCTACTCTGGTCCTAATTTTGTTTCTAGATCAAGCTAAATTTATTATGGTAGAAAAAAATGAAGCAAATTGCGCAGAAAAAATTGGACAAATCAGTTAGCTTGAGTCAAAATTTACTGCTCGATCGTTCATTGCTTTGCAATGGAAACAAGCAGTTTAGAAAATTCACTTATTCTGCCAAGTCACCAAGGGAGTTCTATTAATTTTGGCCATGATAAAATTCTAGGGCAAAAATCCAAAGCAGCAGATGCGAAGAAAAAAAAATGATCGCAATTAAATCGAATTAAAATCTTTATTTTCCCCCCTTTAATGTTTTCTTCACTCTGCGGTTTCTGCGTCAGTTTCTATTCAAAGTTAATCACGTTTTTTATTTCATTAAATATAAAAAATAAAACCTTGACAAAATCCAATCTCGTGCCTCAATATTTCAATGTTGAGAATACTTTCGTGCAATTAAATTGAGGCCAGAAAGATACATTTCTAATAATATATGCTGTCATTAATATATTTTTTTTAATTTAAATTAATCCTTAATTAAATGCGCTAAATTTTTTGTTTCCCGTCTGCATTTTTGATCCGCGGGGGCAGAAGGCAGTGATAAAAGCGGGGATAAAGAGCTTTGGCGATAAAAAGCGACTCTCACAATTGAAAAGATTAGCCATGGCTCGTTTCTTTTCTCTGCTTGCTTTGCTTTTCGCCGCCGCCCTGGCCAACGAATCTGCAACCAAGGTACTCGATGATAAATTAAATTAAATACTTTTTATAACAAACGCAGCAGTTTTTTTAAAGTTTTTACATAAACAGTGAATTTTGATTAATTTATAAAAGTTTCAATCGACACAGTTCTTAGTTCACAATTTGAAATGGAAAAACAAATTCAAATTTTATATTTTCAGCAAGAAGAGTTTAATTTTCGCCAGGAAATGTTGAAGAATTTGAACAGAACAAACGAAAAGCTGGAAAAATTGATGACAATCATCTTCGATCAGGTTTCCCAAATAAATCTACGCAAGCTATAGTTTTATTATGTGGCTTTTGCAGGTTTTGGAGACGCGGAAGGTGGCCGAGGAGCAGACCAAATTGGCCAATCAGGTACAAAAAAATAATTTCAGATTCGTTATAAACATAAATTTCAAACTTCATGATTGTTATTCTGAGGAAAATTAATAAACATGGTCATTAAATTTGAAAACAAAAGCAAATTAGTTTGGCATATTCCTGATACAATAGTCCGGGAAATCAATTTATTGTTTAAATTGAAACAAATAAAGAATAATGGTCGTCAGTAAAATTTGAGATAATTTCACATCAAGGGAAAGTTTTCGCTTTTAAAATCAATAAAAAATTAAGGAAACGAAGTCGCTCATTTCAGTTAAAATATTTGAATGACTTCTTTAGACTCTGGAAAATACGAAGCAACAAAATCAAAAGCTGGAAGAACTATCCAGAATCGCCGATCGCCACTTTCAGGTACGAAATTAATTGAAAAAAAGCAAGAGTTAAAAAGTTCTATTTGCAGTCCTTTATGGCCAACTGCAACGTCGCTCGTAAGTTTAAATCGATTCAAAGAACGCATTGCTTGATTTTAATTGCAGGTTTGGCGACGAATGTAGTAACCCTGTCTAACGGCAAGAACTACTATTTCGATACAAATGCTGTAAGCCTAAATTTTTTTGTGACCGCAGTTTTAGATTTCCAAGTTTTTTGCAGAAAACGTGGGCCGGAGCAAAAGATTTTTGCACTCAAAAGGGCCTCCAGTTGGCTTCAATTGCAGATGAAAATGACGTAAAAGTGGTCGGAGCATTAGGCAAATTTCTTTTGCATCCGCAAGGAAGTTGTGAAAACCTTGCTTTTCAGGTCACAATTTGTGGGTTTCGGCGAAAAGCGAAGGAAGTGGAAGTCAAAAGGTCTTCCGTTGGCAGGACGGGACCAAGTTGGAGTTGAACAGTTCGTTGTGGAAGGAGGACGCGGACAAGACGCAGGAGTGCGTCCGCATCTATAATTGGTCCGGCGGCACATTGAACAGCCATTCGTGCACTGATTTGCGACCTTTCATTTGCCAAATGCCAAGCGAATGCGTCTCAGAATCGACTTGAATCAGATTTGAAGGATTTCAATGATTATTTTTTTCAATTAATCTTCGGGTTGAAATATAAAAAAAAGTTTTTAGCCCACAATAATACGATTCAATCTTTGAGGGGGAAAAACGGTTGATTTTAAATGTTTGAACAATACTGTATGATTAAAATCAGAATTAAAACTTTGCATAATTAAAGAAAAACAAATCTTTCTTCATATAAGATCCGAATCTAAGTTTTTTTTTTGGTCACAAATCTGGTCAGGTTTGTTGAAATAAACAAGAAATACTTTAAATTTTTAGTCCTGAACCCATTCACGAAATTCACTCAAATTTAACATTCCTTTCAGATGAACTAATGGAAAGATCAGAAAAAAAACGTATCTGATACTTGGCCTTTTCACCCGATAAATTGTTTTTGAGCCCTTTTAAGTCTGCATACATTTTGCTTTTTAATTTTCCCAACTCTTGGGCGAACCAAAAGCCCATTTTAACTGTTTTAAAATGCAGACTAAATTATCCTAGGCCACACGTAAGGCCCCTTGAAGTTATCCCTAGGGTCATCAGCAAAACCAATTCAGGCAAACCGAGGTAAAAATTGTACAAATTACAATTTTTAACCCCCTTTTTAAAGATTTTTTACAAATATTCCTTCATTGCCAGAGTTTTTTTTATCCCAATTTCATTACCAGATTAATTTAATTCGGCTTTTGCATAATGAAGAGACTCGAGATGTTTGTTTGTTTTGCGGGGGCAGAGGGCAGTGATAAAAGCGGCAATAAAAGGCGATTCGAGAGCGACACACAAGTAAATTTAAGACCGACCATGGCTCGTTTTATTTTAATGATCGTTTTGCTCGTTACCGCCGCCCTGGCCAACGAATCTTCAATAAATAAGGTACTAAAAAGCATTTATTGTTTGATAAACCGCCAAAATCAGGAAATTTTATCATCAATTTTCAGTAAATTTTGTGTTATTTTAAATTCTAGCGGCTTCCTTGGGTGATCATTTTTATAGATTTTGCAAATTAAATTATATAACATAAATTAATAAAATTCCAAGATAATCAGAAATTAGAAAAAGAAATTGAGTATTCAAATTCAATTATTCAAATTTATCATAAAAGGAAACGCAGATTTTCCAATTTAACCATTTCTTTTATTTGTTGTGAAGCAACAGAATCAAAATCTGGACGGATTTTCCAAAGTCATGGAGCGGCTCCTTCAGGTTTATTAGATAATTTCTTTTTAGAGATCTTTGACTAAAACCGGCTTTTATATCTTCAGCTGGTTGAAATTAAATTCTCAGCCCAATGCATTCTCGCTCGTAAGTTTTTAAGTAATTTTTTTTTCGATCCAAAGCAATAATTCTTTGATTAAAGGTTCGGCAAATTTGAAGATGTTGTCCAACGGCAAGATGTACCACTTCAAAAAAACTGATGTGAGCCTTAATTTGCGTCTCTGGTTTTGCATTTTGCTCCGATTTCTTTTTCCCTCGGCAGAAAACGTGGTCCAGAGCGAACGAGTTGTGCACTCACATGGGCCTCCACATGGCCACAATCGCAGATCCGACCGAGGCACACCTCCTCTATGAAGAAGGACACTTTAATTATGCTGGTAAAGAATTGAACTTTTGTTTTGCCAATTTTGCCGATTCAATCTGCTTCCAGTTCGCAATTGGTGGGTTTCGGCGAAAAACCAAGAACCGAGGGGAAGTGAAAAGGTCTTCCACTGGCACGACGGGACCAAGTTGGAGTTGGACAGTCCCTTGTGGTGGGATGAAGCGGACAAGACCGAAGACTGCGTCCAAATCACATACTGGGAAAATGGAAAGTTGAACACTTTCCGATGCACCGGAACTTCCAACGTACTCTGCGAACTTCCGAGCAAATGCTACTGACTCATTTCCAATCAAATGATTCTTCAGAAAGCAAAATTTATAATGTTTTTATTAAAATATTTTCATTTAGTATGTTTATTTTTTCCACATTGTTTGCAAGAACAGGATTTGTTGGTCAAAACTAAATTTAAAGGGAATTTAAAATTATTTAGCATACAATAAAGACAATTATTTCTTCATAATTTCAACTAAATTAGTTTTACCTCAAATTAACGCTTCCCCAAATCTACCCTGGTAAAAAACGGCAAATCATGTTTTGTCTCAATTTCTATTAAATGAAATTTAATTATAAATGTAATTCAATATGTAATCAATGTGAAAACTGACGAGATGTATAACTAAATTTAACAGCACATCAAATAATAAACACCCCTATGGAACGGATACATATAAAAATAAAAAGATTTCAAGTGTTCAAAAAAATTATTTTTCCATGTACCACATTGGTCGTGTAAAATTCAATTTTTGAATTAATTTATTGACTCGATTTTGAACAAAATTTAGCAGCAGAATTAAAATTGCCGGGGCCAAGTTAGGAAATTAATTTCATCTTGATAAAACTTGAAAACCTTTAATTTACTTCAAGATATGCTTTTTAAAATCCAAGATGACGCTTCTTAGATTGCTACAACTTGCTACACAAATTTTGGAAATTTTCTTCTTCAAAAATTAATTATTATGGACTAAATAATATAATAGTATTTTAGAATTTTTATTAGTTGATAATTTTAAATTTGAATTTATTTGAAGTAAAAATTAAGTTTGAATAAATGCAATCTATTTAAAATAGAGCTGAAGTTTTTCCTTTCTTTGCTGAATTCAATTACCAGTGAATTATGAAGCAACAAACTTAAAAACATGACATGTTAATTTTAATATAATGCAAATTAAGGGCAGTAATTTGAGGAAAAATGGATGATAAATGTTGTTTGCAATTCGGCTTGTCTGATTATTTCAATGGCGAGGTCAAGGGCAGTGATAAAAGCGAGGATAAAGCGCTTTTGCGAGTCGAGGGCAATAATTAAGTGATTAAGCGGAGAGATTGACCATGGCACGTTTCGTTTTGCTGATCGTTTTGCTTTTCGCCGCCGGTATGGCCAACGAGTCTTCAAACAAGGTACTTTGATTGGCAAAAAAATAATATTTAAAATTAATTTTTCTAAGTTGAGAAAACTGTGATTAAATAAATATTAATTCTTAGGATTGAAAATAGTGGAAAGAAAATTATTTATCTAAAAAGGTTTTCAATAATATCGATGATTGTGTTAGAAAAAGAAATTTATGTTTTCAGCCAGAATCATTTGAAGAGGAAATTATAAAGAATTTGAACAAAACTAATGAAAAACTGGACAGATTAATTAGAATCGTCTTTGATCAGGTTCAAAGGAAATTAAATGTGATTGAACTTTTCCAATTTAATGGATTTCCCAGGTTGTGGAGACGCGGAAGGTGGCCCAGGAGCAAAATGAAAAGTTGAATAAATTTTCCAACGCGACCAACGATCGATTTGAGCAAATAGCCAAAAAGGTTGACCAGCGCCACAATCAGGTAGGAAAATTAATATGAAAATATTTGTTATTAAAAAGCGCTCTAATCACTCTTTAGACTTTGGAAGATGTGAAGCGACAGAATCAAAAGCTGGACGAATTATCCGAAATCGCCGAGCGCCTCGTTCAGGTAAATTTGATTAGGAAATAATATAAATAAACTAAATTTTCCTTTTTGAAGCTCTTTCAGGGGAAATTCCCGGCACCACCGTCCCCCTGCATTCTTGCTCGTAAGTTTCAACAACAATTTTCCTACTCCACATTTTGATCCATGTAATTCAAGGTTCGGCAAATTTAAAGATGTTGTCCAACGGCAAAAAGTACTTCTTCAGTACAAACAAAGTACGCCTCTGAATTTCGCATTTTGCTCTGGTAATATTTTCATTTGCAGAAAACGTGGACTTCTGCAAACGTGACTTGCGCTCGCTTGGGCCTCCACTTGGCCACGATCGCGAATTTGACGGACGCACAAGTCGTGATCGAAGAGGGCAAGAAAATGCACGGCCGTACGAATAAGAATTATAAACTTTGCGTTTGGCTCAAATTCCTGGTTAATTTTCAGGCAACGTTTGGTGGGTTTCGGCAAAAAACCAAGGAAGGGGAAGTGAAATTGAATTTCGGTGGCAGGATGGGACCAAATTAGAGTCGGACAGTCCCTTGTGGGCGGACGGAGCGACCAAGACCGACGACTGCGTTTACATCTATAATTACAACAAGGGGAAATTGTACAGCCATCCGTGCTCCGGAACCACTAACATTCTTTGTGAACTTCCAAAGCAATGCTATAATTGATAATTTTTTTATTATAAAAATTTTCTTTATTTAATCGTCGAGTCCAAATGATGAATTAGAACTCGATTATTATTTAAAACTTTGTAAAATAATTCAATAAAGACAATTTTTACGTCGCATTTCAATCAGATCAGCGTTTTCTTATAACAAAGAATTCCAATGCAGGTGAATCTACATTAATTATCTCCTATGACAACTTTTATCGTGTTAGATGTAAAAAGAAAGATTGTATGTAACAAATAATATAATTAATATATCAATTTACTTTCACTGTCACTATTTTTATTTATTTAAATTAACGTGTGCTAATTTTGTTTTGTATAAGTCGGCGAGATATTTGCAGATTTGATTGTTCCATTTACAAGTGATGCCTCGGCCTCGGGTCATCAGCCATTAATTTTTTCCTCGAATAAATCCAATGCCGCAAATTCACACATGCAAAGAAGAATTACAATTTTTAATTTGCAACCTTTTGATCAAATTTGCATTTTTTTTTTATGTAGTAATTTTATTTTATTTCGAAAAATTTCAAAAAGAAATCATGCCAAAAGTATACTTAATTTTGAACAAATCTATATAAAAATTACATATAACATCTTTTAAATCAGCTTATTTTTTATAGCTTATCTGGTTGAGAAACAATTTTGTCGACTTTGCTACCAGATTTGATAATTTTATACTCTTCAAATCATTAAGCAATTTTTTTCATCAATCCTTCATTTAATTTAGGATGATTTTAATGACAAAAGTGAATAAATTTGGAGTTCGTTTATTGCAGAATGAAGAGACTGGAGTCGATATTGTTTTTCTTTCGGCGAGCCCAAGGGCAGTGATAAAAGCGGGTATAAAATGGCTTGGCGAACCGAGGGCGACGCACAATTAAATAAGTGGAAATGGCTCGTTTCTTTTTGCTGCAGGTTTTGCTCGCCGCCGCCCTGGCCAACGAATCTCCAAACAAGGTTCGCAGAAAATTCGATTTTATTATTTTTAGCCAGTTCTGGATATTGCGTAGTTAATTTGTAAGTGGAAAATATTTTCAAATTCATTATATTACAATTTCAGGCACAAAATAAGTATTTTGATAACAAAAACGTGTCTGTTTTAAAAATAACTAAAAATGGTGATAATTTCAGTCGCTAGACTCTGAATTTCGAGAGGAAATGCTGAAGAATTTGAACGAAACGAATGAAAAACTGGACAATATGATGAGAATCGTCAACGAGCAGGTTCAAAATTTGATTTGGCGAAATAAAATTTTGGTAAAAATGGCTTATTTTGTGCTTTTCGCAGCCCGCGCAAATGAGGAGACTGGTGGAGGAGCAAATCGAAAAGTTAGTAACATTTTGCAACGCGACCAACGACAAAGTGGACCAACTGGCCAAAACTGTCGACCTGCGCCTCAATTAGCAGGTACAATTAATGTAATAATCAATATTGAGGAAATCGATTGTGGCTCCGCAATGAATATTTGGTAAATGAAGATTTTTACTTTGAAAGCAGACAATGGAAAGAGTTGAGAAATATTTAAACGAGATGTTCAACAAGCTTATAGAGAAGCAAATCGATCAGGTGAGGATGGAAAATATTTCCAATAGATCACAATTTCAGTTTTGAATTAAATTATTCTGAAAGATAGATTTGCACATGATTCAATTAAATTATTTGTTTACAAAAGGCTAATGAAATTTCTAATTGAAGCTTTAAAACTAAATAATAATAATTAAATAGAGAAAGAAATCAAAATTTATTTAAACCAAAACCCTATATTTGACTTTTAGTTCAGACCTGATACTTCACAAAAGTCTCTAACTTAAAAAAAAGTCAAAATTTCTGGTTAATTTTACTGAAATCTGTTTAAATCAAACTTTTGTTTGCCAGGTTTTAGAAAAAGACACGGAAATGGAAGAGAAGAGGAGGAACGACAGAGGAAAGCTGGACGCTTTGGCAAATATTGCTGAACGTCACATCCAGGTTGAAATCAAATCATTTTATCTGATGAATTTAGACAAATTTTTACAATTTTCAGGTGACTGAATCAACTCTCCTGGAATGCAACCTCGCTCGTAAGTGTAATTTAAAAGGTTGATATCGACGTGACATAAATTGAATCAATCCTCAGGTTCTTCGAACCTGACAGAGCTGTCCAATGGCAAGAATTACTCCTTCCATCAAACTCGTGTAAATGTCTCAACTGCAGCTTCTTTGAATTTGTCTCATTTTTCTTCAACAGGCAAACTGGACTTTCGCAAGCGAGTTTTGCAGCAAAAAAGGCCTCAACTTGGCCACAATCACAGATGAAAATGACGCACAGGTGGTCGCTGCAGAAGGACGAAGAATTTACAATGGTTTTAAGCAAAAATTATGAAAAACGACGGTGACTTTTCAAAATAATTGCATCATCAGATGGTTGGTGGGTTTCGGCCCGAAACGTTGAAAGGGAATTCCAGTGGCTCGACGGATCCGTGTTGGAATTGGACAGTCCGTTGTGGAGGGACGGGACGGACAAGACCAAGGACTGCGTTTACATCTATAATTACAGCAATGGAAAATTGAGGAGCCGTGCATGCAACGAAAATCTGCCGTTCATTTGCGAACTGCCCAGCGAATGTTACTGAAGTTGAAATCCAAGTTTTTTTTTATTGCAACGACGGATTACAAATATATTTCAAATAGTTTGGCATCTCTGATTTTTGAGAATTTTTGTAATTTAAGATAAGATTTTGGATTAAAATTAATCAGACTAATTTCAGGCGTTGTTTATTATTCAACTTAATTTAAATTTGATAAGTGACAATAAATTTGCGTCAACCGAACTAAGAAATTAAAAATATATTTCTTTTCAACAGCAGGGTAAAAAAAATTACATTTTTCGATGCATGAATTAAATAAATTTCTACTTCCAAAAAATTTAGAATGAAATTAACATTCATTTTTTACAATCCTTGCAATTTTTACTAGCATTATTAAAGAACGATGATTTTTTCATGCATTAAATTGACAAATCCGCGAAGGAAAAAGATTTGATCTTGGTGAACCGCGATTGTCCTTTGGGCAATTTGACCCGGTTGTTGTTTACGAGAAATACAAATTCAGGAACGTGCGAGATAAATGCAAACTTTCGGCAGCTTTTTCACTTGCTTTTTTAAAATTTCTTTATAATTTGTGATATAATTGCGTCACACTCTTGTAAAATTTGTGCGCTAAAATTTGAAGCACAAATTTATTAATTAATATCGCAGAATGAAGAGCGGCGATTTGAGGACAAATTGATTGGTAAAAATGATTGACGAAATATTTTGTTTCGCCAAGTCAAAGGTCAGTGATAAAATCCAAGGCTTTGGCGAATTGTGAGAGCGACTCAAGAGTGGAAAGACGAAAGACCGACCATGGCTCGGTTCCTATCGCTGATTGTTTTGCTCTTGGCATCCGCCCTGGCCAACGAATTTTCAAACAAGGTAAATGTAATTAAATTTATTTTCTTGTTTTCGTAATTTTTTCAAGTCAAGTAAGTTGATCAATGGAATTAATTGAGAAAAAAAAATCAAAATTCAGCCTGAAGAATCCGAGTTTCGGCGGGAAATGTTGACTAATTTGAACAAAACAAATGAAAAGCTGGATCAGTTGATGAGAATCGTCCTAAATCAGGTTCAAATTTCTAATTAAAATTTTTGTAATTTTACGAAATAAATTTTTGGTTTCATTCTTTGCGACTTCAGCCCGTGGAGATGAGGAAACTGGTGGAGGAGCAAAACGACAAGTTAATCAAATCTGCTGACCAGCGCTTCAATCAGGTACAAAAATTCAATTAAATTACTTTATTTTATGCCCAGATATATAATTACATCAATAAAGATGTTATTAATTACCAAAATCTGCGCTTCTTAGCCCGAATTCATATCATTTTTCAGCTCTTTCGAATCAGATTCTCTTCAAAATGCAATCTCGCTCGTAAGTTTTGCAAATGAAAAATTACAAAACCTTGATTGAATTTGTATAAAGCTACAAACCGAAATTGATTAAATAAATTTGCAGGTTTGTCAAACCTGACTTTGTTGTCCAACGGCAAAATGTACTCTTTCCATCCCACTGCCGTAAGTCCCAATTAACAGCTTGTTTGCATTTTTCTAATTTTTCTTCGACAGGCAACCTGGAATTCTGCAAACGAGACTTGCAGCAAAAAAGGCCTTCATTTGGCCACGATTAAAGATCAAAATGATGCTCAGGTGGTCGCTGCAGAGGGACGAAGACTTGATGAAGGTGAGATGCAAAAAATATTTTTCGGAAGCTATTCTCGAATTGAAATCATTTTGCCTTCAGGCAATACTTGGTGGGTTTCGGCGAAAAACCTAGAAAGTGAAAAGGACTTCCGTTGGCAGGACGGGACGAAATTGGAGTTGGACAGTCCCTTGTGGACGGACGGCGCGGGCAAGACGGACGACTGCGTTCGCATCTATAATTGGGCCAAGGGAAAATTGAGCAGCGCAAAATGCTCCGCTTATTGGTATTTCATTTGCGAGCTGCCCAGCGAATGTTACTGAGAATCACTGAGAATCTTTTATAATTTGTTCATCGATGAAATCCAAGTATTTTCATGTTGCAACGATTAACAAATTTTAAAAATTTGATATACTTCTTCTGACAATCGTTGTCAATTATGTTTTTCCATTCAATTGTGGAATAAAATTAGTAAACAGATGAAATGTAATTGTTGTTACTTATTCAGCTTCCCTTGCAATTTTTACTAGATTGCAAAAGTTTCTTAGTACAGAAAACACTGAAAATTAACTTTATATATTTAAATTCAACATAAACTTAGTTCAAGGCCCTTAACTGAATTCATAATCATGAAATTTCTAATCAAAGTAAATTAACTTTTATTAAAATATTGAAGATTTTGATTTTTAATAATTATGAATTCATAGGAATAATACAATTAAATAAATAAAAAAATATTTTTAAATTATTAATTTTAATTAACTGCAATAATTAAGATTGGAGCTTGCCTTCCGCAAGCTCAATAAGGGCACAGGCCGACAAGACACTTTGTCTTGGCCTGACCAGAAAAAAAATAAGGGCAACATTTTCACTTCTTTTTAAATGCAATTTTTGTGATTTTTCTAATTCTTGCATTTTTTGCAGAGCAGTAAAAATTTTACAGCGACTTTTAAATAAAACAAATTAATGAAATTTATTATATAAATTAATATTGCAGAATGGAGATCAACTGCTTGAAGAAAAAAAAATGGATGGGTATTTGTTTTCCAACTTGTCGGATTGGCGAGGGCAGAGGGCAGTGATAAAAGTAGGAATAAAAGGCGTTGGCGAATTGTAAGAGGGACACACAAATATTGACCATGGCTCGTCTTGTTTTGCTGACCATTTTGCTCGTCGCCGCCGCCCTGGCCAACGAATCTCCAAACAAGGTACAATAATTTTTAAGGCCTTTTTCTCCAAGGTCAGATCTGTCCAAATCCAAGTTAATTCCAAATTTTGGGTCCAAACGATATCTTGCATTTCTTAATTGCTTCAAAAACAGGTTGGCTGGTTTTAATAGTTGAAATCTATACATAATTTCAGCCAGAAGAATCCGAGTTTCAACAAGAAATGTTGAAGAATTTGAACAAAACGAATGAAAAGCTGGACAGATTGATGAGAATCGTCTTCGAACAGGTCCAATTTTTTTTTATTACATAAAATATTTTATTTCGATATAATTTTTTCCTTATTTTGAGATTGTTGCAGGAAGTTCAAACGAGGAAGGTAGCGGAGCAGCAAAAAGAAGAGCTGATCAGATTTTCCAACGTGACAAATGAGAGATTGGACCAACTGGCAAAAAATGTCAACCAGCGCCTCGATCAGGTACAGAAATTGGATCATTGGATGTCTTTATTTGACACTTCGGGTGTACTACCTTAATTTGGTACATTGAACGAGAAATATAAATATACAATTCACAAAATATAACCAAACAATATAATAGAAATATAGAAAAGATTTTCAATCAAAATAGATTTTCAAACACAATGGGAGATTCTATTCTTTCAAACTAAAGATGTTTTTTAACTTTAAAACGCTCAAAGATTTGACCAAAGTAAAAAAAGGTTAAATTAAATGTTTCTGACTAATTATTGATTACTTTGGCTTGCCTGCAGGTTTTGGAAAAAGACAAGGAAATGGAAGAGAAGAGGAAAAACGACAGAGAAAAGTTGGACGCTTTGGCAAATATTACCGAACGTCACATCCAGGTTCGAATCAAATTATTTTTTGAAGACTTTTATCGAATAATAATTTAACTTCTTTTAGTTCTTTCAAATCAGATTCCCACCGCACTGCAACCTCGCTCGTGAGTTTTTCAAATCAAATGTTTTTTAAGTTTTCAATTGAAAATTTCATCGATTTAACTAAATTAATTTGCAGGTTCTTCAAAACTGACAATGCTGTCTAATGGCAAGATTTACTCTTTCCATCCCACTTACGTAATTCTCAACTCGCAGCTTCTTTGAAATTTTCTAATTTCTCTCCAACAGGAAAACTGGAATTCTGCAAACGAAACTTGCGTCAAGAAAGGTCTCCATTTGGCTACGATCACAGATCTTAATGAGGCAACGCTGGTCGCGGCAGAAGCGAAAAGAATTAAAAAGGGTTATTTAAAAATGAGAATAAACCTGCGAATTTTCACAAATCGAAATAATTTTGCTTTCAGGTACGGGTTGGTGGGTTTCGGCGAAAAACCAAGCAAGTGGAAGTGCAAAGGACTTCCGGTGGAACGACGGGAGCAAGTTGGAGTTGGACAGTCCGTTGTGGGAGGAAAATGCGGACAAAAGGTACGACTGCATTCATACGTACAACTGGCCCAAGGGAAAATTGTACAGCCATTCATGCAACAGTGATCAACCTTTCATTTGCGAACTGCCCAGCGAATGTTACTAAAAACCAATTTTAATGGTTTTCTCGTTGCGATTGGAGGTTTTTATGTTTTAACGACGGATTTCACAAATATAATTAAAAGTACTTGTCTGACTCTTATGATTGTGGTCAATTATGCTTTTGCATTGTGGTATAAAATTGATTAACAGATTTGATGCAGGTATTATTTATTATTCAGCTCCCCTCGCAAAACTAAATAAAAGCAACATTATATTTGATTAAAAAGTATACATAACATTTTTACTCAAACTGAAACGAAAAGTCATAATTTCGCACTCTTAAGCGAATATTTTTTGGCCTGAAATCGCGTTTCCAGCCAAGATTACTTTCAAAATATTCATTTCAAGCAGTTTTGAATGTGGAAAATAAGGAAAATTCTGCCAAACGCAAATTTCTGAAAAAAAAATTTGACCGAAAATACAAAACAGGAGATCTGTGAGAGTAAAATTTCAATTTTATGATTGAAATTGACAAATTATAAAACAAAAGCACCATTTTAAGGGGAAAAGGACAAAAAACGGAAAAAATGTGATTTCTTTTTTCAATTTCAGGGCAAAAGAAAAAATAAAATTTTGCAGTTTATTTTTTAAAGGATCAAATTTTCAAAAATACTGAAAATTGTAAATCATCTTGCGCTGTCTCTTGTAATTTTTACTTTCATTTTGAAAACAAAAATCTCCTTTTTTCCAACCTTTACAAATAAAATTTACCAACTCTATATGCAAGAAAAAAAATTGAAATTAATTGTGATTTGCATCACGCAGAACATTGAGCGGCAACTTGATAACCATTTTTTTCTTTTGGGCTCGTCTGGTTTTTTGATTGGCAAGGGCAAAGGGCAGTGATAAAAGCCAGGGATAAATGGCGTTGGCAAATCGCGAGAGTGACCCACAAGTGGAAAGACCGACCATGGCACGTTTCTCTATGCTGATCCTTTTGCTTTTCGCCGCCGCCCTGGCCAACGAATCTTCAAACAAGGTAATTAGAAATTCGTGAATTTAATTAACTATTGTAGCGGTTATTGGGAAGGATAATATTTCTTTTAGGTCTACCTATAAGAATAAATTTTACCTCTGCAAAATATGAATAAAAATATTGATGTTAAGAAAATGAAAAAAGAAACTTACCGATAAAATTGAAGGAGGACAATTTTTTAGAAATGCTTTGCTGATTAAGGCAGAACTGACAAGAAATTTCACACAATAATTATGTAAGATTTTCTTGATAAAATTTAGTTCAACATAATTAGCAATATAGTATGAATATAATTTGACTCAATGAAAATGATTCCTGAACAACAAGATTCCAATTTTTCTGTGCGAATTTTCAAAATTGAAAAAAAAAATATTAACAAAAGAGCAACATAAAAATTGGTTGTTCAAGAACATAAGAGTCGATAAAGAAATGGGAATTTATATTAATTTCAGCCGGAAGAATCCGAGTTTCAGTTGGAAATGTTGCAGAATTTGAACAAAACGAATGAAAAGCTGGACAGATTGATGAGAATCGTCTTTGATCAGGTTCAAAGGAAATTAAAAATGATTTAACTTTTCCAATTTCATGGATTTCTCAGGTTGTGGAGACGCGGAAGGTGGCCGAGGAGCAAACCAAATTGGCCAACGCGACCAACGAGAAACTAGACCAACTGGCCAAAACCGTCGAACAGCACCACAATCAGGTACACAAATCGATTCCAAACTCTTAATAAATCGATAATCTCTAAATGATTGTTATGCTTACAATGAGATTAAATTTGGCATAAGTTTTAAAATGGAAATATGGTGATTAAAAAGAAACATTTTTGAAGTAGACGATGCAAAGGGTTGAGGAAAATAACGAGCTTGTGAAAATTGTCAAGGATACGTTTGAAAAACAAAATAACCAGGGACAGAAGTGAATAAAATGATGAATTCTGCCTGCAGAACAACCAGGAATAATTAATTAATCAACTACTTTGCCACTTCAAGCAAAGAAATAACAATTTTCACGAGTATATTAAATAAAATTGAGAGACAATGACAGTTTGACTGGAAAATCATAAGCTTTCAAGGTCATATGAATACAATGAGAATACGCAGATTGGTTATTTCCATTATCAAAAGCTTTTTGATTTATTTTTGTAGACTCTGGAATATGTGATGCAACAGAATCAAAAGCTGGACCAATTTCCCAAGGTTTACATACAATTATTTTCAAAAGACTCTTTAACTTACAATTCCTGTTTGTATAGGAAATGATTATCTCAGCCCAATGCATGCTCGCTCGTAAGTTTACACTACGATTTTCTGAATGCAAAAAGGGAATTTCTTGATTTTGTTTTAATTCACTTTGCAGGTTCGGCGACTTTACATACGTTGTCCAACGGCAAGAAGTACCACTTCAACAGAACTTCTGATGTGAGCCTCGATTGCTTGTTTGCATTTTGAATTAGGACTTAATTTTGCAGAATACATGGTTTGCAGTAAACGAGACTTGCGCTCGATTGGGCCTTCACATGGCCACGATCACAGACCTGAGGGACGCAAAAGTCGTGTCGGAAGAGGGCGAGAGAATTATTGGCAGTATGAATAAAGCTGACTCAACTTTGGGGTTTTTTTTATTTAAATTACCATGTTTTCAGGTTATGCTCCGTGGGTTTCGGCGAAAAACCAAGGAAGGGGAAGCAAAAGGGACTTCCGGTGGCAGGACGGGACCAAGTTGGAGTTAAACAGTCCCTTGTGGGAGCACGATGCGGACAAAACACAGGACTGCGTCTATATCTTTAAAGGGAACAAGAACAAATTGAACACGCTTCAATGCTTCGCTACCTCCAGGATACTTTGCGAACTCCCGAGGGAATGCTACTGATCTCATCGGGATCAGAGCAAACTCTTAAAGGGATTGTTTTGAATTTTAAAAGATCATTTTTTTTTTCAATCGTTGAATAGAAATAAAGCAGAGTTTATTTGTCCACATTGTCTGTAGGCCAAACTATGCAATTCAAAAGGGGTAAAATACAATAAAAACGATTATTTCTTTTAAAGTTTAGTGTTTTCTTATTTCTGCGCATTCCACTGCTGCCGATTCTACTATTCTGCAGTCAAAAATCGGCAGACTTATCCGAGGTCTGGCCTTATTATTTATTAGCCAATTTTTCACTGCATGGCGGACTTTTCTTAAGAGCAGAAATTTAACCTCAAATTTAATTTATTTTTTATTTCATTGATCTAAATTTTCCTAATTTTACATTGATTAAATCAGTGGATTAGAGTTTTCCATTGAAAAGTTATCATCTCAGCCGTTTACTTAAGATTCATATAATCTTGCCTAATTCTTTGGCCGTAAAGCCAAGTCGGACGTGGCGAGGCAAAAAATTAGACAGTTTTATACGTTTTTTGTTTTCATTTCTACTGATATGTTTTCCTAAGGCGCTCCTTAATTGCGAGTAACTTTTTCACGCGTTCTTTTAAAGATTAATTTCATTTGGCTTGAATGGCGAGTTGATTTGGCTTGTTTGTCGTTTCGCGGGGGCAGAAGGCAGTGATAAAAGCCGGGGATAAAAAGCTTTAGGAAATCAAGAGAAAATCTTAAGTGGAAAGAAGAGACCGACCATGGCACGTTTCTTTACGCCGATCGTTTTGCTTTTGGCCGCCGCCCTGGCCAACGAATCTTCAAACATGGTAAACTACTTTTAAGGTTTTATTTTATCAAAGGCCAGATTTCTTCAGAACTAACTTAAATGTTAAGCACAAAAACATATCTTTAATTTCTTTATTGTTTTGAAAAAGCCTGTTGTTGACTGGTTTGCGTTTCTGGGAATTGAAGAAAATCAAAATTTCAGCCAGAGGAATTTGCAGAATTTCGGCAGGAAGTGTTGAAGAATTTGAACAAGACAAAAGAAATGCTGTACCGATTGATGAGAATCGTCTACGAGCAGGTAAAAAATTTAATTTTTAAATTATTGAATGTTTGGTCAAATGACCTGTTTTCAATTTTGAATTTCGCAGCCTGCGGAAATGAGGAAATTAGTGGAGGAGCAAAAAGAAGAGTTGGTCAAATTTGCCAACGCGACCAACGACAAACTGGACCAACTGGCCAAAAATGCTGACCAGCGCTACAATCAGGTACAGAAATTGGATGTCTTTATTTTACACCTCGGGTGTGCTACTTTAATTCGGTACATAAATACATAATCGATAGAGAATTAGATCATTTAAAAAAAAAATGTTAAAAAAACAATATTGATCAGTCCAAAGAAATGATTTTCAATCTAAATTGAATAACAAAAACAATGGGAGATTTTTTTCTTCAAACTAATTTTTCCTAATTTTAAAACGCTCGGAGATTTGACCAAAGTAAACAAAGGTTAAATGAAATATTTTTTATTTTAATTATTGGAATTTAAGTACTTTCGTTTGCCAGGTTTCGAAAAAAGACTCTGAATTTGAAGAGAAGAGAAAGAACGACAGAGAAAAAGTGGACGCTTTGGCCAATTTTACTGAACGTCACATCAAGGTTCAAATCAAATAATTTTCACAAAGACTATTTGTTAAAGAACATTTATCTTCTTTTTAGCATTTTCACATCAGATTCTCTTCTAAGTGCAATCTCGCTCGTAAGTTTTTCCAAATTAAATATAGGTTTGTAATTGAAAATTTCATCGATTTAATTATAAGCGACCATGGAATCTAAATTGATTGTAAAATTTCCAGGTTTTTCAAACCTGACGGTGCTGTCTAATGGCAAGGTTTACTCATTCCATCAAACTCGTGTAAGTCTCAACTCGCAGCCTCTTTGAAATTTTTAAATTTCTCTCTGACAGGCAAACTGGAATTCTGCAAACGAAACTTGCAGCAAAAAGGGTCTCCATTTGGCCACGACCAAAGACTCGAATGACGCTCAAGTGGTCGCGGCAGAAGCAAAAAGAATTCATTCTAGTGAGGGGCAAAAAATGGGAATAAATCTGCGAATTTCCTCTAATTAAAATAATTTTGTCTTCAGGTAATGTTTGGTGGGTTTCGGCCAAAAACCAAGGAAGTGGAAGTGAAAAAGACTTCCGATGGCGCGACGGGACCAAGTTGGAGTTGGAAAGTCCCTTGTGGATGGACAGTGCGGACAAGACGAAGGACTGCATTTATACCCATAATTGGCCCAAGGGAAAATTTTACAGCTCTAACTGCACCAATAATTACTATTTCATTTGCGAACTGCCCAGCGAATGTTACTGAGAACCTATTTGAATGGTTTCATCGATGCAATCCAAAATTTTTATGACCAACTTCAAAAAATTTTCAAGTATTTGTCCGATTGTTTTGATTTTTGTCAATTATGTTTGTGGATTGGATTTGTGGAGTAAAATTGATTAGCAGATTAAATACAGGTGTTATTTATTATTCAGCTCCCCTTGCAAACGAAACCCTTTAAACGCAACATTATTATTAAATAAAAAATGACTTTCAAAATAAAAAATGGTAGTTCATTGGCCCCGGTGACCTTTGACCTAATTTTCATCAAGTGTACCACATTTCTCAAAAGGGGGGTCATTTTGATACCCAAATTTTTGAAAATCGCACGATTCCGGTGTCAATGGATTGCCTCTACTTAAAAGGGGCCCATTCGGTCTATTTCTGAAATCATCATAAATTTTCGTTCAAAGTTCGTTCAGCCAATGTCTTAGCAGACAGTCCGCCATTTTGGATTAGGTCAATTTCAAAACGTGCATTCGGTCAATTCTCATTCGGTCCAAGTGTGCGTTCCCAAAAAGAAATATGGGAAAAGGTATTGAAAAACAAATGTGATTTTTTATATCAGGGTTTTGAAGTAAAAACAATCTTGCAGTTTAAACCTTGAATGATCAAATTTTGAGAAATACTGAATAATAAACACCTTGTGCGATTTCTTGGATAATTTTTACTTGAATTTTGTTAACAATTAAAAATCTATTTTTTTCCAACCTTTTCAAATAAAATTTTGTAACAAAGTGAAATAAATTGTGATTAGCATCGCAAGCAGACCATTGAGCAGCAACTTGATAAAATATTGCTTGCTTTTTGGCTCGTCTGGATTTCGGACTGGCGGGGGCAGAGGGCAGTGATAAAAGCTACGGATAAAGGCATTGGCAAATCGCGAGAGTGACCCACAAGTGGAAAGAGACCGACCATGGCACGTTTCTTTTTGCTGATCGTTTTGCTTTTCGCCGCCGTCCTGGCCAACGCTTCTTCACACAAGGCAAAGAGAAATTCATTAATTTAATTAATTGAAGCGGTTATTGGGAAAACTATATTCTTTTGGCTCGCGATTGAAATAAATTGTATCTCAGTGAAATATAAATAAGAATATTGATGTTAAGAAAATGAAAAAAGAAACATACCGATAAAATTTTAAGAGGACAATTTGCCCCAAACTTAAATTAGAAGACGACGCACTACCTGACCACTGGAGCTGGATAGAAAAAGAAGCCCATGTTTACTAGGAAGAAAAATTACTTACAATTAATACTCAAACCTTTGGCATAAGAAGAAGAAAAAATTTTACTAAATGCTTTTCTCATTGAGAAATTTTTCAAAATAATTATATAACATTTTATTGATGCAACATTTTCCGCAATATTGTATGAATATATTTAGACTAATTGGAGATTCTTCAATGGGACAATATTAGGGCCAAAATTCAATTTTTCTGTGGGAATTTTCCTTTTTTTTTTAATATTGGTTTTCAATTCATATTGATTAAAGAGCTAAAATTGGTTGGTCAAGTTGATAAAGAAATGGAATATTAATTTTAGCAAGAAGAATTTGGAGAGGAAATGCTGAAGAATTTGAACAAAACTAATGAAATGCTGAGCCGGTTGATGAGAATTGCCTACGATGAGGTTCAAATTTGAATATCAAATTTTTGTGTTTTTTGGAAATGAATAGAAATTTTCTTGTGGTTTTTGCAGGTTGTGGAGACGCGGAAGGTGGCCGAGGAGCAGACCAAATTGGCCAACGCGACCAACGACAAACTGGACCAACTGGCCAAAAACGTCGACCAGCACCAAGATCAGGTAAATAAATCGAATTAAGCTCTATAAACAAAGTTGTATAATTATTTAAAATATTTTTATGCCTGGATTGAGACTTAACATGGTATTTCTTTTAAAATTAATATTGTGATAAAAATTAAAAAAAAAAAATTGAAAGTAGACGATGGAAAGAATTGAAGAGGCGGCCAAAGAAAACAAGCAGCTCTTGAAAACTGTCAACGAACGTTTGGATAATTTGGAGAATCAAAATAACCAGGTATGAAAGATAATGAATTCTGCTTCAGTCTTTGCTTAGGAAGAACCAGGAATAATAATAATAATTAATCAACCATCTCACTACTTGAAAAGCAAAGAAATTAGAACTTTTCACAAATGTTAAAATACAATTGTGGGATGATGCGAATTTGACTGGAAATTTTAAAGATTAAAAAAAGTCAATTCAACGAAACGTAATGAAAATGCATTACAACAAAATGAACCAACTGGCCACAAATGTGGACCAAGTACAAAAATTTAATTCAAACTTTTATCAATTTCTAAACCTTTAATTTTTATATTAAAAGGATTGTTATGCTGGTAGCAAAATTATTATTAGTTTTTAGCTGTTAAAACAAAAGTCTATTAAAATAAATAGATTTTATGCTCGAAAAAACGAGAAATAATTAGAAATCACAGCACTGGAGCATTTTATTGTTGAATCAATCCAAATTTTGATAATTATTTTTTTAGACTCTGGAAGATGTGAAGCGGCAGAATCAAAAGCTGGACGAATTATCCAAAATCGCCGAGCGCCTCGTTCAGGTTCAGATCAAATTATTCAAGAAAAATCTTTTTTATTTTAACTAAATTTTCGTTTTTCAAGCTCTTTGAGGAAAAATTCTCGCCACAAGAGTCCCCCTGCAATCTTTCTCGTAAGTTTCAACAACAATTTTCTTACTCAAAATTTTTATTGATTTGATTCAGGTTCGGCGAGTTTAAAGACGTTGTCCAACGGCAAAAAGTACCACTTCAATAAAACTGCTGTGAGCCTCCTTTGCTTCCATTGAATATTGACTTCGGACTTTTTTTAAATGCAGATTACATGGGCCGGAGCAAACGAAACTTGTTCTCAAATGGGCCTCCACATGGCCACGATCACGAATCTGACGGACGCACAAGTCATCTTGGAAGAGGGGGAGAAATCGTTTGGCGGTAATTTATTAGAATCACTTGGAATTTTTGTCAACAACAATAAATCTGCTTTCAGGCCACAATTGGTGGACTTCGGCGACAAACCAAGCTAGTGAAAAGGACTTCCGCTGGCACGACGGGACCAAATTGGACTTGGACAGTTCTTTGTGGAGGGTAAATGCAGACAAAACAGAGGACTGCGTCTACATCGCTGATTGGGTGAATGGAAAATTGAGCACCTGGTTGTGCTCTGGAAAGTCTAATTTGCTTTGCGAACTTCCGGGGAAATGCTACTGAATTCATTCTGATGATTTCCATCTTAGTTAGGGTTTTTAGCAGACATGAAATTTGTCATAATTGAGGGAATAAATCTAATAAGAATTGGAATTACTAATAAAAATATCTATTTTAGGGAGCGATAAACTTCGATTGTTATTTAGACTTTTGTAAATTTCAATAAAAACAATAATTGGCATCAAAATTTTTAGATTTTCCATTCCTCTAATTTCAGTAAAAGAGTAGCCTCTGAAAATTAGAGAATTTCCCAAGCTTGTTTGACAATTTACGATTGCCTTAGTCGCAGATTCAGACTTAGGCAGGTGAAACTCATAACAATTTTATTTTTCGGGCACGTTTGATAAAATTTGCATGACGGTATAAAGTTTGCAAATGAAAAGGATTTTCAATGGGACTTGAAGTACTTGAACGACCCATTGTGGCGGGAAATCGCAGTCAAGTTAAACAATACTCTGTACTTTGTTAGTCAACTGCCTAGCAATTTATCCAAGAGCAAATCCGTGAGATATTAAATTTGACACCAGAAAATAATCCTGATTCTGATTAGAATAAAATTTTAAGTTCATTCAGATCTTTAATTTGTGGTTATTTGATTAATCCGTTGAAAGAAAATTCCAACGATATGTTTAAAAGCAAATTTTAATTTAAAATCGGCGGAGAAAAATGCGATTGAGTGGCCACAATTTTATAATCAAGATTCTGATGCTTCAATTTATCCCTTCCAGAATTTGAGAGATATTGGCTGTTTCAATCAAATTTAATATTTTTCCAAACAGGTTCATACTCATTTAGCAGGAAAAATTAGAACCTCAAATTAACCCTCCAGGGGTGCGAAAGTTTCGATTATGATTTCGGCGTTCGTCATTTAACTTTTTCTGCTTTGAATAATAAAAAAATTAATCGCTGTCCGACATAGATATTAACTCGGACGATTTCAGTTTCGCAATTCGAAGGTTGCCGGAATAAAAATGGCTAAAATGGTACTCACTTTTGTAAGGCGGTCTGGCAGGGTTCCTCCTCGTCGATGGTGAGGTGGAGGGGCTGCGTGCAGGGGTTGCCTGTGAGGCTGAGCACCTCGCACATCTGCCGGCCGTCGTGCCAGTGCTCGTCGCAAGACTTTTTCAGCCCTTCCACGTACTTGGCACAAGACGGGCCTCGAGCGTGTTGCGAAAACACCGACAGGGCGTACGCCAACTGCAAAATTAACTCAATTCAATACTAGGATAGAATTAATGAAACAAATTTTAATTAAGATCAATTTCTGGCCGTCCCAGAGATTTGCATTTTTCAAATTAAAAACACACCCTTCCATCGTGATAGGCCTGCGTGTAGTGGGTAGGCAACCCTTCCTGGTAGGAGGCGAACGCGAGGGGCAGCACCTTTTTGCACCTGGCTTCGCTAAACCGAATCGACGCGTTAAACGAGGTGCTGAACATGTTCAGCAGCTGCCTGTGCTTCGAGTTGCTTGTCTCCTCGCCCAGAAACACTTTGTACACAGCCTGAGCCGCCGAAGACCAAACTGACAGTGGCGGCACCTAAATTAAAGGGACTTTAATATCAAAAAAATTTCCTTGTTGAAAGGTGAAGTTGATAGATCTAGGAAAGAGGATTCCAACGGTGTCTGGAAAATGCGTTTTGCACAGAAATTGACAGAGATATGCGAGTTTTTCTACTGAGCGGCCATCTTGAAACAAAATGGCTGCCGATTTCGGGTTTTAAATTAATTAGTTTAGCTCGGTCATATTTGACTTAAAATTGTCCTTGTGACATATCATTGAAATTGTCTTGATGAGAACTTTCCGATTACGATAATAAAAAGTAATTAACTTAAAAAAACCTATTAATTTAAAATTTCATTACAGTTGGAAATCTTCGAGAACCTCAAAACGGCTTTAGCAAGATTTTTAATAGAAAAATTTCGACAGATTTAAGAGTACAATCAATTAAAATTCAAAACTAACGTTGTCACATATCACTGGAATCCTCTTTTATATTGCAATGAAGCTTCATATTTTAAACACACCTCAAAATGGGCTGTGCTGGTGTGCCTGCCAAGGGTGTCGTCGAATCCTTTGCTCAAGGCAGAATCTACATGTTCGAAGAGAAACTCCCTAAAGTTGTGAACTAAACAGAAAATCAATAAAAATGTAACAATTGCAAATAATTACAAACCACTTTTCGGTGGAGGCTCGTTTGTTTTTGGTTTTTCCTCCATCAACCCGAGGCAAAATTTCAGGGCTCTGTTCACAGCCTGTTGAGTTTTGTCTAAAACGTTCAAATCTTGATCCTCGATGAAAACGTACTCGTGGTTCAGCGGAATGGCAAACAAGGAATTCACCCTGGAATTAATAATGAGGTTTAAATAAAGTTATTCCACAAAAAGAAGAAAATTTACGTTGAATTGGTAATAATTCTGCATCTCCTGAGCAGCCGGTAAATCTGGTCCTCGACGGAGTGTTCGAGTCTCTTGAGCTGGCTTCGGGCGCCGAGTTGCTTCGACTCGAAGTAGAAAAGCATTCGGGGGGCGCAGAGGCGCTGCTGAGCGACCCAGTCTGCGCCCACGCCGGACACCTTCTGCAGGTGGTCGGTCAGAACGGGAGCCGCCTTTTGTCGGATGAGGTCGAGGGTGCGAAAGAGCTGCAGGTAGGGCGTCTCGAACCTCGGACTCGGCGACGACAGCACCAGGATGTGCGAAACGCAGAACAAGAACAGCAACGCCTTGGCGTGCTGACTTCGAAACTCGGACAAGAGCTCTTGAGGCGACTGAAGAAAACAATAATTGAGGAATTAAAATTTGGAAAATGATCATATTATATTGGTATATCAAAATTTTTGGCCTGAAAAGATCAAATTGAGCTTTATTTATATCCATCCATTACATAAACAGGTGTAAAACAATGCAATTATCAGAATATCTTGCGTTTCAAATATTAAATTTACCTTGGATTCATCGCTGACCAACTCGGCAAAGTGGAAGGCGTCGTAGGGGCTTCGCAGGTGCAGATACAGAATTCTGTTGGCCTTGTCGTGGAAACCCTCGACCAGAACCTGGAGCAGAGTTTGGAATTTACAAAAACAAAAATTATAAAAAGACAGACCTGTGTCCTGGGGTCGACCGGGGTGGTCGCGTTTCGGCCGGCGAAGACGTGGCGATCGCTCGCCTCGTCGGCCGGAGCGCCCTTGCAGCCGAAAGACCGGACGTCCGACTTGCCGAAGAAGGACACGACGACGCATTTCCCTTTTTCCTCGTCAAAGATTTTTCTGAAAGTAAACAAACAAAATGAACACACGTGAGAGCGAACTTGTTTGATTTTACTTTGAAGATTCGTCGAGCGGGAAAGAGAATTTCGAAATCATTTTGGACAAACCGGACTATGGCTCGCCCAAACGCCTTTCAGGCATCGTTAATAAAGGTTAATTCCAAGGTTTAAATTGATTTTCCTTCAGTTGATTAAAAGTGGAGCTTGCCGGCTCTTTCACGTCGGTGAAGTTAGCTCCGAAAACATTGAAGTGGCTCCGCCCGAGCTCCCAGGAAGTGGTGGGGGAAGTCGGCGGACGGCGGAGGGGAGTTTCCGACTTTGTGACAGCTTGGAAAAACTGCTATTTCCCCAGAAGCAATGGAAAGGAAAAAGCAATAATGTAAAAAAAATTGCCTTACATGATATATGAATACAAAATATAAAGATCAAAGTGATAAAAAGTGTGAAATTCAAGTTAAATAATAAACAAAGACTTAATTATGCACAGAAAATCAGCAGATCAGATAATGTCAAACGGTTCTTGAAAACATTTCTATCTAAATTAACAAGGAAAAAAGTTAAAAATATAGGAAAAATTAAATATTAAATTTATGAAAAACAATTATGCCCTAACTTGTAAAAATGGAAGACAAACACAGCACATTTAACTGATTCCACTAAATAATAAAAATTGATCGATAAATTAAATTAATTTCGTATTTGACCTGGTCAATACCATCAATTGGCGGATAAAAGAAAATTAAAAATTAAAGTGGAAAATTGAAACCGGGCGAACCTTGTTGCGAAGTAAAAATAAAGGACAACTGTGGTCTGCTGGTCGCCTTTTGGGGTCAGTTGTCCTTTATTTTTTCATTTTTTCTTTGCAATGAGGTTCGCCCAGTTTCAATTTTCCATGAAATGCACCTCGAGTGTTACTATTCTATTTAAAAATTACATTTTTTTTTTAAATTATCTATAACTGTGTCGGTATGGGCTGGTGTGACTTGTATCTTTTATTGTTGGTTTTTTTTTAATAAATTTAATACGCTGAAAATCAAATGAAATTCAGGGCCGGACTGGCGCAAAAACTTTTAACCGGCTATTTCAAAATAGGCGGCCCTCGCCAACTAAACGGCCCATTTTAAGCCCCGAGGGCTTCGCCGCCAGTGATAGAACCGTTGGTGGCTCGTACTATGCTAACACCAGTACTAATTGATGTGTGCGACGTGTGAACACCCTCAACCACTAAATTTCTAATAATATTTATTTTATATTCTCTTCACTTAACCTTTTATTAATGACTTTCTGTAAAGGAAATTTGTATGTTTAAATCAATAAACTTTTTATGTAATCCAATATCTGTATCCAAAACTGTTCTTATTTATGCAACTTTATTTATTTATTCAAATAATTGATCAACCGGAGCCAACTTCACCGATATACCTATACCCAACAAGCCTATTGCCTCTTCTACACGGGCACTTTGAAGCGAGCGTTACGTGCGCTCTCGCTTAAAGTCACTAGTGTAGAAGGCAGCACGGTCGCGTAACTGGAGGGTCGCGTTGACTGTCGTCGGAGGTCCAGTTGAAGTGACCACACACCCCCTTTGGAGTTATTGACGCGGGATTATTCAAAAGTACTAAAATACTACCCCAATTATTTGGGTCACGTTTTTAACTCTCTTGACTAATTAAGTGATTTGAAAAATATCTTCGCCTTGTAGAGTGCATAAGCACAGATATAATAATTTTTAGAAGCTTCTAATCATAAAATTTTTTGTTAAAAATCAAATAAAAATTCTAAAACTTTGAAATTTGCTATAAAACTTTAGTTAAACAATAGAATATATAAATTAAATCCATAATTTCAACCATTTCAATAAAAAAAAAAACTTAAAAACACATTTTATAATTATATTTTTAATTTTTATCATGCCGTGTTCCCTCCTAAGTTTCAAATATTTTACGCCCGTAACGCGACCTGTATAGAAGCGAGTAAACCTCCAGTTGGGGGTCGCGTAAAGTCTGATCGTAAAGTGCGCCCGTGAAGTGCGCTGCCGTGTAGAATAAGCATATACCCCATGGACCCCATGGACCGCCATGGAAGCCAATTTTCAGCTGGTTGACAAAAGTCTAATAGGTTGTGCATTAAGGAGTTTAAGAGATTATCAGTAAAATTATGAGCTACAAATGTCAAATGCGAGTTAAATATGTTTCAAAAAGATTTATTTAGAATCAAAGGCTGTTGTTTATTATGTGATATACTTTCTAACTAAGGGGTTTTTTCTCATTCTAGGTTCCCATCTGCGGCCTCCTTTACCTACACCCTAAAGAGATACGCCCCCTTTTGATAGATTTACAAACAAAACAATCTTTGCGAGTGACTCAGAAAAATGAGATAAGAAATTCCTAGCTCGCGTTTTTCAGCCGGTTTTGGATCGAAATCAGAGGTGCGTGTGTTTTTAGCCTTCAAATTTGAGCTAAATTTTGGAAATTATCGCAGATGGCGGACGCGGAGAACAAGTTGCTGAACCCGGACCCGTCGACCTGGGAGGGCTGGTTTTACTCGATAGTGCTGATGGCCGCCAAGGACCCGTGGGGCTTCCTGTACTACGTGTTCCTGGGCCTGTCGCCCGTCTTCCTCATGTCCCTGTTCCTCACGTGGCGCCTCACAAAAGAACTCGAGGCCAAGGACAAGGAGAAGAAGCGCCGCGCCCGCCGAGACGCCAACCTGGCCAAGGCGCGCAAGTCGCACAAGGCCGACTGAGTGACACAGACTGACAAATCGCACACCCTAGACAATAAACATTCCACAACGATTCCATTTCTACTTTTCTCTGTGCCATATTCTCACTTGTTTTAATTTTTTTCTTTTTACCCGAGAATAAATAATTTTAAGATTTATCGATTTGTTTTGGTAACAATCAATTGTGTATGCCCAAGTAATAAAAAGCGATTGTAATTTTTAATATTTGCTCATGAATTTTCTCACTATGATGCAATTTTATTTTGGGATTGATTAGTTTTGTTGAATTTAATAAAATATTTGAGATTATTATGGTTTTCTAAATTGAAGGTTAAGAGAAAGTTCTTGTAATGAATTTATGATGGAAAAATGTTGGTTTTCTTAATTTTTTCAATTTTAAGTATCAAAAAATACATGAACAACTCCAATCTTAATAATTTTGGGAGATTTGAACTCCAAATTTTAATTTCTTGGAATTATTTTTTATATTGTATGCCTTATTGAAATTTGTATTGGTTGAAATTTATCCGTTTCGATATTTATTTAGTCCAGTCTGCATGAACATGCAAAGTCATAATTTAATAAAATTCTATCAATATTTAATTTCTCACAGGTTGTGTAAGTTTTGACTTTGTAGCTTTTACTGTGAAAACCTCATGACAGGGGGCGTGCAAGTCTCTATGAGAAAGATTGACTTTTTAACATGTGAGACTTTGGTTGTAAATGTTAGAAAAGAAAAGTCTAGGTCTCAATTGATTTCATTAATGAAACAAAAACCAGATGCCAAAATCTGGCCGATTCAAATAGAGACGAAACGGTAAATAATTGCGTGAGATTAATTTACAATTAAATATTATTGCACTTTTTGATAAACAAAGTTTTTTCAGAGATATTAATTACTTTTAAATTAAAGATGAGACTGACGGAGCCTCGCGAACCCTGTCCCAAGCTGCGACTGAACCTGGCCATTCACCGCCTTTCGACCTTTCCCTTCAACTTCAAAGGAAGATTCGGCTGGCGTGCCCATTTTTTCGCCAACGTTGGTTTTTACTGTTTGGAATCTGAGGACGGTTCGATCGTTCTGCATTGCCACTTTTGTCAACTGCAAATCAACGAAAGTGTCCTTCTGAACTGGAGCGACCGAGACACTTGTGCATTTTTGATTTGGAACCGGTCCGAGTGTCCGATCAAGTTGGCGAACTCGGACAACGTCCCTCTTCCGAAGGACAATCAGCTCAACTATCGTTTCGAGTCGCACTGGCTCTACTCTTTATTGAAAAAGGACGATTGGAAATTCGTGACTCCGCCGGATTTGGCTAGAGACGGATTCTACTACATGGGGGTTAGTCAAATTATTAAAAAATGATTTAAATTCTTGAAATCTTAAAAATTTAAATTTCTAGCAAAGTTCAAATTATTATTAAATTCTTTTTATTTTGACCAATAATTTGGTTAGAATAGTTTCTAAGGATTTTGAAAATTTCACCAACAGAATGAAAAAGTTGATTGTTTCCTTTTTCAGGATGGTGACAAGTGTCGTTGCATCTTCTGCAACCTGGAGGTTAGCGCTTGGGAGAAAGGGGACAAGGTCCAGTCCGAGCACCGACACTGGAACTCAGGTTGCCCATTTTTGCAAAACCCGAGCAGCGTCCCGAACATCCCGATTGGCGAGGAAACCGGGGAGGTGCAGTGCGACGTTGTGGCTGCCAAACCAAAAGTCGGTTCCCAACATTTCCCGACTGATAATAATGCTCAGGAAGAACCTGAAATCGCAGCTGCAGCGCCACAGGCGGATCCGGGTGGTGACAACGACCCCCAGCAATGAGAAAGACGCTCTTGTGATATTGAACTAATTTTATGTACACTTGATTTAAATAAATTTAATTCTATCCTACATAAAATTTGAGAATATTTGTTTTAAATAAACCAAGGAAGGAAAAATTAATTTTTTATTTCATTAAAAAATAATAGTCATTAAAATTTTCTCATTTCAATATTAAATATGTGATAAAATAATGTTTTTTCATAATAATTAAATCATCAATTTCATCATGCTTGTCAGCCAATGATGCAAAATTTAACGATAAGATTTAAATGAAAAAGTTCATCAGTGATAATTATTGAGGGCGATCCAAAAGGCTAACTTGGCCCGGTCTAAATTAACCTGGCCTGGGCTAATTTAACCCGCCATTCAATTTTGCTGGTGGGTGAAGTTAGCCCGGGGCTAAGTCAAGTTAGCCTGGGCCAGGTTAGGCTTTTGGATCGCCCTCATTGTGTCCTGATTAAGTATACAGGAAGCGATAGCCATTGGACGTCACGCCAAGCTATATGAAAGTCGAACAAAAAAAAGTCTTACTAGCTTGAGTCATTTATATATATAAGATCAACCGATCCGACATTAGATTTTTTATTCTGACTGCAGTGCGTCCGACATCGTTTTGCAGGTTTTTAAAAAGAGTCCAGGAGAGCAATAAGCGCCAATCAATCCATTGAAAACTATACTGTGATTTAAAGAGGTAAGTCAAAATTTCAACCCACAAAATCTGCGGCGCTCATTTTGCTGAAGCCTTTTAATTTTTCCTTTGAAGAAAAGCAAGAAATAGATTATATATTAATTTATTTATTTAACAATAGTTTCTCGAATAAGAACCAAATTAATAAATAAAAATAATATAGTCATAAAAATAATTTGTGCACATTAATTTTCCACAATGACAGTTTAATTATGATAATTTGAAAGTAAAAAATGTGGCATTAATCAATATCTGCTCTGCTAATTGATGATTAAAAGTTTTGTTCATTTAAAAAAGTGCACTAAATGATGATAAAAATTGACGTAGAGCCGCGGCCGATATAGTGAACAGTTAAAAAAGTGAAAAGGTCTAATTGTGAGCTGAGAAGAGAGGGGAAGAGGAGCCATATCTACTGCGAAGCTAAAAAGACGCGTCACCAAGACCTCCAGACCATAAAGTTGTGAAGCGCTATAGGCCGTGTATGGCTGCGCGAACGTCTGTTCTTTTCAATATTAAAATTGAACGCGTTTTTTTTTAGAGAGCAGTCGTAGCGAGACGCGGCTTGCTAAAATCTTTTTTCAACATTAATTGGTAGCTCCAGTTTTTAGGTTCATTAAAGTTTTATTTTATTAAACTTATATAATCAGCTTTTATTTATTTATTATTTTTTTTCTTTGCAAGGCTCCACTTAAAATATATAATAAAAAAATTAGCTCTTTTGTTCTTACAAATTTTGAACTGTTCATTTTCCCAAATGGTCGCGCTCAAAAATTTTGGCTCCCTAAGATAATTATATAATTAGTTCTATTCTAAATATGAGACTTAATTGAGAAGACTTTCATTTATTAACGAGTCAACCTCTCATGTCCTAAATTGAAAATTAAAGCAAAAATTGAAATTTGGTAAAGGGCGATATCGGAAAATTTTAAAAAATAGATATTTTGATCGCAATTTGCCAAATTATCAGCATGTTTAAATTAAACGCCTTTGGCTCAAGATTAAACACTTCTTTAATATTTTAGAATTTATATCAAACACATCTTTCATGGTTGAAAAAATTACGGTGCACCATATATATTTTAAAAGATAAGATAAGCTTTGTGGAAGGAGAGAAAATGAAAGTCACGTTCACAAAATATATGTATGTTGGATAAAAATTTTAAAATTTACTTTTCTCACAAGGTGCGGAAAGAAATGTGTAACTTTTGAAGATTTGCGATTAATTTGTTCTAAAAATTAAATTATTTTTAGCATTGCAAGTGTTTTTCTGAGATGTTTTATTTCAATTTTATTAAGTATATGTGAACATTTTCATAATTATTTTCATGCTATGCCTTTTTTCTTTCAATATATTATAATTATATTAGTCATATACAATTTTACCCACTCAGAATTATTATTAAGGCATTGTATTGAAAAAAAATTGATATCAAATTTAAAGAGCGAATTGATTATTACACCACGTTCTATTCTTTTTCCAGATTTTTCCACCCTGAACGGCATGTAAAAGTCCCAAGATGGTCATTTCAATTACATTGGACGCGATTAACGAGACCGGTTAGTTTTAAATTATGAAATATTTAATTATCCTGATAAAATTGATTTTGAAAATTGATTATGATGCCGTGTACGTGTTTATAGGAAACAAACAAGGATATCCCACAGGACCGGCGAAACTGGGATTTTTCGTAGAGGGAGAAACTAAAACTGCAGCAGAAAAGTATGGGATGAAATTATTTTCCAATCGCCCTATTTAAAATATTAAATTTGCAGCGTTTTTGTGCTCGTCGTGCACTACGACTTCAAATATGGTGTGGGAGAATGGCCACGGCCCGGTGACGAGCAGGACGTGGAAAATTTAAGGAAAACTTTTGCCGAAAACAGAAACTGCGCATTCCGCGAATGTTCACCGAAAAGAGAGGACCTTCTCGCTCTGCTTCAAGACGAACAAAAACTGAAGAGATTCTTCAGAGCCTCTGAAGGTGGATTTTCATTCATTTAATTTATGATTTCCAAGTAAAAAATTTTCAGTTTTAGTACCAGATGTTTTCTTTTTGATCATTTTATCACACGGAGCAGCGGACGGAGTGATTTTTACGGACACTCATCGCAGCCCAGGTCCAAACGATTACGAATATTTCACCACAAGAGAACTCTTCAAATCACTTAAAAATACTTTTCCAAAAAGCTTGAAAACGGTCATCCTCGGGGTAAAATTCAGACTATATTTTTAAATTAAGAATTATAATAAATTTAATTTATAAATTAGCCATGCAGAGGTCTACTAGAAGACGTCCATCCCTCTCAAGTTAGAGCAGGCGGGAAAAATGAACCTCAGGAAAGTCAAAACCCAACCAGAGTTTCCTTTGAGCCGAAAATGCGCAACCTGACCATCTTATATTCTACTGTTGAGAGTAATTCGAATTAGGTTTTAAAAACAATTGATTTACCATTCTTTTCACAGCAACATACTCGGCCAGAAATGAAGGCGCCGGCACCTGGCTGATCAAATTTCTGTGTAACGAATTGAATGAAATTCGACAAGACCAAGGACTAGTACAATTTTTGACCGGCGTTCAGAACAGGATTCACCGAGAGTCATTTGGTTTACACGAACAGACTGGTCAGACGCCGGAATTTAAATTTTTCCCTTGTGTCAGAAAATTCGTAATCAGAGCCCTTCCATCGTAAACAGCAAATTTGTTTAGTTTTTACATCGTTTCTGAAATAAATTTTTACAGATCTGCTTCTAAAATCGGTACAAACTCAAATAGTAGGAAAATAGTCCGATTCGTAGAGAAGCCGCGGTCGATTCACTTTGATTGGATCGATCCACAAACAGATAAGGTTCTCAGAGGCAGGAGAGCATTAATTTTCCACCAAGGGGAAGAAAATAAATTGATGAAAAAATTAGACTCTGTCCTGGTAATGAATTTGGGCTTTGAAACAACTAGAGCGAAACTTGACAAGGATGGGCTAAATTACTACTTCAGTCAATCACGTGAATATGAAACTAAAATTAAATTGCAGCAAATTTTAAGTTTGTCAAATTGCAGACAAATCTTGGACTGATTACGGGTGTTTCGCTGCCTTCCTTTTTGCCAAAGTTACAGAGCAAGAGGAGGGAGAAGTTTGCATTAACCTTAATGAAAACAAGAAAATACCAATTGGCGAATTGATCCATAGATTGCTTGGGCCGAAAAACACTGACTGGGTTGGAAAACCAAAACTCTTTTTCCTTATTGACACACAAGTCGCGGCAACTGACAGCACACCAAAGGCACTTTTAATTTTAACATTAAACCTTGATCTTATTGATTTATACTATTTTTCCAGGCAAAAAGCACAAAAGCGGTTGACACATTCAGAGTGACCAATCACAGCGGATGGCTCTTGTTTGTTCTTCGAAATATGAGTACGTGATTTGAAAATAATTTAATTTCAGTGTATTGTAAATAAATCTTGTTGCAGACTCGCTCGAAAAATTCGTCGACATCTTCCAGAACCAGGAAATCAAGAGAACGAAAAGCCTTCAAGAAAGCCTAAGCGATTTAATCGTGGAAAAGAATATTGGAATTAAAACTCCCAAGGCGATGATGGTTTCAACTTTGCCTCACCTGTTGTTTTTCCCAATTTTAGAGAGAAATTTTATACAGCCGGAATTCCGTGTGGAAGGAAAGGGATTTCAATCAGAGAAAGAAGTGGAATGGAAAGATTTATTGAAATCAGAAAAAATCAAAGAATCAAATTGTATTTGGCTTTTGTCATCGGTTCCAGGATCTGGAAAGTCGACGGTGATGCGCGAGTTGGCTTTTGAAATGCAAAGAACATTGAAAGGCGAAATCAAAGTCTTCCGTGTTGTTCTTTATGACACTTTTGATCTTTTCTCTGCTGCTAAAAAGAAAAGAAAAGTTCCGTCACTTGCTTCGGTTGTTTCTCACGCGACCGGAAACCGAGAGATGGAAATTCAGAATCTTATCGAGCAGAAAAAAATCATGTTGATGTTTGACGGATTTGACGAAATTTGCCCCTTTAACCGAGATCAAGTGCTTCAAATTTTTACAGAAGCAGTGAAGGAAAAAGTTCCCATTTGGATTTCGACGCGACCGCACGAGGAAGCCGCGATTCGTGCAAAGCTCGAAAAGGGAAACCGAGTTTCCAGAGTACAAATTATGCCTTTGGATTTGAAGAAGCAAATTGAACATTTGATGATGATTTCAAACAAATGCGAGGAGGAATGCACACGTCAGATCACTTTCTACAGAGAAAATGGCTTGGAAGATATTCTGAGAAACCCTCTTCACTTGAAAATGATCGCAGAACTCCCAGCTGAGTCAGATTACAAACAAGGGACAAACTTGTACGAAATGTACGAAAGAATTGTGCATAAAAAAATACGGCTCGCGCTGACCCATTTTAGTGGTCCTTTATTAGAGAAAGCGCTGATCTCTGGTGAAAAGGAACTGAAAATCGCTGCAGCTCAATTTCTATGCAACAGGAAAAGTGAGGTTTTGAAAAATACCAACAACGAAATTGTTACAATCGGCAACGGACGCGCCCAGTTCGTTCATCAAACGTTTGCTGAATTTCTCGCAGCTGCGCATTTTGTCGATTGTTTGTTAAAGGAAGAAGAAGAAATGCCCTTTGATATTTTTAAAGATGGATTCCGTCAGGTCCGCAAGTTTGCTGACATGAAAGTTTCTACGATTAGTGAGAAATCAAATTTTCCCACGAGGATGGAAAGTTACTTGAAAAAATTACTAACAAAATCGATTCTCAAAGATATAATCTTGAAAGAAAAACTCGGCTTTTTTGGTACCGCAGCCGCCAATCTTGTTACTTTCAATCCGACTAAATCAAAAGGATTGAATTTCGTTGCTGACCAAATTTTGGAGTTGGCCAGTTCAGAAAATGAAAACTTTGCACTTGCCCTATTAAAAAATGGCGCATATGAAAATTTGGCAGAGCCAAACACAGCTGCTGTAAAAATTCTCGTAAATGCAATCGAAAATAATTTTGCTTATCTTTTTACCGCGATAAGTGAAAAATGTGCTAATTTGATAGAGTTAGTTTGGAACAATGAAACAATTAGGGAAGCAGTGGAAAAAGCTTGCAAAAAAAATTATCGAAAAGTATTGAGGCTGGTGTTTGAAAAAGGAATCATAGGTTCAAATTACCAAGATGCTTTAAACGTGGCACTGAAATCTGCTGTTCAGGAAAACAGCACCGAGTGCGTTGAACTTCTGATTAAAAACGGCGCTCCAACCGCCGACTTTGATGAAGATGACTTTGAATATTTAAACATAAAAACGACGGAAGCGATGCTCAAGACAAAGGACGAGCCCGTGTTAAAATTGGCATCAAGAATTTTCAATCGTTCCATCGAAAGTGCAAATGCCAAAGTGGCAAAGTTTTTGTTTGATAAATTCAGTGATGTGGAAAATGCAGAGTTTGAAGTGAGCAGCAGAGCCTTAATTGATGTAGCAAGGTGGAGCCATGATTACGAAACAGCGCAAATGTTGTGTCACTGGCTTCTTGAAAAACGTGGTTTCCAGGTACGTGAAAAAGACAAATATGGGCGGAACGCTTTTCACTGTGCAGTAGAAAAGGGAAATAAAGGTTTGGTAAAATATTTCCTTGAAAAGGACCCTGCGCTCACCAAGACTTTAACAAATGAAGGAGAAAACGCCATGCATTTAATTTTAAGAGCACTTGATTCAGAAAGGAAAATTGAAATGTGCAAGTATTTAAATAATCTTGATGCTGAGATGGTGAAGCAAAAAAATGCGCAAAACAAAACAATTCTCCATTTGGCTGCACAAGTTGGAAAACTTGTTTTGTGCGAATGGTTGGTGGAAGAAATTGGACTTGAGGTGGACGCTGTTGACGATTGCGGATGGAACGCTATGCATTTTGCTGCTTCTGATTATAACGTTGAAATAAAACTCTTGGAATATTTGCACGAAAAAAGTCCGCAATTGATCGAGAAGAGGACCAACAAAAATGAAACTGCATTGCATCTTGTGGCCAAGAATGAAGAGGGGAAAGTCAACATTTACAACTGGTTCGTCAAAAAAGGCGTCGATGAATCAGTGCAGAATTCGGAAGGAAAAACTGCTTTGCAAGAGGCTCATGAATATTTTCTTACAGAATTCAAGTTAAAAAAAAAAAACCAATGGGTTCTCCAATAAATGTAAAATTAATAGTTTAACTTTCTTTGGCGCTTTAAACAAATAAATTAGGCAAACTAACTTTATAGATTGAAGGATTGAAGGATGTTTTTTTTTAAGAAATAAAAGATAATCGAAGATGATTTGTTTTTATTCAGTTGTTCGCCATTTAAAAATTTGTGGCTTTTGTTTTTTTAAAGACCTATCTTTCTAAAAACAAAAAATATATTACGTGTGTTTTTTGTTAAATGTCATTAAATGAATACTTGCAAAGTCATCCCGTTGCAGGATTCGAACCTGAACCAAGCTGAGACACGCACGTACGCAGTGCAAAAATTTAAAACCAGCTCAACGTGCTACAAGTTACGCTATCTTTTGTCGTTTAGTATATTAAATTGGATTACGTCATCAAGTTATTTGTAAATGAGCAAATGAGCTTTTAAGAAATCTTTTAATCACTTAATATCCACCAAGGCAAATTTCTACTACTCTGATCTTAAAATGCGAACTGAAATTTCTTATTTCCACTTTTCATGGAACAGAAATTTAGTTTAAATTTGTATTCTTCATACCCTCAAAAATACTTCAGCACAAAAACGATCGCCCAATATAACAGATTTTTAAATACTCAAAATTTAGTATAAAAATGAGTTTAATTAATTATTTTTCTAGTTTGAGTTAAAAATCAAATGTTAGGTCAAAGTCCACACGAGTAAAATATCCTAAACACAGAGTAAGCGACAGCTTTTTTTATTATAAAAGCTCAATGTTGTGAAATCAAAAAATGTCAAAACTTTTATGAGACTTTTTTAAGCCTTAGACTTTTGAATTAGATATATAGAGGGGTACAAACTGCCATTGCAATTCATTTCGAGATCTACCGAACCATTGTTGCCATTGAAGATAAAAGGTAAGTCTTTTCACTTTAACTCAAATATGACGATTTAACCATGTGGGAATTATTTTTTGCTATTGCGTCTATCGAGAAAGGGTTTTGAAACATTAAAAGGAAATCAGGAACATTAAGTTTTATCCGTTATATCTTTTGACTCCATAATGGCCTAAAGTTTTCAATTTTTATCCCCAATTTATAATTATTTCATAAACTATGAATTATAATTTATTTATTTTGAAACAAGTCAAACATGCAATTAGCTATTTGCTTTTAATTTCTATGCTTCAAAATCGCCTATTATCCTGGGATAAAAAGTCTAGGAAAGCGCTTTAAAAGTAGACTTTTAAACAAATGTTAGTTATATGTTACTAACATTAGACTTTTTAGAAAGTCTAACCATTGATGGAATTTAGTCACACTCTCTGCATCACGTATCACGTTTCAGAGACATCGTGTGATACATTCAACGCCCTACCCTCTCAATGCATCCTCTGGTCTGGGATTAATACACAATTTATATATAAATCAAAAATCAAAAGGGTAAATATGAAAAACAAAAATTTTCTTTCAATGAAGGCTCCAGAATCATCGTTACATTTAGCTATTAAAACCAGTGTTTCCTAAGAAACTCTTTCAGTTTTCTTTCATAAATAGATCAAAAATCTTGGTTATTTGGAATACTTCTAATTAATTTCCATTGTGTTTCAGCTTTATAACATTCATAAAGATGTCAATGAATCCAGGATGCCCAGGAGCTCCAATTCAAAACAACACCAATTTGAATTTCAACATCGAATTACACCGAATTTTAACCTTTCCTGAGGACTTCAAAAACAAATGCTGCGTGGATCCAGAATTTTTAGCAAAGGCTGGATTTTATTGCTTCCATTCAAACGGAGACATTCGGCTGCGATGCAACTTTTGCACAAAAGAAATTCTTAGAGAGGAAATTCGTAACGAGGACGAGTTGAAGAGATTAAAAGAGCACAACTGCTGCGTGAATTCTGCCGATTCGGAAAACGTCCCTTTCAACGTGAAACAACTCGATTTCAAGTTCGAGTCGCACCGGTTGTACGCTTTCTTGAAAAAGGACAACTGGAAATTTGTAACACCGGCAGACTTAGCTAAAGACGGATTCTACTACACAGGGGTTGGTTAAATTTTTTTCTTAAAAATATTCATTTTGAATCAAACAATTTGTTTAGTTTTGTAAAATACTAATCAGCCGAAATATTTAGGCCCTTTCTTATTGATTTTCTTGTACATCTCACAATTTCTGCACTACTTCACAGGAGGAAGACAATTGTCACTGCCATTTCTGCAAACTGGAGATCCGCGGTTGGGAGGAAGGGGACCTGGTTCGGTCCGAGCACCAACGTTGGAACGCAGAATGTCCGTTCTTGAAAAACCCAAGCAGCGAAATGAACATCCCGATCGGCAAAGAACTGGACTCATTCGATATAGATCGTGCCGTTTCGACTATCCCTGGCGTTACTTTTCCCTTCATGTCATCCAAGGATTTACTCAAGAACTTCGGTGCCCGCGTGACCCTGAGCGACACAAAGGTGTCACCTTTGAGTTTGAACATCCAACAGTGGTCAAAGTCAAGCCACCCTCAATACAGCACGGTTTCCGAACGGCTTAAGACGTTCAGGAAATGGCCTAAGACTTTGAACCAAAAGCCTAAAGCCCTGGCCTGGGCAGGGTTTTTCTACGCGGAGTTGGGCGACAGGGTCATCTGCTTCCACTGCAACCTGGGGCTGAAGGAATGGGAGCCTCATCAAGACCCTTTGGAGAGACACGAGCGCTGGAACGAGAACTGTCAGTATCTGATCATGGCCAAGGAGGAAAAATTGAGGAAAAATGAGGAGTTAGACGCGGAGAATCGGAGGGAAAGCGTCATGTGCGTCAAGTGCGGGGAGGAAGAGGTAGCAATAGTCAACCTTCCGTGCGGTCACGCACAACTTTGCGCTGCCACTGCATGCTCAGACGGCGATTGTTGCACAAAGTGTGGCAACAATGTGAATGGTCGAGTCCGCTTTTTCTTCTAATTTTAAAAATCTCTACGGGTCCTTGCAAATGAGCTCAATCCATATTCCATATCTTATCAAGTGAATGAGCTACAAAGCAAAGTGGCTAAATCCACATTTGACCGAACACTCGTCTAGAGACTACAAATTTCCATCAACAAAAAATTCATGTTAAAATTTAAAAATCAAAATCAATTAACTTCCAATCCAGAAATCAAATCTATTTTCAATTTAAAGTGAAAATTCCAAAAAATATAATTTTAGCACTTATCTTATTAAAAACAATGAATGTGGATGATTAAACTCAATTAAAAAAGTGAACGAATTATACTGATTGAAAACAACACACAAAGATAATAATGATGAACTAAAATGAACAGTCAAAGGCCATCCGAGCATAAAGCATTAAATTGTTTATGAAATAGACTACCAAAATTTAAATTTTATAAAAAGCAGTATATTTTTGATTTATAATACAAAAATATAAATGATTATTATTGTTGTTTATTTAGCCACATTGTTACTTCATATACTTCACATCGTTTACATTCAATAGTTAAAAACAATTATTTGAAAAGAGAGGAATTGCTGGGAAAAAATGGCACCACCACTAGCAAGAATTTTGCGAAAACTTCCAAGATCAAAAAGTCTCCATCCGCTGCAGTGAGCCTTGGTTGACTTGGTTGGTATAAGATCAATTATTGTTTTCATTAAAAATTTCATAAAAAATGTTTTTAAGGGTTTTTCATTCACTGCGAGGCTTTAAATATATTTGTAATTCATAGTGTTTGTGTAGCAACATTATGTAAAAAATATGATAAATTAATCTTGAACATAAACTTAGTCAACCAATAAGGCTCACTGCGGCGGATAGAGTCTATTTAATCACGGAAGTTTTAGCAAAATTCTTGCTAGTGGTGTCCAACTATCCCTTTTTTTCTCAAAATAATTTGGACAAATAATCAACAATAATAATGTATTAAATGCTTTTTAATCTTAATTTATTCTAATTAAAAAATTTGCAGTTTTTTCTCTCAGAATCGCCAATACACTCTTCCGCTCCTAATCAACATGGGCTCAGTGCCTCGCAGAGAGTTGATGGAATGCACACAAAATGAAACGCTATTTTACTGTTCAAATCTTGAGGAAGCTTTCATTGGGTGCCTTTTTTACAAAGTTCTGTTTCACGTCTAGCTTTGTTTGATTTTAATTGAATTGAATTTTTTAAATTAGTGGTTTTAAATTAAATAATTGTAGAAATTATTTTATGGGAATTTTTACTCTAAATAGTATTAATTTAAATTAGGAACACGTTTTGTTTGTGTTAAAAGCTAATTGTTTTTAATTTGTAATTTTAATTTTTTTTCTAATTAAGGTTAATAAATTTAATTAATCTAAATTAAGGTCAAATTATTGGAGTCATTCTTTCTGAATTTTTTGTCCAATCAAATGGTTTTAAACAGGGAATTATTATTATTATTGTAATTTATAAAACAACAAAGAATTTAGGATTTTATACCGTTTGGTTGCGCGCTCGAATTCCCGCTTCCAAACTTTGCAAGATTTATAGAGTTGTTGTCGGATCAGCACCAATTAAATCTGCATTTTTCCATGAAGGATGTCAGCTAATTTTTCTTCTGAAAACTGTATTTACAGAAATAAACATGGGTGTCTGTACTTGTTTGATGATTTCTTTCACTGCCTTTTACTGCACGAAAATTACCAAACCTGCATTTTTCAAACTGAAAGCGGAAAAAACATGCGACCAGACAGATTTATAATAAATGCTTAAAAAAATCAGTTCATTTCTTTAAAAAGATATTAATCTTAAAATGTTTTATTATTTAATTTTCCCTTTTTCTTGAAAAAAAAAAACAGCGTACTTGTGGAATTTTAAGTTTTGGCTAAACAAATTGTCTCAAAACTTGCATACGCGCCTGACCTGTGTTTCAAGAGAGCGACATCAGCGCTACCGACTTTAATTTTCAAGTCGCAGTTTATTGATTATAAGACGTGAGTCGTTACTCCATCGTAAATTGTTATAGAGGGGGGTCGGGATTGGCCAAGAAAAAAGCAAGCTCAAATCTTAAATCTATTTGAGGTATTCATTTATTACAAATTTTTAAAGTTAATAGTATTTTCTTTCTAAGATTGTATTAAGCAGTATTAAAACAAAATACTGAATATTCAAAGAAAGACAATGTGAGACAAATATTAATTAAATGTGCGAACATAGAAGATACATCTGCTGGAAATCCTACACAGAATCGCCAATGCTGTCATCTTCTCTTTATTCTTGTAGAAGTCAGCGAGTAGCGCGTTTTCTCATGAAATAGGGTTGCAGACTGTGACCGAAACTGGTAGAGCCGTTTTGTTTTTGAATAAAAACAAATTTTCACAACAAGGAAAAGCCCAATCTCTTCATATCCATGATCATCTCCTCGACTTCTTCAAACAAAAATCTTCTCTTTAGTTTGTGTTTCTCTCAAAAGGCTCAGTATGTCAATTGATAAAATGATAGTATCGAAAATATTATATAACTATCTTATCAGTCAACTTTGCTTAGCCCAAGTCTTTTGAGAAAAGTCTCATGCTCCAGAGATAATAGCAATAGTTGCGCAACTCAATCATAAAAATAGAAAATCAAACAACATTAACTGGTGCAATTGGAAAAACCACATTTTGGCTGCATTTTCTCTGCGTCGATATCAATTAATTAGTAAATAAGCAAATTAATCACACCAAAAACAAATTGTAATTTTCAATTATGTAGTGGGCATAAAAGCAATAATATTCTCCTTCTCAGAGAAGATCTCTCCTTTTTTTTTTTTTTTTTTTTTGAAGAATTTTCGAATAAAATATATATAATTTTAAATTGTTCAAAATTCAAGTATTTGAATTTAAAAAGAGGCGATTTCATCTGCTTTAATTTAATATATTTTCTTTGCTTTTAAAACAATTCAAATAACAATAAAAAATGAAAGAAAAAAATGAGGTCACAGCCGTTTTGCTTCCCTCGATAATTTTTTTTTAATAATTATGAATTTTTTTACACGTCAGCAATTACATTATTTATTATTGATGAGAAGTTTGTCTTTGCTTCATTTGATGCTTGAAAAAGTTAATGCAGAGCACACGCGCTTATATGCGACAAAGCTAGCGAGGAGTGAGACTTTCGCGCAGATGCCTTCATTGTCACGAAAAAGTCTATCTATTTCTCAGACCAATGCAACTTAAAGTCTTTGGTACGACGGGTAAGTGTAGTACGTTTTAATATTCACGTATTAACCTTTTCTTGCTATTATTTTTTAAAGCGTATAAAGTTTACATTTTGTTACAAATACAATTTTGTTTTGGAGAGTAAAAAAAAATCAAATTTACGTACAAAAAATAATCAATTATTATAAAAAAATCCATTAGCTCAATTCAAAGTTTTAATCACGCTTTATTTCAGCATTTTTTATTTATTGCATTTTTACGCCAAAAATTATACAAAAGCCGTAGATCCCAAAAATAAGTTGGTCGTAGTGGGTCGTAAAAATAAAATTGGAGAAATTTTAGTTTTCGTAAGAAAACAATATATGAACTGAGAAACTATAGCTTCGATTTTATCTTGTGATTTACTTTTGAGCTTGGTAGAGTTGTGACTGATTGTTAGATGGATCAAAAGAATATAACGCGAGGCCGACGTGACCTCCTAAAAAATTTCTCCATTCGAGAGTAAATCACCGAGCTAAAACATTTCTCACTTTTCAAAAAAAAAAAAAAAAAACCGCAGATTTAAATTAGTAATCATTTCTAAGATTAATTCTGAATACTTGCTGTACATTTTTTTTTTATAAAATCAATGAACCAAAAATTTAAAGATTTCCGTTGCATGACACATAAAATATATTACAAATGCGCTAATGAACGCACCTACCTGAGTGGTCAGGTATAGAATTTAAGGTGGCGCTTGAGAAGTTGCTGATTGTGAGAAAGCGCTTGGTTTGGTTTTACGTTGAAGGTTGAGCGGACGTGCTTCGTGTTTCTTCTCCCGCACTCAACTCGCGCGTTTTTATTGATTTATACTAAGGTAAATTTAATTCTTAGTTTCCTTATCTAAATTCGATTGAATGTTAAAAAATTTGCACTCCAATCCATTTTTCCCAAAGTAGAATAGTTTCAAAACATTAATGTAGAAAGTTTTTCTCTCAGCTTAGAGTTTTTTCGCATTTTAATATTATTTTTTGTAACAGTTTTACCATATGTTTCTCAGAAACAAATACAAAAAAATTTGACCTTACCTTAATTTTGTTCAAATATATAATCCTAATAGTACGATCAATCGGCATATATAATTTTTTATTTTAATTTACAAAAATTTTGACTTTTTCGAAAGTCAGAGTGAGACTTTTGCATGCTTTAGGAGCTTGCTTGTATCTTAATATTGTAGCAGAATTTTACCATTAAGAGTTGATTCATGGTGTTCGATTTTCACTCAGTTTTCCTTTGTGGGTTTTTTACACCAACAGGAAATTGCTGAGATTGTACGAAACAATCAATGACTCAGAAAAACCATCAAACTGGAGAAAATCCAAAAACGGGCCCTTCACTTCATACACGGCAAACACCTTCCGCCGGTAAAGGAGCAAAAAATAATGCCCGTGGAAATGCAGCTCCTGTACACCGACCTTTTATTTTTTAAAAAAAGTGACCACGGCGTGACCGACTTTGACGCGAGAGCGCGCCTAACTACGGGGCCAAAGTTGCGAAGTGACGACAGCAACTACCCCCGTGCTCTGCAGCCAGACGCGAGAACAAAATTCGGACGCGAGGCGTTTTCTTACCGCGTCGTCAAACCGTGGAATGACACGCCACCCGCCTTGAAAGACTGTACGGCGGCACAGTTTCCAGCGCTGTGCAAGGCGTATCTGTGGCAAAAACTTAATTCGTAGTCCCCCTGACCAATGGCTCTAGCGGCCGGTGCGCTCTTCTTCGAAGGAGAGTGCGTCGTGCTTTAGCAAGTTGTTTGCTAGCGAAGAGCCATTTCTCCATTCACCCCTCTAACCAACATTCTTAACATGTATTTTCAGTATTTTTATTTGACTTTTTGTGTATTGACTTGATGTAAGATGTTGTGTATTTCATGTATCTGAATGGAGAATAAATAAATAAATAAATAAATAAGGAAAGGCCGAGTTTAAATTCAGGCGCTCAAACAGAAGTGACTGAATTTATTTCATAAAAATGGTTTTAAAATATCAAAAAATAAAATTCTTCAAAGAAAATAATTCATTGGATGATTGGAAAAGCAACAGATTTTGATCTTAAAATTTATGGATATGAAAAAATAACCAAAATATTATAATTCAGCCTATGCACCTAAATTTTGCAGCGGATGGGGACTTTTTGATCTCAGAAGTTCTAGCAAAATCTTGCTAATAGTCGTGCCGATTTGTCCAACAATTACTTTTTTTCTCAAATAAATGTTTTCCACAATTGTATGTAAACAATGGTGATGAAACAATTTGGACAAATAAACAAAAATAATAATTTATAATTTTTAGTTAAGACATTTTTCAAGTTCTGAACTTAATTTGTTTACTTGTCACAAATATTTACTTCATTTTCAACGTTACCTTAAATCTCAGTAAAAAGGCTCATGTGTGTATTTCATTAAAAAAACATATATCTAGTATATTCCAGACTATGATTTTTGGGTTGGCACTGCTGCATATATACTGGCTGGTTGCTACCGGTTTTTACCGGTTTATTTAGGTGGTTTTTCTCATCACTATTGGTTGATAGTGGGCGTTTTTCCTACAGCTGATTGTCTACCACCTTACACTTTTATTGTCAAGTTACAGTGCGTTTTTGTGTTTTTTTCTCCCTCAAAATGTGTTTTAATTGTGTCTCCGTACGTTTATTGTGTTTATCTTGTATTTAATCTGTTTAATAGTAAAGTATTCGCACTTATTTTCGTATTTATCCAAATGTTTTGGTTAAATATGGTGTTCGTGGGTGTGTTTCTTTCAGCTGCTTTTGGCTTCATTTAGTTCACTTTTAGTGCTCGTGTTGCTGTGTTTTTGTGCTGCATCAAGGAGTGTTTCAATGTGTATTGGTGTATTTGGTGTCTTTTTAGCGTTTTTTTGTCTTTTTGTCTGCTGGTGAGTGATGCATTATTACGTTTTGGTGTGTTTTTTTTCTTTTATTAGTATGCATTGCATTGGTTTTTGTGTTTTGTTTTTCGTTAAATTTATTTTTGATCGCTGTATATTCTTAGTACTCTTCAATATCCTTTGTGTTTGTGCTGTTTTATTGTGTATCGATGCCTTTTTTGCGTTTTTTCTGTTGGTGATTTTGATTTTTTTAAATTTCATTGACGGTGGTTGGTTTTTGTGAGATTTTTTTTATTTTATTTTTTTTATTTCATCTTATCTATATATTTAATTTAATTATTTGTGATCGCTGTAGATATTTTAGCATTAATAAAAAATGTCATTTGAATGCGTTTTGAATTGATTTTTTTATGTAGTACGCTTTTTCGTTGTTTTAAGTTGCGATCTTTATTACACTCTTTTATGTTGTTGTTATTTTTTTTCTGCTAGTTGTCTTTATTTATCGATTTTTGTGTTTGGTAATTGTCTTTTTTATGTAGTATTATTGCTTTTAGTTAGTTAAGTTTGGTCATATTTATTTAACTTTTCTTATGTTTACTTTAACATATGGTGTGTAGTCTACCGGTATAGTCGCCGCTTGTCAGTCGGATAATCCCGGTTCAAATCCGGCTGCAGTACCGGCTTTGGCAACCGGTATTTCGGTGCACTACATGGCTGCCAACCCAAAATATGTAGTCTGGAATATACTAGATATGTTCCTTTTGTTTCAATAACAAGTTCAGATATTAAACTTTTTTCTAATAATTGGAGATCCAATAAAGTTTTGTTTATGAATTTTTAATAGCATGCTTCTGAGAGAAGTGTTGCGACTTATAAATAGTCTAAGATTTTTTTCTTTTCAATTTTGGAAGTCTAAGTTTGATTGAAGTCCAAGACCGTTTCAGTTCCAATAATACCTGATGCAGACCAAGGGAATCGATTCGCAGTGAAGACAATCTACAGCTTTAGTGAACCCGTGAGCGTTGTCGAGATCCACCGATTTTCACAAAGTCACCCTTCATGAATCTTCAAGTGAGTTTTTTACAAAATGAAAAATATAAATTAAATTTTTGAAGATGAACTCCGGTAAATACTTGTATTCCTTTATTTGAAGAAATATCGAATTTTATGACCAAAGTTGAAATCGTGATCGAAAAATTTGCACCCCTGAAGTTCAAATTTCCTGCTAAACAAATTTTAAACTCTCAAGTTAAGTACCAACTGAAAAATTACTGAATTAAGTTAAAACAGCTAAATGAAAGGTAATATGGGACTCAGTGCCAAAGTTAAAATGATTTTTGTCGTGAAAACTCGATGGCCAGTTGTAACCGTTAAGCGAGTGCAAATTTTTTAGATGGCGATTTCTAATACGGTAATGAAATTATTGGCCTTCTTTCACATTCAAGACTAAAAAAAACGGAATTCTTCTTTAATTTTAAGCAATTTGTAGCAATAGATTTAAAAATATTGGATTTTTTTTGCAGCTTCACCAAAATATTGTAAATAATGATGCCTTTCATGAAAAGTACGGATCAAGCAGGAGCGCCAATTCAAAACTACGTCGGTCATTTGAATTTCAAATTGGAATTGCACCGATTTTTCACCTTTCCCGTGGATTTCAATACAAGATTCCCTGTGAATCCAGCGGATTTGGCAGCGGCAGGATTTTATTGCTCTGATTCGAGCGAGATGACTCGGCTGCAGTGCCATTTTTGCCCAATTGACATCAACGTAGAGGAAATCCAAAGCAAGGACATATTGAAGAGTTTAATAAGGCACAACTGCTGCGTGAATTCTGCCGATTCGGAAAACATCCCTCTCAATGACAAACAACTCGACTTTAAGTTCGAGGCGCATCGGCTGTACTCTTTGCTGAAAAAGGACGACTGGAAATTTGTAACACCAGCAGAATTGGCCAAAGACGGATTCTACTATACCGGGGTTAGTTTCTATACGTTGTATTACTTTTCTTACTTGCTCAAGGTGGTCAAATTGAAATAAAATATTTTTGAACGATAATTTCAATAGGAATTGGAAAAGGACTTGAGAAAAAAATCATGAAATTGAAACTGTACGGAGAAAAATACTTCACACTTCAAATTAATAGGAGATTTTTTTGCATTTTTCTATGATAGCGAAAGTTTCAGTTTTTCCACAGTGTTTTTTTCTGTGTTTTCTACTGGAAACTAGACGGTAATGAAATTTGCGATAAGAAATATTGCACATTTTATTCCCCGTTGCTTCCTAAAAGATGGAGGGCGCAACATCAAGGAACTAAACTAATACGTTTCTTAAATTTAACCTTGGTATCGGAAACATGTTCCATGAAATTTGATGACAAATTATTTCACATAAATTAAATTTCACAAATTTCGTCCACATTTGACGTAAAATACATAATTATAATTAATCTTTTGATTAATGTGAAAGTTTGGAATATTCAACCTGTAGCTATTCCGGCCTAAAATGATGTTTTCGAATTGTTGCTCAGGAGGAAGACAATTGTCGCTGCAAGTTCTGCAACCTAGAGGTCCGCGGTTGGGAGGAAGGGGACCTGGTTCGGTCCGAGCACCAACGCTGGAACTCAGGTTGCCAATTCTTGCAAAACCCAAGCAGCGTCCAGAACATCCCGATTGGCCAAGAACTGGACCAACGTGAGTCCTTGGAGTCCTGTTCAAGGACATTGGATTCAGTGACCTCCGGGGAATCACGTGAGCAAGCGTCACACAAGGGTTTTATAAGCAAGATCAGTGGCACCACCTTTCCCTTCACGTCAGTCAAGGATTTACTCAAAAAGTATGGTCCCAACGCGACCCTGAGGGACCCAAAGGTGTCACCTCTGAGTTTAAACATCCAAGGGTGGTCAAAGTCGAGTCACCTTCGCTACAGCACGGTTGCTGGCCGGCTGAAGACGTTCCGCAACTGGCCAAAGAGTTTGAACCAAAAGCCGGAAAGCTTAGCCCTGGCAGGGTTTTTCTACACGGGCAGGGGCGACAGGGTCATCTGCTTCCACTGCAACCTGGGGCTGAAGGACTGGGCGTGTCAGGACGACCCTTTGGAACAACACGAGCGCTGGAACGCGGCCTGCCAGTATCTGATCATGGCCAGGGAGAAAAAAATAGACGCGGAGAATCGGAGGGGAAGCGTCCTGTGCGTCAAGTGCGAGGAGGAGAGCGTCTCCAGGGTCAACCTGCCGTGCGGCCACGCACACCTTTGCGCCACGTGCTCGGACGACGATTGTTGCGCCACGTGCGGCAACAATGTGTACGGCCACGTTAACTTCTTCTTATAATTCAGAAATTTCGCTAATACATTTAGCAAAAATTTTATAAATTTAATTTCCATCAAAAAATCATCAGCTGGTTCGCTATAATTGGATAATTATAGCGAACCAGCATACATTTTTATGAGGAAAAATCTAATTTTGTCATAATTATATAACAAGGCATAAAATGCGTTTTTTTGGTAGAATTTCACTATCAAGGGTAGATTCCTGGTGATTTAAATTTTAAGTCGGCTTTCCCTCGATGGGTTTTGTGAGTTGTTTATTGTTTCAGAAAAACAATATCCTGCTGATGTTTGGTTGCGGGCTGCAGCCATAACTCATGTTTACAAAACTACAAAAACAATTACAATTGTTTTTGTAGTTTTTGACTTTGGTGGGATACCATACAGCCAGATCTATTTTCGTCAACTAAATTTTAATTAAAAATTTATGAAGACGGCTTTATAGGGATAAGCGTGGTAAATTAGTTTACTCGGCGAAAAGAGTAAGCCATAACAATTATACGCGGAAAATGATTTAAAGTTACACTTTTACACGAAGAACTTTTTACAAAAAATTTTCAAAATGTTTCACAGCTCATGAATTATGGCTGCACCCCGCAGTCGAAACTTTTGTAGTAGGATATTTTTTTTCTTACACAAAACTGACCAAGGGAAATTCGATTTTAAATTCAAATCTCCATAATATGCAATGTTTAAAATTTTAAGCTGATAATTGCAAAAGCAGCATTCAACCTTTTCATCTCTTTTTTAAAAGAGATAATAAATTCTTTAAAAATTTATTTTGATGTATTGAAAACTATGCTTTTTATTAATTAATTAGAGTTTTTCCACAACTCATATCATGTATGCGATAAAAATATATATGTTTTTTATTTTACAACTAAATTCCCATTTGCTTAGAAAATATTTCAATGCAATTTGTAATGTGATGCGCGACAAAATAAAATAAAAGTCTAAACATGCAAATAAAATCAATAAAGTTTACTGATGACTTCTAAAATTTAAAATTTCTTTTATTTTCCACGCAGAGAACGCCGAAGTATAATTTTATCATCATCCCACTTGGCGGGGATGATGAAAGGTCAGCAAAAGAACAAAATTTGCGCCAGGGGTTGGCTGAATAACAGAAGGAGATTCGATAAAATTTACAGAACTTCAATTTTTCAATGTGATAAGAACTGATCGAGCGGCGACGGAACTTTCATGAGAACAGGCTGGACATTTCAACGAGGCGGCCCACAATGTCATGGATTTAGGCAACCCACAAGTGCAATGTGCCGAGGAGTTGCCTCCTGAAGGCCACTGAATTTAAAGTTGTGGTCCAATTTTGTAGAGCAATGAAATAATATACCAGTTGGATACCTACCCATGTTAAAAAAAAAACTCTGCTTCAATGATTCTTTCTTAATTATATTGCTTATTAAGTCAAATTTTTTTCATCCATGTAAAAATATTGCATTCTGCCAAAATATATAAAAATAGTTTACTTTATTTATTTGAATTTTTCTTCTTGATGAACAAATAAGAAAATTAATAAAATTTCAAATTCCAATTTAAGAAAAATTGAGTTAAAAGAAATTGTTATTAAATGGACAATTAAGAAAGGATGGTGGTCTTTGAGCAAGATTTTTACGATTCTGTCTCTCCTCCCAGAACTGTCGACTTCAAAATTGAAACAATAAAAAAGTTTTACTCCTCAAATATCCTTAAATATTTTATTGTCATTAACGTTCGTTTTGAATCGTGTGTGGGTTTAGGAAAATTTTCAGGAAATTGGTGGCAAAATTTAGTTTCACCAATAATTGAAAATCTATAGAAATTGCATATTTGTTTTGTAGTGATTTGAGTGGAATAGATGATGATAATAAATTAAAAAGATGTGTTTAAAAATGGGAACTATTGTGAAATTTTTAGGGTAGTAAAAATCTTCAATTCCCATTAAACTTTAAATTGCCTTTAATTCCTAGTCTTTGGATAAAGTCCTCCCTTTTTTACATTAAAAGTAAAATACATAATTAAATAATAACCTAAAACGCAGCAATCTGAATTAATCAAAATTATGAAATGTAAAATCATTGGAAAATTTTACAGCCAGATTAAAAATTTGAGTTTTTCCAGCTTCAATTTCTTCGCCAATTTCATTTTTGCTCGTCAGATTTTAAGTGGAGTTGCATTAATCGTTCAAGCAAATTCTCAAAATTATTACGAGTCCTGCTAATTGGAGTCGTCGAAAAACCTGATTCGATTCAATCTTTCTCTCCACTTCAGAAATTTCCAACCCAACAATGCAAAACAGGAGTTCAAGTTTGCCGACTTTGATTGTGAAAACAAAAAAGCTTTCCTGAAAAGTCAACTTCCATTGTGTCATTGTGCTCCAGGAATAAAAAATGGGTGCGAAATCCGAAATGTTTTGTAAACAATTTCAAATATTGTTCTTCGAAGGACATCTGAGCGAACTTACCATGTAGATATTTGATTTTCATTCGAAAAATAATCCAACAATCGGAGATTTATTCATTTCTGTTCAGTGAAAAGAAAATAACTGGTAATAATCACAATGAGAATGTTGTTTTTTGTACATACCGAAGCGATTGTTGCGAGTTTCCGTTCGATTTCCAGCCGATTTTTCCAGCCAGCCTCTCCGAACTGCAAACCTTGGAGACTTCCTGGTTCTTCTCGACGTCTTAGGCACTTTTTTGAACACTTTTTTCAAGATCAATTGGCTTTTGTTTACAATTTCACCGGGCTTCACGAGAGTGACTAGGGATTGTAGAACCATGGGATACGAAGAAAGGCGGAGCCCCCCCATACCCGCAATGTTAAACTGGTACAATGTAATCAAATGGGAGCTGGTACCTAAGCCCCGCCCTTATTCGTATCCCAGAGCTCTACTCTACTATCCCTAAGAGTGACTGGAGCCGCACCAACTGTTTTGATTCTCCCCACCACCAAGTGATTGGTCACGTGACCGCAGACGACCAATGGCGCGTCAGTTGATCAAAATCAGGTCAAATCGGGTAAAATGTTTGGTCACCAGCAATTTAAGCAAATTAGTCAAAAGTGAAATGCGATCTTAAATTTTTCTACTAAAAATGTGACTTTTAATTGCTTTCTATCATCAGTTCAAAGTTTTGATTTCAGGCTTAATTCTTGGCGCGACAAACTCGCCCTATATTTTGCATTGATTTGCATAAAAATCGTGAATAAAAGTAAAAATTAATTTAGTATTGATCAAACGTCTTTGAATCTTTTGCGCCGGCAATTCTTGGAATAGTATATAAATTATGTAATATCCAGCATCATAAAGCATTTTTAAGAAAAAATATTTGATTTGAGAAAATTCTACGAATTTCGAGGAGATTAATATTTAGTAAAAATTAAAGGCTCCGGAGACAAAGGCTGGTGCGGTCTTTCTCCAAAATTAAAAGGTGCGCGCGAGACCCCTGCTTTATCTGGAATTGTTCCGAAAAGATAAAAAGCGAGCCGACGGCCGCACAAGCACTTCCGCTCTTCACACGAAACATTTGACGAGAACCATGCTGACGTTCTACGGCTGGCACATTTTGGGCAGTGTCCTTTGCATTGTAATTATTCTGCAACAGTGGACGATTCAGATGGCAATCCAAGGTAAATCATGTATATTTTATTATTACCAGAAAATTTCAGAAATTTCAATTGGAAAATATTGGTGATATAGTTTTTTTCTCTCAATTTTTGTAATTTATATTCTGAATCAAATTAATTTATATACAAATTTCCCTAAAAATTAATAATTATTAACATCATATCCCACAATCCTGTAAATAATTGTTAAAATTATAAAATTTATTGTATTTATATTGTTTTAATTATAAACAGAAATAAAAAAATTTTATTTAATGAATAAAACAAATTATACTTTATTATATTTTATTCAAATCAGAATGCAGATTAAATTAAAGATAACAATTTTTAAAAATATTAGCTCAAAAATAAAAATTACTTCTCTTGTAATTTTTTTTTGTGAATTTCAGAGGTTTATTCGAAGTTTTTTTCCAGAGAAAGTTTCAAATAAGATAATAGTGTTGAAAATTCAAATTCCAGATATTCGAATGGACGTACACATAGTTCCTCAGGTAGTGACTCAAGTGGTCACTAAAGTGGTGACTGCAACACCAACAACTGTTGATGCTGCGACCACCGAAGTCACGATCGAAGCGCTTTCCGAGTTTGACGAGAGATTGATGAGCCACGTGAGAAGCATTTTGGTCAAACCGAACAATCGAAGCGTGCCCTACGCTCTGCAAAACCCAAACGCCGCCGACTACTCTCAGGATAACACCGGCCCTTTTGTACTCTCCCTGTTGAAAAACAAGGTAACTTTCAGATTGGCCTCCAGGCATTTTTTTTTTTTTTTTTTTTTGCAAAACTTCATGTTTTTAAATTATTGCCAGACGAAGGGTTTCTTCTTTGAATGCGGCGCGTTCGACGGCGAGACCTTTTCCAACAGCCTGGCGCTGGAAAAGTTTTTCAACTGGACGGGTTTGCTGGTCGAAGGATCGCCGAAGAACGTTCAGGTCATGCTGACCAAGAAGAGACGGGCGTGGATTTCGCCCACTTGTCTCAGCACAACCAGGAAATCCATGAAGGTATTTTATTTGTTCTGTTTATTGGATTCGAAATTCTGACTTTGAGAAAATAGGTCAAGTTCCTCGACAGCACCAACACTGGGAAAATAGTCGGGGGAGCAAATCAGACTGTGGCGAAACCCCAGTCCGGCTCCCTGGTCCAATCTTTTTGTGTTCCCTTCAACACCTTGATGAAAGTTCTGGACATTAAGCATATTGATTACCTCACTCTGGACGTTGAAGGCCAAGAATTTGAAATTCTCCAGACGATCGACTTCAACAGTGTGACGATTGACGTAAGATGAAAGCTTGATTTTTTTTTATCAAACTTAAATTTTGCAACATTTATCAAGATTTTTTTAGCAAAACGTGATAATAAAATTTTGAAGAATAAATGAAATTTAAAATTTATAAAAAAAAAAAATAGTAAAACTAAAATGTTCAATTAAATTGTAGAAATTTTCTTTTGATCCTATTTTTTTTTTTTACTAAAAATGTTGGGCTAACTTAAAAGAAACTTTATCAACAATTATAATAATTAACAGCGCAAATTATGCAGCCAGACTATAAAATGGTTTTTGTATTCTCTCTAATATAATTAATTCATGCAAAAGGAGATTTTTTTAAATAATTAATTAATTGTTAAGATTTTTGCTGGTCATCTATATCAAGTAAATTTATCAGGTGATGGCTGTGGAGTTTAATAATTTTCGTCCGCCCGAAATCTTACAAGAAATTCTCAAAATTGCGAATGCAAATGGATTCGTCATGGTCAAAAGAACGAGACTCGATTACATCTTTGTGCACACCAGAATTTACCAACCCCCGATTGCAACATCTTCAAATTTGCCGACTGTGAATCCGACTACAAAAAAAACTCAGTGAAATAGTCAATTTGCATCGTTTAATGATTAATTCCCCGGAATCAAGTAACAAGATATGGGTGAATTTTTTAACGCATTTATATTCTTTTTGAAATGAAAAAGCTCTTTTTGAATGAATGAAATATTTGAGATTTTCAAACAATTCATTATAATATTTCAAACTTATTTTTAATCTGATTTCATCTATGTATTTTTATGAAGCGTTTTAATTTTTTTTATTTTGATAATCACAGAAAATATAATCAAAACCTATAATATATTTTTTATAATATTATATAATTAATTTAATTTTGAGGAAAACATAAAAAAGCTGTTTATGATTTTATAAAAACGGCACAGAAATTATAATTGGAGTGTATTATTTCAAGACTCTATCAAGCCTAGTTGATCGTCAATAACCTGATAATTAAGGTCTCTATTTTTTTTTTGTACATCTTGTTGACGATGAAGATGGTTGAAAATTTGGATATTCCGCAGATATAATTTATTCTTGAAATTTTAGATTTATTTCAAGAAATAAATCATTTTCTCTATTCTGGCTCTTTAAAAAGCATGGCGAGCACTGTTTTTTTACTGCCCAATTTTATGTGTTATTGCAAAAAGTTGAAGGCAGTTTTAAATTTGGATACTGCAGAAATAACATAATTTTTTGTTCAAGGTTAACTGTTTAGAAAAAATCAATTTTTTGTGATCTGGCTTTTTAAAATGCGTGGTCCCTTTTTGTTGTGAACTGTTATATTTATATGATTTTTTTTTCTTTTAATCGCCATGTCTGGTGAAAACCGTGGAATTAAACTTAGAAACCATTTTTTTCACACGTTTGCTCGGCAAATCTTGGGAAAAAGAATGAATAATTCGGAAAACATTTTGCTCGTGAATTAAAAAACACGAAGGAAAGCTGTAAATAATCTGGTTTTCTTTAAGCTCGCACACCGTAAAAGGTTTACAATAATTTTTGTTGTTCCAAGATTGCTTCAGTTCGGCAGCGCCGCATCCTGGAAAAAAAGTATATACGGCAATAACCTTTTACATTAAATTACTTTTCTGTATTTGAACTTTCCAGCATGGGATTAATTTTGAACAATTTTCTTTGAAGCTCTCTTGAAAATCAACGCTTTCAAAAAAGTTTCTGAATATTTGTATTTTATAATTTCAACAAGAATGTACATAATCACCTTTTCAAAGTGACGTTAATTAATTATAAAATTTTAACTGGGTGAGATCATTTCTAAACCAATGATTTATTGTAAAAGTTGATGTAAATATAAATAAGGAAAAATGTTCGTCGACGTTGTTGAGTGCAATATAATAATTACAAAAGGCAAAAGCTGCTGGTTTTTTCCGAGTTTCGCGACATACCTCGGCTTATCTGCAATTGCAAGGTTCCGAAATTATAAAAAGCAAGCCGACGCGCCGCATTTGCATTTCAGCTCTTCACATCGAAAGTCGTAATGAGAAATATGCTGACGCCGTACGTGTGGCACTTTTTAGGCAGTGTCCTTTGCATTATCATTATTTTACAACAGTGAACAATTCAGATGGCAATCCAAGGTAAAATCATCTCATCAATATGCTTATTTTACCAGAGAATTTTCCAATGTTATTTAGAACGATAAGTGCTAATTTTCCAATTTTTTATATTATAAAATGAAAGTAACAAAAACAGAAATACAAAATAATTTGTTTTGTGATTTTTACAGGTTTATTTGAAATTTAATCTTAATAAAAGTTTAGAGATCAAATATATATGCAGAATTTAAATTCCAGATTTTCAAACAGAGGCTCAAGTAGTACCGAAAGTGGTACCTCAAGTGGCAGTGGCACCTCCACTAGTACCTCAGGTGGTGAGTTGAACCCTGGTTTGCCTACCCTGGCGTCGGCCCTCGAGCTTCGATGCCCAAAGAAGAGGATTAGTTGGTAAAAATAATTAATTATTTCAATTGCCCATTGCGGTATTTTTGTGGATTTTCAATTTAATCTCTGTTTTGAAAAAAGTATTAAATTCAACAGTTAAAACTAATTTGGCAAAATCTATAATGTCTGAAAGCTTAACTGAATTGTATTTAAGTTTTTAGTGCAGAGATGATGAGTTTCTTTTTGCACGAGGAGATTATCAAATAATTAAAAAATTTGTTTATTTTGATGTCAATTGTTTCCTGGAAGCATTCAGCACAAGTAAAAATTGAATTCAGCTAAATAAACATTTCAAAATTAATTTTATCCATAAATTTTCTGTATATGTCTGGCATTTAAAATATGTATTTGGTGTGCAATCGAATTTATTTTACCACAAATTGTTTCTAGCAATAGTTTAATTTGCGTCCTTCCCTGAAATTTTTAACTCTGAGCCCTTATACTTGTTTACAAAATATCCAAAAAGAAAGCTCAATTTTCTGTGTTTATAATTAAATTGCCTTTGTGCTCGATGCAACAATGAAATTTTGTTTGCATTGTTTTTGCCAATGAGAATTGGTGCCAATTTTTTTGGCACCATTACTGATTGGCTAACAACGAAAGAAACTAGATTTCATTGTTGCATCTGGCCCCCGTTAGTTTTAATTATATGCATTCAACTTAAAACGAATTTTACTCATTCCTTTTCAGATTCAGGCTTTGTGTTGTTGAAAATGGAAAGGTCAATATTTGATCTACATCTTCAATCAAGTGAGTTTATTTTTAACAATTTGACAAATCAATTTGAGCGCCGAAAAGAATCTCTTGCGAGTTGAATTTTTATTATTAACGGAAATGATCTTGGCACTTTTGGGGGTGGTGCGATTTGGGGGTGCGGCGCGTGAGGGCGCGTCGGTCGCCTTTGTTGTTTCAGGACCAGGCGAGTCTCAGTTCTCAGTACCCAGTCGGCTGCGGTTGCGAGCGGCCAGCGTGAGAGCGACGATGGCGGGACGCGTGTGGGACGTCGGCCTCGTTTGAACCCGAAATATGATTTTTTTCGTCCTGAGCCTCGCGCTGCTCCTCGGGGCCCGTGGGGCCCCCCTCGACCGCTGCCCTGAAGACGCCCTGGCAGGTCGCGGCGACGAGGCCCTCGTCACCCTCAGACACGCCTCCTTCGACCCTGCGCAAGGAGTTGTCGCTGGAATCACCTACCAAGGTCAGTTTTCAAACAAATTCCAATTTTTATTTATGCGAATACCCTGACGATGGCGATTATCGTCATTTTCTTATCTTAATGCGATTATAATTTTAATTGGAATAAAAAGCAGTAATTTTTAAAGCTTAGAAGTGGAATTTTCACTTTCTGAGAGAAAATTGAGACTTGTCGGTTATAAATTCTGAATGATTGAAACATTTCGAATAAGGAACTTTTAACCGCCTCAACGTGCATCCGAAACGTTAAAACTATATAAATTTTTGGAAAAATCTTCGCTTTTCGAACCTTGAAGTCAGACGATTTTAATTTTTAAGGAACCGTTCCCCCCCCCCCCCCCCCCGAAAACCGCAAGAATTAAACGTCTAGTAAAATTTCACCCCATCCAATGGAGTTTCCGAGCTACAGATTAATTAATTCTCTAAAATTCAACAATAATTTTCTTTAAAAGAGGATTTTTTTAGAGTTCTAAATGTATAAACCTTGGAATCATAAAAAAATTCAGACGAAAATGCAGTCAGAAGTTGATGTCGAAATGAATTAAAACCAAAATTTAAAATCTGATTTTATTAAAAACTATTTCATACGCTTGATTCATTTTTCCATATAATTAAAAAATAATAAGTAAATAATAATGATAATAAAACGCAAAACAATGCAACAAGAATCAAAAGTTTTCTTTGATTTACAATATTTGGAAAAATTTAAACGCTCAATGAGCCAAAAATTTAATCATGCGGGACAAAAAAAAATCCAATCAACTTAAAGAAAGAAGGCGAAATCGTACAGAACATTTGACTGAATTTGAGTTTTGAGATGGGTTCGGACGTGCAAGTTTTGCTGGCAAGCGATGAAATTACAAAGGTCACTTGGGTTTGGCCAAATAGGGAGGGTGGGGGTGTTGGGTGGAAAGGCCAGCCAAGAGTGTTGTGGCGTTTTCCTTCGCTCGATGAATTCAGGCGGAGGGTTTAAATAATAAATATGAATAATTCGTTCCTAAAGAATAGAACTAAAATATTCTGAATCTTCCCTTTACATTCACAAATGTGGATTTTTTGTGTGTATTCGTTCGGTGGAAACTTGTTGCCCGCCCGGTCTCTTGGGTGTTTTGCCACTTTTGGCCAATGTTGTTTTGCACCTGTAGCGAGAGGAGGCGCGATTAAAAATTCAAAACCGACCCTTGCCTCTCTCTGTCTGCTCCGGCGCGCTCAAAATAGATCCACGCAACGATAAGAGCCACGATTATCACCATAACTACACACAAATATTATATTTTCTACTTTTACTCTCGGCGTTTCAAAGTATTTTTACGATCCAATTTTGTCTGGTAAAACCGCTTCGTGTTAATTAATTTGAGCTGGAAAAGTGTTTAAATTTCCTTGTGAATTTGAATAAGTTTTGTAAAAAAAAATTGATTATAAATGAATTCATTTGTATGTTGGACACGCCCATTTTGAACAGGAAAAGTTATTATTGAAAAACATGAAAATTATTTATAAGATAAGATAAGAAAAATGTGTCAATTTGAAGTGTTAAGCCAAAACTATTTATTTACAATTAAAATATTAATTTATTTATTTTACAAACAAAAGTCATCAATCTGGCTTTAGTAAATAAAAATTAAATGAATCGGCCAAACTTACAATTAGAGAATTAGAAATGTAATTAATTAAGCAATTTTATTTCAAATTCAAAAACTTCTTGAAATGAAAAAGTTGGTTGCCAAGAAGAAGAAACAATTACATACGATTATATCAACAGTGAATTCAAAGATAAAAGTTGAATAAATTATGTGAAAAGGTCAAATTGACTATGAATTCTTATTTGTGTCAATCTCAGGGACAAATTAAAATTATAAATCTAGTGATTTTGATAACGAACGAGTTAAATTTACTAAAAACCACTAAGATACTTTCTATATTAACATGAAACGATACAATTGTCATACTAATTCAGATTTCTTAGGATAAAAAGATTGACACCGAATTTATAAAAGTGAAATTAATCTGACCTAAATCATAGAAAACAGAAAATCCCTTGCTCATTAAGGAAAGCCCTGTTTGTTATAAATTAATCATCCCGTTTGCGTCTGAAGAGCTTAGCAAGTGAAGTTTCTTTCGTAATTCGAGCCGGCTTAGGGGCTAATGAAGGTGTTGCTCGACTTGATTTACGTTGGCGCGCAAAAATGCAAAATGGCGCCCGCTAATGTGGATTTATTTAGTCAAGTCTCAGGAGAGAGAGAGGCGAATTAGCCCAGCAATTTGGCCGGGAATTCGCGACAAAGCGGAGCTCCCAAGGCTTTCGAAGGTATGCAACCGGCACGACTCGAGCGCAACACACAGACGAAAAAACTTGAATTAAAAACATTTTCGGTTGAGATACTGAACAGTCTTTAAAAATTACAAATATGTCGAATTTTTTATTTAATGAGGGTAAAAATTGAGTTCTTAATTTATTGATAATTTTATTGAATGAAAGAGCTTTAATTATTGCAGATGAATAACTTAAAATTGGAGCTTGAGCATTAATTAGTGCTTAAAAATTAACCAGGTGAGAGTGAAGTGTTTGCTTTGAAGTTGTTGGGCTGCAACTGACGTCATCACAGCTCGAGTGCAATTTGCATCGGAATTGGCAATTAGCGTTCGTGACCTTGACCCGCGAGTGCCGCTCGCTGCGGGCGCATTGCAATCAAAAGAACGCGCTCCAACTTCCCACAGGCATCGCAAACCGTCCATTCATCATTCATGTTAATATCTTGGAAATAATGTAAAATATTTAGAATTTATGAAATTATATTTTAGAAAATTCTATATTTCCCAATTATTTAAAATGTTGTTTGTTTATTAATGTTCATAAAGGAATTTTTGAAAAGAAAATATATCATTTTTTTATCTAATTGTATTTATTTGAAATTTATAACAATAAATTAATTAATTAGAAATAAATAGAAGATAATTTAAATATTCATATCGAAAATTACATCGTTTCTTAAAATTTGTTTTATTTTACAATTTTCAAGTCAAAATATCATGAATATACCCTAAATTATGGGTGAATTCACACAAAGATATTGACAAAGATATTATTTGAATGTAGATTTTTTAAGTCTGATAGATTTACAAAGAAGACATTCATAGATTATTAAAAAAATCAAGCAATTAAAAATTTGTTTCTACTGAATTTATTAAAATTCCTTGGGCAATTCGCAAATAAAATAATTATAATAATTGCAATCTCCAGCAATAAGTTTGTTTTGAGTTCCAGTTCCAGACGAAATTTGAACGCAATATTTTCTGTCCGACACCCACCAAACTAGAAATCAAATTTGCATCAGATTAACTTTTTATTTGAGCTTTCGACTGAAATAGCAAACCAGCAGCATTATTTCCATTTCATTTGTTCGCTTTTTTGTAAACTGCTTCTAGATCCGTTTGCGTCTTCAGGTTTGCCAGATGAAGGCCTTTTTTCTCACAATACTCTTTTGCTTCACCCCATGATGACTTAACAATTAGATATGTTTAATAAAAAATCGTCATTACTAGAATCACGTACGCTATGAGGATAAGAAAAGTGATATAAATTCCTGTTTGGAAGTTCCGTCAAAGATGCAGGTCCTAATAAGAGCATAATAATTATTGAGACAATTTTTTTTATTATTTCTCTCTTGGATTTGAAGTAAACACTCCATTTGGTTTACTTACTTTCTAATCTTTCAATGCGTTTTTTTAAATATTCGTTTTCTTTCAAGGTCTGCAATTATAACGAAAAAATTCATGTCAATACCTCTTATTTCTAATGAGCAATGAATATGGCCAACTTTTTTGTTATTATCTGTGATTCTGGTCAAATTTTGTTTTGCCTGATTTAATTCGTTGGCCACTTGCCTTTGAAGATCGTCATTGTTTGAAGTCTGAAATGGGAAATTTATTTATTAAGAAAGTGGTAAATTGAAATTTGATTAGTGTATGACTTAAGTCAAGAGTTTTATAACATTTTTAGATAAAGATCACGACTTTTTTAGTGTTCAATGTAAATCAAATATTTCGAAATTTGTGCATTTTATTGCCTACATTGTATGAAAACAAATTATTGCATTATAGTTGCAAATTGTGTTTGTGATACCTGCTGGGTGCATTCAGTAAAATTCGGCTGCTGTTGACTATTGATCACATTTGTCAACCTCCCCTCTGCTTCACCCACCTAAATTTCAAAAACAAGTAAACACTCCAATTAAATAATTAAATAAAAACTTGTATAATTTACTTTGGCGGCGACGAGGAAGTAAACGATGAGGGCGTTTCCGAGCAAAGCCAAAATAATTAAAACCACCTTCAGAATTCTTTCCCTGGCAAACCATTTCTTTCCGCTGATCTGAGGATGATTCTTTTGAGACTCGATTTGGACCGAAGTTTTCTCGGTTTTTGCTCTCTTAATTGTCGGACCTTTGACGATTTCTGCGTACTCGACCGTCTCCTGCATCTTTCAAATTGAACCAAATCAGGAAGTAAATTACCTAAAATTAAACGCCACTCACTTCCTTTGGGCTTAATTATCAGTTTATTATTATAAAAGATAAGTTTCATGCGTCATTAAAAACTTTCGACTACTTTGAAGGATTCTGTAAATTTATTTTAGGAAAAAATGCGCAGAAACCAAGTGTTGTGGGTTTTCTCCATTAGAATCTAAAAAAATTGAATTCATTACCAGAGCTGTTGATATGATTAAGCTCTTGCATTAAAAAAAAAAAATCAAGAATATTTTAACTGAATTATGAAAAAAAAATGCGAAATTTTAAATTATATATAGAAATTTGTTAAACACACAATGTGTACAACTTTAAATTATGCAACTCGAATATGATCTGAACAATGCTTGTTTTTATTGAAACTCTAGAACATTATTTAAGTCATAAAAACATGTTAATTTAAGTTTTTCAACATTACGATTATGATCCTATATTTATTTCTAAAATCTAATTGAACGGAAAAATGAGCGTTCGCAGCGCCGCCACGTGTCCAGAATATGCGCTTTTTGACAGATCTTGTGGTTTTCTACTCAATTTTGGTTTAAATTTTGACGAGATTATTCAAAATTTTCCAAACTTTCAAACTAAAAATGGCGTCTCAGTAGCATTCGCTGGGCAATTCGCAGACGAAATAATTGTGCATGAAAGGGCAATCCTCGGTGTAGAGTTTCCTGGAAACGCCCGTCCTGACCTGGATGCAGCGGCTGGTCTTGTCGGCATTTCTCGCCCACAATTCCGAGTCCACCTTTGTCCCGTCGCCCCACCGGAAGTCCGAAGACTGGTCTTCCTTCCTCCCCGACAGCCAAAATCCGACCGCTGCGAATTCAAATTTTAAATTTTTTAAAAATCCAAAAACTTATCATACGTGAAAAGCCTTCAACAAAGTTGTCCGCGTTGTCTATAACAGTGTCCAGGTCGGTTTGCCTCTTCAGGTTGGCCAGGTAGAGACCTCTGGCGGTGCACCTATCGTTTGCGAAACTCCAGCTTCCCTTTTGATATTGGACCAAAAAAATGGCGGATAGAGAAATAAAAAGAAAAATTTACAATAATTCCCTAGAAATATTTTTTTAAATAAAATCATAAAACTGACAATGGAGTTGCCAATTGTGAACATGATCAATTTCAGATTGATCTTTGATATATTAATTTAAGAATCTGATTTTGTGGAGGGAAAAATGTTGCTCTTTTATTTAGAATTGATTTAATTGGAGGTTTCAAATTTTCGCCTAAATTTTTATGTTCATATTCATTTCAACTAAATGTAGTAAAATTCAGGACAGTATTTTGTAGCAATTTATCTAATAGATTTGAAATTTGAAAGGAAAACTTAAATCTGTGATAAAGTTAAAAAGTTCACTCACTTGGAAATGTGGATACGAAAAGAAATACTTTTTCCCATTAGAAAGCTCCGTCAAATTCACTGTACCTGGAAATTAAAAAGTAATGTAGGAGATAAATTGCAGCTGAAAAATATTGAGCAGACTTACGTGCAGTTGAACACGTGTCACGTTTGACCTGCAAATTTGAATAAAAAATAAATTGTAAAAATTTTTCAATTAATTTTGAAAACATTTGCTGATAAATACATTTTAATTTGCACTTAATTTCTCTAAAACTGTCTAACTTCTCAACATAATTTTGAAACTGAAATGCAGTTTAATTGTTTTAAATTTATATACTTTTAACCAGATTTTAACTTAAAAGCCAATTAACGATTGTTTTAATTAAAAAAAAATTAAATTTGCAATAAATGTCACCGGTTCAGAACTTATCAATGTATTTACATTGATTTTGTTGGTTTGCAATTCATTTTCATTCCGTTTCGGTCCAACCGATTGATCAAGTTTCTGCGTCCAACTGCCGACTTTGTCATCTTTCTCCGTTTCCCCGTGCGCCTGAAAAGATAATTTGATGAAATTGGGACGGAAAAAATTGGGAAAAATTTTTACCCCGTGGAGGAAGCAGACGAGCAAAGCCGCAACCGAGACCAAAAGTACAGGGGTGAGTTCTCGGCCTCCCCTCCACCCCTTTTCCTTCAAAGTTTGCGCTCCTAAATCGACTTGCATTTCGCTCAAAACGCGAACATCAACTGCAAATGAGAACAATCTCGCCGATATCCGCCCCGGAAACGAGAGGCGATATTAAAATATTCACAATTCTTATCAACGTCCGCTGCCATTCTCAACGAATTGCGTCAATCTGGAATTCAACGTTTTTTAATGGTTATTTAGAACTGTAAGGATAATTTTTATTACTTATTTATGCTCTGAATTATATACAATTTTCATTTAAAACTTTCCAAAATTTCAAAATACATTTAGATAAACAATGTTATAGAAAAAAAATTAGAGTTAAAATAAAATATATGAAATTTTCACATTTCATGTGGTTTTCATGTGGTCAACTGAAAATAGCAACTAAAATTCACTATAAGGAAACTTTATGCAACCCGCTGACCACGCCTGTCTATACAGTTGCATACATTGTTCAATCATTTGTGCTTGTTATAGAAAGCTGGTCACTAATTGTAAGCTTTGGCCGCTAACCTAATTAATAACATGTAACTATTTTCAGTGTCCCAACTAGATATTTTATGACTCTGTTTTACAAAAACCGACAAGCTATCGAACAGAAATAAAACTCGGTGATTTTATTGATTGACTTGTATTTATTAAAGTAGAAATAAGATTTATATTTATTATTAAAAGAAAATAAATAAGCTAATTCCAAGCGTTGCACAATTTCTGGCAAACAATTATTATTTGCTTAATTCTGAATTTCAAAATGCTGTCTTCATTGTAACCTTTTTACAACTCTCATGGAATATTATTGGCCTTAAGAATAATTAAGAAATATGAAATTAAAAGTTGAATTTTATATCAAGCAGGAATTCAGTGCTTGAAATGATCAGTAGCATTCGCTTCGTAATTCGCAGATGAAATAGTTTTGAACGTTGCAATCTGCGCTAAACAGTTTATTGTACCAGCCGGTATAGGATGAAGTAGTCATAGCGACGCAGTCCTTAGTCTTGTCAGTATTTTGTCTCCAAAAATTGCTATTCTCCTCCAATTGGGATCGATCATGCCAAATATAGTTGGAGTGGCCAGATTTTCGTGCAAAAACCCACCACCTACTATTAGCTGAAAAGTAAGGTATATATTAAAATTGTGAAAGATTTCTAATGTGGTAAATCTTAGATTTGTAACTTTCATCACGTCCAAAATCATGTTTATCCCAATTGAAATGTTAGTTAGAAATTAGAAAACTCCTCACATGCAATTTCTATGCTTTTTTGCCAACTGCGTCTACCTCAGTCTGCTCGTTTAACGTTACCAAGTGCGAGTTCATTTGTCCGCAAGTCTGATTGGCCAAATCCCAGTTTGCCTGCCGCGAAAAGAATGAGTTACCAATATTTCATCGTAATTAAAAAATATTTACTCTTTCCGGATAAAAAAAATAGTATTTTTTGCCATTAGAGTGTTTGATCATCTTTTCAGAGCCTGAATTAAAATTTGTTTGTTAGTTCAAATGTAAATCATAAGGTTGATTTAATTACGGGCATTTGGGCACTTTTCCAAAGCCGAGGATGTCTGTAAATTTTAAAATGTTTATTTTACTTATTATTGGTGTATTAATATATCTTTATTTTAATTTGCGCTTAAAAGTTTGATTTAGTAACATCCATTTTGTTCTGCCTCATCACATTGCCGTTTCCCCTCAGTGTTTCATCCTAATTGATAAGAAGCTAGAAAATACTTAAAATTATTAGGAAAATATTAATTAGGTTCTACTCAAATCAAATAAAGTTATAACGAATTTCGTCTTAATGCTTAAAGGCTAAATATTCCAAATTACAAAAGTTTAAAAATTTAAAATAAGAAATTCAAATGAGATGTTAAACCCAGCATGTAACAGTTGTTATTTGCCGTAATATTATTTATTAATAAATAATAAATTTCATTTTCTAGATTGCTATCGTTTTACATAATTTTTTTTTTAATAATCCTATTGGACTAAATTCTGTCAATACCTTCTGTTTGTTTGAATTCTGTTTGGCTTCAATCAACTTGGCCAATCTCTCCTCTGCAGCACCCACCTTAATGAAAAATCAAAATTACCCACTTTTTGATTCCATAATAAAATAAATATTTTTACTCTGTCGGCCAAGAGGAAGTAAACTAACAGGGCGTTTCCAAGCAAAGCCAAAGTAATCAAAACCACCTTGAGAATTCCTTCCCTGCCAAAGCATTTCTTCTCTTCATCCTGAGACTTGATTTTGACTGAAGTTTTTCCTGTTTTTGCTCTGCCAATCGTCGGACCTTGAACGATTTCTGCGTACTCAACCACCTCCTGCATCTTTCAAAATGAACCAAATCAGGAACTAAATAGATCGGAAATGAAACGCCTTGAAGTTTTCTGGATTATTATAGAAATAATCTGGTTCAAGATAAGGTTCATGCGTCATTGCAAAGTTCAACTCTACTTCAAATTTCTCTTATTGCAATTTTACTTCCTAATTTTTCTCAAAATATTAACAAATTGTTTAATGACCATGAATTTTATTTCTTTTTAAATTGGTGACATTTTCAACTCTTGCTTTTGAACTATTGGACGTCATTCAAATACCGTCGCAGTTTCCAGTTTCATTAAAATCCACCTTTGAAATTTAACAGTTAAATTAACTTGATTCGCTTTACAAATTCATTTTCAAAATTTATTTCATTTCGAATCGCTACGAGTTTGTTGAACTGATTAATAAGTTTTGTTTTTATTTCTCCATTGATTTCAATGGCCATGTGCAACTTAATCACAAAAATTGAGACTAAAATAACAATTTTATCTGAATCTACATCCGCACAAACAAGCCTTAAAAATTGAAAGTTTTGTCGCATGAAATGAAACAGGCAATTCAAGTAAAAATTTATTTTATTCAAATGACAAAACTAAAATTGTATACATTTTATGCTTCAACAGCTTGTCAAATTTTAGAATCATATTATGCATTAAATTGAATTAAGTTTTTACTAAAAAGATAGCATTTAAAATTGTTGCAATGGCAAATAAATTGTAAAGTCTGGTAAAACAGTAAACATTACTTTCCTTGTTTTGCAACATAATAAATTTGACGAAACTGAGTATTATTTTAATCTGTTTTAGAATTTGCTATCAACAAAATAAAATCAAATAATTTCAATGTAAGAATTTAAATCTTAGGAAATCCCTATGGATATTTAGAAATTGTAATATAAATTATATTAAAGATAAATCAGTTATTAAATAAAAAATTTGCTAGTTAATTAAAAACAAAATTTAAAATCAAACCAATCAATCATCCCTTTACAATCTATTATAATTGAGACACATAAAAATAAAAGCTTAAAAGCATAAATAAATAATTCATTTTATAATTTAAAATATATAGTTCCTTTTTCTGAAACCGCCGCTGCTCTTCTACATCTGGAAAACACTCTCATCTGCGTCGCGCCTTTGAAATACTTGACAATAGAACAAAGTCAATAAAAAAATCTCCTTAAAGTTTTAAATATTATTGAAAGAGCGCCGCTTCATTATTGGACTCCTTTCAACTAGTAGTAAAGAAGGAAAATAATTATTACAAGTAGTTGAACAATTAATTTGGCCAACCCCTAATGTCGCGTTGCAAAATGCGGTGAACCCTCTCTGGTTCAAAGCTTAATTAGCTATCAAAACCTATTTTTTTGCAAATTTCAGTAGCACTCTGTTGGCAACTCGCAAATGAAATAAACCCCTCGGTCGTTGCACCGCGTGCAGTGGAGTCGGATGCTTTCCCCGGTGATTAATTCGACGCAGCCCAAAGACCTGTCGGCGTACTCGGCCCACATCGCATCTCCCGTCTCCAATTTGGACCCATCGGGCCAACGGTAGTCAAATACATTTCCCACTCCGTAGTTTTTCGCAGCCACAAACCACCAGCTGGAGGCTGCGAGGGAAAAATCGTACCATTTAAAAAAAAATCAAAGATTATTCCATACGGTCTATTTCCTTGGCCTTATTGTAAACCACGTTCACGTCGATTTGGTTCTTTAAGAGGGCCAAATGGAGTCCCCTTTCCGCGCATTTTCCGAAAGCCTCCAACCAATTTCCCTGCCAAACCAATTAAGTCAGCGTGCAAATTACCAGGACTGAAATTGCAACCTTTCTTGTGTGGAAAGAATACGTTTTGCCATTGGAGAGTGTGAGCATCGTTTTTGCCGATCCTATTAATTAAAATAAAAATAAGTTGCATATTTTTATCAAAGGTGAATCTTACTCCGAGCAAGGGGACAGTCAAGCCAAAGTTTATAACTGACGTACTGAAAATTTGGTGTTTTATACATTTTTAATATATAATTGCTTGCTAACTTGTTCATGCAGATTGAAAATGTTGTCCAAATGGTCAAGTCTCTGGTTCGCGTCGTTCAAAGCAGTTTCCAGACCAATCTCCCGAAATATTTGCTAAATTCAATTTCGTATTGTAATAAGGTCAAATCTCAAATCTATGGCTAAAATCTGAATTAAAATTCTTACTTTGGCGGTGAAAATGGCGATGACCACTCCTAGGAGGAGGCAGACGCCCAAGGTGACCTTCAAGGCTAATTTTGAACACCTCCTTCCCTCGGGGGCAACTGGGACCCTTGAGGGCATCTCGATTTGGACCGAGTACGGCTCCGCGTATTCTGCATCTATGAATCGGCAAAACAATGATATAAAATGAAAAGGAAGCTTAAAAAATTTTTAATTGCGGAAAGAATTATCCAGTGTGATATAGATTTTTTTATTCCAGAAAGATATAAAAAAGATTTGGTCCCAACGAATTTAAATTCTTACCGTCCGACTCCACTTTGGACAACTTGATTTTGGCCAAACCGCTTTCAGAAGGGGTCGGAACCTTCCTTGGCTCCAAGTACCCGTTGTTTGAGTCCATGATTGTGTCCGAAATGAACCCAACCAGGAAGAAAAAATGCACGAATGCCTTCAAATTTTATCGCGTAATTCCAGAACAAACTAATCTGAAAAATTGTTCCTGGTCTTTTACCATTTCCTCAATATTTTTTAAAAACAAGAATGTTGAGACTAGATTTTGACTGGAGTTTTTTCGGTTTTTGCTCTGCCAATCGTCGGTTTGACGATTTCTGCATACTCGACCACCTCCTGCATCGTTCAAAATGAACCAAATCAGGAACTAAATATGTCAGAAGTAAAATTATCTGCTTTAAGGTAAGATTCAAGCGTCATTGCAAAGTCGAACTCTGTTACAAATTTTTGTTATTCCTGAAATATTTGTTCCTAATTTTCCACTAAATATTGAGAGAATGTTTAATGACAGTAAATTTAAGTTCTTTTTCATCATTGTAACTCTTGTATTTGATCTATTGGAAGTCATCCAAATACCGTCGCAGTTTCCAGTTTCATTAAAATCCATCCTTGAAATTTAACAGTTTAATTAACTTTTGCAGAAAATGCCTTCCAAATTTATCTCATTTCGAATCGCTAGAGTTTGTTGAAAGACTGATTCAGTTTAGTTTATTTCTCCATTATTTTTAGGCCCCCGTGCTACTTTATCTCAAACATTGACGGAAAACTTTAAAGCTTTTATCAGAACCTTCATCCACACAAACAAGCCTTGAAAATTGAGTCATATATGAAATTTAAAAGCCAATTCAAGCAAAATTTATTTTTATTAAAAGTTTCTTTAGAATCAGATCAAAATTTTAATACGATGCATTCAATGGACACAAACTTTTTCATAAAGAAAACATTATAAAAGTTCATAATTGTTTAAAAATACGAATAAATTATAAATTCTGGTATTATTATCATTATAATTTTTAATTTCTTTAAATGTTAATAAGATTTAGTTGGAAATTCAAATTCGCACACAAAGTGGTGTTTGTCGCTGCACTTTCCACCGTGCAGTTTGTCAGTTTGGTTGGTGATGATTTCGGTGCAGCCCAATTTCTTGTCGGCATCTTTGTGCCACATGGAACTGTTGCTTTCCAATCGGGATCCGTCGAGCCACTTGAAGTCTGATTGATTCTGGTTTCCGTAGTTTCGAGCCGAAACAAACCACCAGCTATTTTCTGCGAATCAAAGTTTCAGTTGAACAAAAAAAATCTTATAATTGTAAAAAGAGATATTTAATATTAAACTGATCGTTTTTAAACGCTATAAAAAGTCGCCTTTCTGTGTCGGGAGAAACGAATTTTTTATCCGTGTCTTAGTAGAACTAAAATATATATCAAAATTCATTTTAAATTGCCAACAACCGGATCGCTTAAAACTGACTAAAATATAATCACCATGGATTTCCTTGGTTTTGTTGAAAATGACCTTCAAGTCTGTCAAATTCTTTAGACTTGCCAAGCGGAGACCCATGGTGGCACATCTTTCCTTGGCTTCGATCCAATTTGCCTATAAATTGGACACATTTTCTGTATTAACAGTCGATATAAATCTGTTTTTATAATACGCGAATTCAAGACGAAATTTTATACTTCAAAATCAGTTTGTCTAGGTGAAAATGGGTTGATATTTTCTTTTAGGTGATATATAGAAAGGGTCCCCGGTAAAGTGCTTCATTCTTGAATGTGAAAGGAAGCTCAAAATGTCCTTCGGTATCAAAAATTTGCCCCCTTCGCAGCGTTAAAACTGGGTTTTCGCTTCAAAAGCGTTTGAATTTGAACCTTGGTGCGTATTTTTTGATCGCAATTTTGACGTAGGATTGGGTTTCTTTTGATATTCCTGAATTATTAGTTCGTTGAAGTAGGTCATTTGCAACTAATAGGTTAAAAGGAACACATTTTCCTTATAATAGAAGCAACTAATTTACACTTACTTGAGTTGGATATGCAAAGTGGTATATTTTTCCGTTGGACAGCTTCTGGAAAGTAGCTGAAATATATTCGGTTTAGTGAAAATCACTTTTCACGATATAATATATTGAAAAGGCCGCAACGTACGTGGAATTCTAAACATTTGGACTTCCTTTTTCAAAACATCGTTTTCTTTCGTTGCATTCAAAAGTAGTCCCTGCAGTAGATTTTTCTCTTTCGTCACCTTTTGGATTGAAAAAATTTGAATTTTGAATTTAATAGGAAAGTCGATTTAAATTTCAATTGCCTCATCATTAAGGAAAGCCAGCTCGTTGAAACTTTTATTCAATTGGTCGGTTTCGTTAGTCATCAAGTGGATTTTCTCGAAAGCCGTTCTCAGATTTGTGCACACCTGGAACAAACCATCTCAAAAGTAATTAAATCACATTAAAATTAAGACAAACCAATGCAATGGAATCGGCTCAGGAGTAATTCAGGCGGAAATAAAAAACCTATTTTGCTTGGTGCAAAACTCTTGTTGCAATAAAATAAGCTTAACACTGTTTTTTGACCTGAAAACTCATGAAATTTGGCTCACTTTGGCAACAAGGAGGTAGTTGACGAGGCAGGTGCCGACGACGTAGCTCAGGGCGCAGAGGACGAACGCCACCTTCAGGACAATCAGGGCACTACAACTTTTCTTCTTCTTGTTCACCCTTCGGGGCAAAGGGTTTCTCGTGGACGGACCAGCAACGTCCTCGTATCCCCCGTCCATGTTTCACAGAGAAATGGCCGAACCGAGCCTAGCTTTGAAATCAGTTCTTTTGTCAGGAAGTGTTAAAGTTTATTCGCTTATCCAAACACGCAGATTTGAAATGGAAAGTAAATACGAGCCAAAAAAAAAAAAAAAAAGAACTTATTCACTTCAGGAGTAGCGAAGTAAATTTTTGTCTGCAGAATGGAGAGTAAAAAATAATGAATTTGAAATAAATAAAGAGGCGAAAACTTTTTATAAAGCGACATCTTTCCATATTTTTATAACATAAACACCGTATTTGAATTATATAAATTAAAAATGTTGCATATCAGCAAAGCTGCAAATTTGCTAAAAAAAAATATTTAAAATATTCCAATTAACAAATTTTAAATTTTATAAATAAAGTTTCCAAAGCTCAATCAATATGAAATGAAACTTTTATTCACACATTTCTCATTAAATATTAAAAACTCGAATTCAGTACCAATTTTTGTGAGAACAATTTCAATTTCTCAATTTTTGGTGTTCATTTTGGCTCTAAATGATTATTTTCCCATTATTGAGACTAAAATAATCCGACCAGGAAGTAAAAAGCCTTCCAATTTAATCGCAGGTGATAACAAACTTTGTAACAAAAAAATGCTCATGTTCTTATATTTGCTAATTTTTTTTAATTTAAGAAAGTTAAAAAATAAGGACCAAAATATTGTGTAAAATGACTTGTTTATTTGGTCGCGTTTTTGCTGCAACCTGTGGCTGAGCGAAATGAGGCGCGCGAGGGAGGATTTGGGGGGAGGGAGGGGGGTTGTCTCGTTTTAAAAATCGATAGCCAGGCGGGTGCAAAAGTACTGGCGACGGCGTGCGTGCGTGAAAACAAGCGACGGAGAGAAACTGAAAAGCCTCGCAGCTCCAAACACACCCGGGAATTCTAATCACACTTTTTGTAAATTAAAATATAAACAGGAAAAATAAGGCAAAAGTTTTCAAACAGTTTGTAGCTTCTTTTATGGTTTTTTGAAACCAAATAAAAATTTCATCAATCGGCTTTATAAAAAACGTGCCAATTTGACAAAGAACAAAAAATTCGAAAAATCTGTTTGGAAATACTTCATTACTGGGTTAGAATTTTTCTTTTTATTTGAAGTAAATTAATTATTTTGGAAAATTTTTACCACTAAAAAACTTACAAATCCTTGTATAAGAGTAATGACTAATTAATTAAAAAAACTGATCTTAAATTGAAATTATTGCAAATAAAAATCCAATTGAGTTGGATTTCGTGTCAATTCGCCTCGTTTTCTGGGAAATAAAAGATCAGTCGCAAAAACAGCGCGGTTGAAAGAAGGCAAACATTCAAGGAAAAGCCGCTTTACTTCTTGGGTTTGCTCTTTGAAGTTGACATTGTCGGGAAAAAGGGCGATTGGCAAGCGCAGTGACCCACTTTTCCTCCGAGCACGCCCACGACGAGAGCTAATTGCGAAATTGCAGCACTTTGATTGTTCGCCAAGACGTGTAGAATTAACACAATGCAACAAGCGCGGCACGCCAATTATCGCCTTTCCAAACAAAGCCACCAAACCAACAATGCCGACGCACAACGACTAACAACGTAAAAAAAGAAATGGTAAATTAACCCATTTTTTCATCAGAAACAAATTTGTGTAAAATTTACTCTTTTATTCTAGAAGAAAATGTAAATCGTGACTCATAGATAAATATTTTTATTTTAGCTTGGAGCAATTTGTCTTAATAAATTACATTTTTCAAATATTTAACTGCAAATTAATTACACTAAATCAACGAAATTTGGCCATTTTGAGTCATAGAACGTGTAAATTTTTTTTATAAAAATTGGTAAATGAAGAATTTTAGGAATGAAAGAAATTAATTCGCACTAAATTATTATTGATCTTTAGGACATTAAGTATGGAAAAACGTGCCAATTAAACACACTTTTTGTAAGTGCGATACAAAATTTGGAGCAATTATAAGAAAGAAAACACAATCAGTCAATTTCACTCATGTCTCATGTCTGTTCAGTTTAGATACGTTCTTAGTTTGAGTAAAACGTCAATTAAACCCACTATTTGGCTGTAAATTTAGCAAATTTGTATTAAAGCAAGTGAGTTTGGCTTGTTTTTATCTTTAGAGTGTGTTAATTTAACTCACTTTTGGTTAATTAAAATAAAAAAGCAGTAATTTTAAAACTTCTTGCTGAGTAAATGAAATTAAGTCACACATAATTATCGATATTTTGGTCATCTTCAAATTGAATTTAAAAAAAAAATCTGTCTATTTCACTCTATTTGTGTAATTAAAAAACATCATTCAATTAAAATTTCTATCAAAGCTGTTTTTTCCAATTAAATTGGTTAAGTGAGTTAATTATAATCCCAAAACCAGTAATTTAAAAACTATTGCAAGATGAAGACAAAAAATTTCGCCACGTTTATCCAAATATTTGCTCTTGGTGTTCAAATATTTGACGACAACGGAAGTTGTGCGTCTATTTGCGTTCGGCAGAGGCGCCAAATTGTTTGCCATCAACAAAGGTTGACCGAGAGTTGTTTTCATCTCGGTTGCCCGCAAACAGAAACAATATTATTGCAAGCGCAATTGAGCACAAATTTCCACTCTGATTGAAATTCATTTCAATTTATTATTTTACAATTTAAACACAAACAACTCGCTTGTTTTGAAATTGAAATTGTACTCTTGTGTGTAATTTTAGCTGACCGTTTGCAAGGGAGTGGTCGATGTTTGTTTGTTGTCGCTGCAATTCAATTGTCGTGTCCCATCAAAACAATGACAAGCAAAAGAAAACGAACCGTCACAGCAAAATAAATATGAACGTGAAAAGCATATAAAGGGCGGATTTTCAAAGAATGGCGTGGAAATAACAAAAGCTTTGCCAATAATAAAAATAAAAAAAAAAAACAATTGAAAGAAGAAAGAACTGGCAAATTTCTCTTTCCTAGCTGCTTAGAGATAAAATCCGGATTACTTTGAAGGCTGGTTTCCAATTCGCCATTACGTTATTCGTTTACGCATTACGTTGTTCGTTTTGCCAAGGAAATCGTATAAGCCGTTTCCAATTCACCAAAACGATACACGTAAACGGAATCCGAGTACAGCAAAACGTATAAGCGGTTTCCGATTCGCCAAAACGTACTCCGTAAACGTATTACGAGTGCCGACAGTGGGTTCCAATTCGCCAAAACGGACTCCGTAAACGTATTACGAGTGCCGACAGTGGTTTCCAATTCTCCAAAACGTAGTACGTTTACGTGCAACTCATTACGAGCACCAAACGTGCTTCATACGTGATACGTACGTCGTTTTAATAAAAGTGCAATTCTGAATAATTATAATTGGTGCTTGTAATGAATTCTTAATTATATCATCCATTTGAGTATTAAGTCCTTCAATTAGAGTTAATTTCCCACCAATTAAGTTAATTCGGTTATGGGGGTGAGCAGGGGTGAGTTGAAGGAAATTAGTTTTATGTCAAGTGCGTAACATGATTATAGGCTAAAATTTTGTGAGGAAATCAATGGTGTATATGATTTTAATGAAAAATGTTAATTTCAACCCTTAATTAGCAATTAACTCGAATACAAACAAATTGAAGTGCAATACATGACTTTAGGGTGAAATTTGAAGCCCAAGCGATTGCCAGCATAAATTTTGCGCTATCAATTTAATTTCATCCCCTAAATTGAAATATAATGATGTCCACACAAATTTTAGAGCGAGACGTGTTTAAATGGTAAAATTTGACGCCAGATCGTTTGCCAGAAGTGATTTTGCTCTACAAATTTAATTTCAACCCCTAATTTGAAATTAAGTGAAATTAACAACAATTTCAGAGCGAGATATGTTTAAGTGGTTAAATTTGACGCCAGATCGTTTGCAAGCAGTGATTTTGCACTAAAAATTTAATTTCAACCCCTAATTTGAAATTACTCAAAATTAACAACAATTTCAGAGCGAGACATGTTTAAATGGTAAAATTTGACGCCAGATCGTTTACCAGAAGTGATTTTGCTCTTAAAATTTAATTTCAACCCCTAATTTGAAATTACGTGAAATTAACAACAATTTGAGAGCGAGACATTTTTTATTGGTAGATTTCAAAGCCAGGCCGATTGCCAGGGAAAATTTGGAAAATACTATTTATTTAATTAATTTTCAACCCCTAATTCGTAATTTTATGGAATTAACAACAATTTAAGAGCGATAGTTGTTTTATGTATGTAATTTTAATGCTAGATTGATTTTCAAATGTTATTTTGCACTTAATTTGCTTAATTTCAATTTCAACCCCTGATTTCCTTATTTATTAACTAATGTTTGAATTTTTTAGTTAAGTATGGCAATCAATGTGGCTCTAAATTCTAAATTCGCTAAATTCAACTCATATCATCAAGTCTCGCTCTTAAATTGTTGTTAATTTCATATAATTTCAAATAGGGGTTGAAATTAAATTTTTAGAGCAAAATAACTTCTCGCAAACAATATGGCGTCAAATTTTACCACTTTAACATGTCTCTCTCTGAAATTGTTGTTAATTTTGAGTAATTTCAAATTAGGGGTTGAAATTAAATTTGTAGAGCAAAATCACTTCTGGCAAACGATCTGGCGTCAAATTTTACCATTTAAACACGTCTCGCTCTAAAATTTGTGTGGACATCATTATATTTCAATTTAGGGGATGAAATTAAATTGATAGCGCAAAATTTATGCTGGCAATCGCTTGGGCTTCAAATTTCACCCTAAAGTCATGTATTGCACTTCAATTTGTTTGTATTCGAGTTAATTGCTAATTAAGGGTTGAAATTAAAATTTTTCATTAAAATCATATACACCATTGATTTCCTCACAAAATTTTAGCCTATAATCATGTTGCGCACTTGACATAAAACTAATTTCCTTCAACTCACCCCTGCTCACCCCCATAACCGAATTAACTTAATTGGTGGGAAATTAACTCTAATTGAAGGACTTAATACTCAAATGGATGATATAATTAAGAATTC